AAAGAAAGAAAGTATCTGCATCTGGCTGCATAGGTCGCTTGACCCAGTTCACTTCAGGGTCATACAAATATGATAAGGAAGTGGGCAAAAAACAAACTAAGATAAACCAAAAACCCTACACAAGCTACAAAGCTGCACTGTCCATCTCTGCAAAGCCCCCCGCAGACTGTAACCATTCTGCCCAAGATCAAATTGGCAACTGGCAGCTCCTATAAGCTACACTCTTCTGCTTCTTCAACAAGCAGGTAGGTAGAGGGTGGGACAGTGACAATCCRTAACACGTAGAGTTAAGAAGCATTTAAAGAATGAAAATCTCATGACTTCCCTAACACCAGTATTTCAAGTATAAATGTGTGTTGCTGCCTGTTTATGCAAGGAGTGAACTGTACTGATGCTTGTCACTTGTGTCACACTTGGTCTTTGCAGGCCAGAACAGAAGGTGAACAAGCTGTACCTTCTGTCTGGAGCTGAAGGTTACTGTACCATGCTCCCTCATCCTCAGAAATCAGATTGATGGGGAGCCCTTGTTTAATGAGGGAAGATTTGAAACTGGAATGCTTGAAGTGACTCATATTCCATTCCCCTGCATAAAAAGCTAGTACCCAATAGATTTTGTTCACCTTTGAGATAAGAGGGACCCTTCTGCAGCCTATTAACTTTTTAATCTTTTAAGGCACTAATCTTCATTTCCTCTTCATGAAGATTATCCATACATCCCCTCTCCACCCTCAGCACTGATCGGGAAGGGCACAGGATTTTAGTTTGGAATGCAGTATTGTACCAAGCAATCTTTATTCTTGTGTTAGAAAAGGGCTATTATTTTATTTCTTTCAGACATTATCTACTTCTACAAATTCCGTTCACCTTTCTAGCAGTGTGCTTGTAAGGGCCACAAGCTAGTAAAAACTGGTATTTCACTCCCTGAAGTCAGTCACCAAAAATTCACATCTTGATAAAACTGAAGGGATACTGCATCACAGGTTGATTAAATTAGCCTTCACAATAAGTAACCACGAGATTGTCTACTTAAGACAGTGTTGCCACCGAATATAAGAATCTGTGAATGTCTACATTTGGCATATTGAAGAAGAGAGTCCCACAGCAGCAGCCACAAAAAGAAAAATTAGACAGCCATTAGAACCCATGCAGCATATTGCAAGTAATCCTGTTGGAGATTCATAACACCTCTCGCCAAATATAATGTTGCAAAAATATTCTTTTAAAGTCTTCTTTCAGAGATTTAAAGGATATTACGGACTGCTGTCTTCCATGAGCAACAGAAGGTATTTTGGTTCAGTGAACTACAGGTGTTGGGCTACTAGTCCATTTTAAAGTGGCAGGTCCTAAAGCGTGTGGTAGTTTCGGTCTTTCGACTTGCAGAATTTGTACAGGAAGAAAATTACAGCCTGCAGACCCAGCACAAGGACAATTCCACCTATGAAACTGGCAGCATCAAATGTAGATTTGCGCGGAGAAGGGGCTGGAGTCACAGTAGCACTTGTACCTGTTAAACACCACATTACAATATATGAGTGGAGAACACTTARAATTATTTTACACAGATTTATGGGTTTTTAGAATTATTTTAAACACTTTTTTTCCTTGCTTCAATCCACATTAAATAATTATCTTCCATGTATTTTACTTTACCCCAAGAGTTATGCTTAAAGAAATTCACTAAAGCCACAACAGATAGGAATCTAGAAGTTACAGACATCTGCTGATGGCTAGTTTTAAAAAGCTTCATTTCATGGAATATTTAGGACTGAATCCAAAATAAAGTACATTGACTCATTCCCACTGTAGCCCAATATGTCTTTTAAGACAGCTGGTTATTATGCTGCAAGTCAAACACAAAGACAAAACAACCCCTCCCCAAAAGTATGAGGCCCTACATCCGAGCTAACAAGTCAGTTGCAGCCACTGCATTAMAAGCAGTCAACTGATTTAGCCTGACCAACATGTTTCTGACATTTAACACTCCACTAACTACCCCTGATTGTCAGAAGTTACCTGGTATACTGGTTGTTTTGGGGGCTGAAGTGGCAGTTGTAACTGGAGGTGCGTGTGTAGTTGCGTTAGTGACGTTAGCTGTTTGAGAGAAAATTGAAATTCAGAGAGTATGTCCACACCACGAGCTTACAAGAGCAAAGTTCACAGGCATTTAGGTTCTTACACAAGCGGTTTGTCTTTTTGTGCTCCAACAAGGATAAGCTTTGACTTAAGGCTGTCCCCACACCATTTAGATGGTCAGCTGCATGGCATTAAGCCAAATTTCTGCAATAAGGATTGCTTTTTTTTTTTTTTTTAATTTGCAACCTGATCACACCATTGTCATTCAAGAATTTCCAGGCTCTCTTTACATCACACAGTGACACTTCACTTGGACAAAAAATATTTTTCTTTCAAAATTGAATGTGAATGTGGATACTGAAATAAGAATCAGGACAGCAGCTTCCGTAGAAGGCTACCAAGGGTCTGCATCAAGGCAGAGGACTTTTAYGAAGTAGCCTTTAGAATCAGGTTATACTGTACTGAGCAAGAATTCAACCCCAGTATCGCTAAACAGGAGATGAGCATTCACTGCATATCATGACTTCCTGAAAACCATTAATTTCCAGGGATACTATTAGAATAAGAGCACAGTACAACTAGAAGATGCCCTAAAACTCCTTCAGTTATTGATACTAAACTCTGGATCTCTAACCCTCCCCTTCTCCCACCCCCCTTTTTTTTTCAGAAGCTAAGTTTTACTAAAAAATAAATAWCCCACCATGTTGCTGTGATAAGCATCAATGTTTGTAAGTGCACTCAAAGCCTAGTATAGGCTTCTGGAGACCAGTCAAGTTCTGCATCTTGCGACCAACCAGCTCCCTTCAGCTAGGGATGCTTTTAAAGAAGAGGTTTTTAGGATTTTAAGATATCACYGTTAAGACGACAGCATGCATAAAAGCAAGAATTTTAGGACTGGACAACATACAAAGTCAAATTCATTAGCTCTTTTCATATGACATGAATTAATTTAACATGAATTGTTACCCAATCAAACAAAATTGTTACCAAATCAAACAGCTTTCACTAAACCACTGTATAGTTATTCATATCTGAAGGAAGGAAAAAGTTAATACATAACTGCTTCTTCCAAACCTTGAAACTATTTGTGTATTCCACACCTCACATGCTAGTAGTCGCTTCACTACAGTGGTCTGTGAAAAGGCCCTTGTCCTTTATTTATTCACCAGTTCTTGGTTCATTGCCATTTGCTGTCCTCCATTCAGTAGAGAAAGCAATCCTAGCAATATATATTGCATTATAATTCACACTATACTTCCAAGTTGAGAGAGTTATTTACAAAGCAGCCCAGTCATCTGGGTCTTTTCACGTTACCTATAGTAGTATGAGCCGTGGTAGCATTGGCAGAGGCTGTAGTAGCATTGATAGAGGCTGTAGTAGCATTGGCAGAGGCCGTAGTAGCATTGGCCGTAGTAGCATTGGCAGAGAGATCAAATGTCGTAACTATAAAAGAATAAAAGATTGTGTTTAAAAAATACTAATGCCAGTATTTAACTCCAAGAAACAGCAGCAGGCTGAATTTTAGGGACGCTTAGATACGGCACTGAATTCTAGCATACTGTACATTCAACTTGTCACAGGAAGAACATAAGTTGCATCACTGAAAATATATATATATATGCTTACTAATATATATATATGCTTACTAATGCAAAGCTCGTTTCCTCCAGGCAAACCAGAGGGAGAACAGTGCTGCTGCATGAGTGTAACTGCCCAAGTGTTACATAATAGGGAACTAGGTATTCGGTACCTAACTGCAACTAAAAGTGATCCTGACCTAGAAACTGGAGTGGCTGCACAGCTGAGGCAGCACATGGAAAACCAAGCCACGCAATCTGCCAAAGATTAGCTAAAAATCCAAGAGCCAYTGCTGGTCTAGGCGCCCTCAGAGGCTTCAGCAAGTACTGTAAGGGAACTGCTACATCCTTTCAAACCGATCGTGTTATCGAGTTAACCATACAAGGAGAGCTCATCTAAACTACTGCTTAACCACACTATGACTGCTGRCAACTCCACAGGCTTCCTGCGCAGACACCGTCATGTTCAAAAGACTTCTGAGCTCTGTGCTGACCTGACTTGGCTCACAGAAATGAGGCAGCACCCGTTGGCCCAGGTCACTGGGCAATGAAGTCCCCAGATGCTGGTAGTACCACCAGATGTTRCACACCATGATACGGGCTACATCACAAGGGTCACGGTATTTTGGGTACTCCAGTTTCTGAACACCTCAGATATCGGGGAGCTGGTAACATATACAGATCCCTCTGACAGCAAACAAAAGCCTCTATTAAGGTGCCAATTAAGCTTCCATGAATATGCAGAAGCCAAACAACACAACATCCTGACAGCCTCACTACRCATTTAGCAACAACTGATTGGAGAAGTGCTAGTCTTAGATGGAGAATAAGATCTTGCACCAGAATACTGAAAAAAAAGGAAATTTGTAATTTCACACAAAATTTATCTGACTCTACAGTAAAAGGTGGTTGTTACAATTCTACAAACAACACAGAGGTCAAATGAAGCAGAATTACTTCTGACTTGCTACCCCATGATAGCTCATAGCAGTGTGCAAATTCCATCACTGCTGCTGTCAGACTGACCCTTTGAACAGCACTGTTGAACTAAGAACAACATGAATCTTCACTCGGTACTCTGTATCTTAAAACCAGGCAGTACCGCCTTAAGACCACCCAATTCTAGGCAGCTACCAGAAAAAATAAAATTTGTGGGCTTTTGCATAAGTCAAATTTAAATCTAATTTAATCTCAACTATTTAGCAAGTCTGATTTGCATGAAGATTAAAGTAGAAATGCAACTGAGAACATACGTTGCATGAAGGTTTTACCTATATTGTTTTATGACGCAGGCTCTGCGTTTCAGGTCTGCATAAACAGCTGTGCTAGTTAACAATTAAAATGGGAAAGTTCTTTTTTTTTTCCATTTAATACATCTCAGATGAAGCAGTGGACTTAACATGTGAAACTCCTTTCGTTGAGTGTGAAGGTCCCTATCTTTAGGATACTGGTAAGTTCCTTATCACCTTTAAGGTACTCTTCCCAATAGGATACGCTGCGGCCAACTAGGAATTGTCACCCATGACTCTAAGAAACCAAGGGAGACAAACAGATACATAACATCTATTAAAATAGGTTAGGTTTTGCAAAACAGCAACAGAGAGTGGTTACTGAATGCATAATAAAGTGGRTATTTCAGTATCTCACACTACAGCTTTACACTGGAAAGAAAAGGCTTATCTATGTACTTACATAGGCTTATGTAAGTTGTACAAGATACATTAACAGAAGACAACCAATAAAGACAGTTGCAAGCAACTGTTTGACTTTAAACAGCTTGGAAGGATCTAGAAAACTTCATATACAAATGCACACAAAAGAGAGAGGAAGTCAATCTATTCATATTTTAATCACAGTAGGAGCCAGCCACTTAACCAGCCCAATATGATATTGCTTTTCAATGTTAATCTCTGTCAAATGTTGCCCAAAAACCACAATGTCAACAAATCCAATATCTGGGTCAAATAAATGTTCCCAGTCTACAATTTTACTGTATTACTTTCAGATAAGACTTATTCATACAGTCATCATACTAAAAACAAACAAAAAAAACCCCCACCCCGCATAAAACCACCCACTGCCACAGAGATTTGTCAGCACATTTCAYACAATATCCACCTACTCCAAGGCACCCATGGATGACCTTTCATTTTTCTTCCTCCTGCTCCCTAGTGAAGGGAACATGGCTATTGACAAACCCTTGGCAATCAACACGGCAACTCACATCTCAGGATAAATGAGTCAACTCCCTAACTTCAGCATTCTGGCAATCCAAATTAAACATGAACTGGATGGCCTTTCTGATGGATGTGACTGGTTCAGGCATATAGGGAAGTAACGTACAGAATCTGTATATAACCTAAGAATTTTAGTGCCTCTTTCTTCACTTCTAACACACACAGGAAGATGTAACAGGATCTTTACCAGTTCTGTGCAAACCACTATTTACCAAATCAGTAATCTGCTCCCTTCAGAAAGATGTTATTTAAGCCACTTCAACAATGATACTGCAGTTTCTAGAGAACAAATCTCAGAGACAGTTACTTATTATTCTGGCTATGTATGTATATGTATTTCTGGACCAGAAGTAACAGTCTGCACAGCATTCAAAAAACGAACATTCACGTTTCAGAAAGGAAAACTCCTTCCTGCCGTGCCATTTACCTCCTCTGCGGAGGCAGGGCAGTCTAACGCCAGCCGCATCCAACAGCGGCTGCATTAAGCTTCTCAGTTCACTTCCAGAACAGTTTTCCCGGGCTAGCGCGAGGGAGGAACAGCTCTGCTGGAGCACAGAACACATCTGTATCGCTGCAGAATATTTCAAGGGTGAGCTGTCAACAAACGCAGCTTCGTAATCAGCTGCAGCGCAGTCACACGCGCTCCCAGCGCTGCCGTGCTAGAAAAGCCGAGCTCCAGACCTTCGGAGGGGCTGCAGCAGCAGAGGTGCCCGCTCTCCTCGCCGTGGACACGGCGCTGCCACGRGGGCAGCTCTCGAAGCAGGCAAGCCCCTTTCCTGCGCCCCAGAGGAGGTGCACTGGCCGCTACACAGCGGATTCGCATGCTCCCCCTTTAGGGGCGCCCCTGACGCGGAAGGGAGCCGTGCCCAGGACSTGGTTGGGGTCCGGCTGAACCCCCGGTGCTCTCCGCGCCCCACAGCGGGCTGCCTGACCCCGCTCCGCCGCTGCTTCCAGCGGTTAAGCTACGCCCAGCACCGCCACGAAACCCGGCCGAAATTAAATAAATAAATAATTTTTTAAAAAAGTACTTCGGGGACGATTTCAGGACAAACTTCCTCCCTCCGCGGAACGGAGCGGGGCCGAGGCCCGGGCCCGGCGCCCGTTAGTTACATAAGCGGCCCCGGCGCCGGGCCCGCCGCTCCGCTCCGCTTCCCGCCGGGGCGGCGCGCCGCGCCGCGCGGGGAACAGGCTGGAGAAACGGGCGGGAGGAGGAGCGGGCGCGAGGCGGCACCGGCCGCGCCGGGGGGGCCGCTTCCCTCCCCCCCCCCAACCGGGCCCGGCGGGTGGGGGCAGGGCAGCACGAGGCACTCACCAACGGTCGTGGAGGGGGGGGCGCTCGCCGCGAGCGACGTGGCCGCTGTGGTGGCCGCGGCGGAGCCGCAGAGCGCGGCCAGGCAGAGGGCGGCCACGGGGAGCGCGGGGATGCGGCCCATGGCGGCGGCGCTCAGTCCCGACCCGTCCGGTCCGTTCCCGTCCCGCGCGGTCCCGCCGTTTCGCTTCTCCTCCCGGCCCCGCTCGCGCTGCCGCCGCGTCACGCCAGCGGCCCCGCCCCCTCCGCGCCCGCCCCGCCCCCTCACGCGAAGCCCCGCCCCCAACCCCCACCCTGGGCGGGGAGGAAGGGGGGGCAGCGGCGCGCACCGCCTCCCCACGTGATCACTCGGGGGGAGGGCTACTCCCCACCACGTGGTCACTTATGCCCCCTCCCCTGGAGGCCCCGCCCCCTCCGCCAGATCCGCCGCTCATTGGTTCGCAGAGAGGCGGCGCGCGGTGACGTAATCGCGCGACGCGGGTGGTCGTGGGGAAGGTGGTTTCTAATTTCAAATTAACGGCCGTGAGGAAACGGTCGCGTGTGGTGCTGGGCGTGCGGGTCCGAGGGGCGCTCCCTGCCCTGGCCCGGCTCTGTTCCCTGTCTCGTAGCGTTTCGTTTGCATTTGAAGAGCGAGGCTTAGGGAGTGGCGCAGTGGATAACAGTGCCCCGAGTAATGGCGCCACGTCTGCTCGTGCTCTGAAACGGGAGCAGCTAATAGGGAGCCTGGGCAGGACCCTTGTGGAAAATCTGYTGGACTGTGGTGGAAATATGGAAAAAAAAAAGTCTCATCATTGCTGTTTCCAGCTMCTCTGGAAATAGCACCCCGAAAAGGATGTGTGTCTGGAAATCCCTCTTTTCTGCTCTTTTTCTTCCCTCCTTTTTTCCCCACCTTAAGGTAACTTGAGTCAACATACGCCGTCTGCAGTGGTGATAGGCCATAAAGCTGCTTCAGTATCCTCTGTTCAGCAACAGCATAAGCAAATGTTGGGAAAATGAYGCCAAGCAATCAGTGCCTGACTTGTGCCTTCTAATCATAGGGAAGCAACACTCCCAGGCTTGYGCCCCCTTGTTCAGAGTAGCATGTAAAATAAAAAGAGGAGCAATGTAAGTAGATCCTGCAACTTAACCAAAACTGAAGTGTGCATTTCCATACTTCCACTTACATGCTTCCATATGCCAGCAGGGACTGTTTTTGTCCTGCTGGGACAAGGATCCTTTACAGGGACCAGAGCTTCATGCACAGGTGTCACTTGATGTGAGGCATTAATTGAACTCAGCTATTCCTTTTTGCAGTTCTTATGAGTTATCTTAATAATTATGTATTATGAGCGTTCTCAGCAACTAATACAATGTTTTGGTTTATGAGATGTGCTGGCTGCTGGCTTGGCGTGAAGAATCACAGTTGCTGCAATCTAGATGCAAAACTGCTGCAACATGAGAGCACTGGCCTTTTAAAATGAGAACAAACGGGGCATATGGTAAATGAAAACAGTAAAAGAGAAGACACCAAATAGCATACATATATATGGAAAAACAGGGAGAAAATGAAGTAGACAATACAATACAAAGAGACTTCAGATTACCAGCAGGGCAAGAATTACAGCCACAACTTGCCTCTGCAAGCGAGTGAAAACACGTCCACCACGTAATCCGAGGGGCTGGTGGGAATCCAAGGGTATGATAAATGTGGTCAGAGTGATTTTTTTCTTAAAGTCAGCATCTCTGGACTTTGTTGAGGAATACAGTCAGCAGCATCGTGGCAGCTCGGGTTGTTGTTGTTGGATTTAAAACATCAGATTCATCACTGTATTTTTTTTTTCTTTCATTGCACTGTTATATACTTAGTGGTTAGTGAGGCATTTACCTCTATTTTGAAAGTCAGAACATTTCTTATAAGGAATTCCAAGCACTGCATTACTGGAAATTTATGCAAAGTACTTGGCAAATATGGACAAAAATAAGAGTCTGCAGATGTCCATTTTAGGGAAGCATTTTTTAAATGCAAATACCCAGGAATCGCAATGATTTGGAGCCTGGAACGATGGAATAACTGGRCTCCTGAAGAGATTTGGAGTAACATACTGCAAAGTCAGGGAGGATGGCAATGAACAAGAGTTGTTTTGTAGATAATATGAAAGGAACTTATCGCTTTGGTTCCATTTATAAATTATTTCTTTTCAAAATTACCATTTCACCTACATTTCACCGTGTTGTGACAAACAGAGTGTTTGTTTTATACACAGTGGCTAATATTCTTCGGGAAAGTGCCTAGTTCCAGAGGGAGGGAGGGAAGCCTCCAGCCCAGATAGCCCTGTAATATATAAGGTTTGAGATCAATAATATAGGGTCTGAGACCAAGTGTGTTTTGACAAAGTAACACAGAGTGTCTTGGTGGGCAAGCAGCTGGGCCAGCTGAGCTGGGGCTTTGCCCTGGAGCTTACACACCTAGGCCCTACTTTTGGAAAAGAGAGGGATAGGCAACAGATATTAGACAGTTAGAGACCAGATTAATAATGTATTTTGCTGAAAATATGGCAGGAAGATACCAGGGATAGGAAATTAGGGAAAAGTGTCTTACATGGAGCTTCTGCAGTGTCTTCTTGTTAGGGAAGGGCAAATCCACATTGTAATGGAAGAGGAGGCACCGTCCACGTGGGCACTCGGTGGCTCTGCAGCCGTTCCAGTAGCCTTGCGGGTGGCCCAGGTGGATGTCCTCTGCCCCTAAGAGGGGTGTACGGCCTAAGGCAAGGCGAAAAGAGATGTCAAGGGAGAAAAATGAAAAGTGCTACGGATAGACAGGGTGCAGCGGAAGGAATAAACTCCTCACCTGCACAGCAAGAGCCAGACACAGAAGAAAGTCAGGCTGATTCAGGTAACAGAAGGAAAACAAGGCTCGTGTTTAGCCTGAGTCTTCCCGAAGCAGCGTGATGAAGAAGAGCAGCCACTTCAGCCTATCTGCAGCGTGCGGCTTCCTCCCGGCGCTTCCACAAAGCAGGGCCAGGGCTCCTGCACTTGGAGTTTCGCTCAAGGCCAGCGGCTGATAAGGAAGAGCCGAGCAGCCTTGGCCAGCCTGGGAGCACTTCCCAATATTGCCCACTTGCAGCTAAAGTAAACAGCTGCACCGTGGGGGCTACTGCATGAGCACCGAGCACCTGCGCAGCAGAGGGACTGTGCTAGTAATGCCCACTGGCCTTGGTAGCCCTCCTGGATCACGTGCAGAAACCGTCTCAGGCTGGAAAACTGTGTCATCGCGTATGATTTCATACTCCAGCTTTCATTTGATAACCCCAGGCACCAGTTCAGATTAGGGGTTGCCCTGCTGGAAAGCAGCTCCACGGAGAGGGAGCTGGGAGTCCTGGTTGACACCAAGTTAACCATGAGTGAGCAGTGTGCCCTCGTGGCCAAGAAGGCCAATGGGATCCTGGCTGCATCAGRAGGAGTGTTGCCAGCAGGTCAAGGGAGGKGATTCTGCCCCTCTACTCAGCTCTGGTGAGGCCGCACCTGGAGTGTTGGGGGCAGTTCTGGGCTCCCCAGTATAAGAGGGACGTGGAGCTTCTCGAGAGGGTCCAGTGGAGAGAGACAAAGATGATTAAGGGACTGGAGCATCTCTCGTATAAGAAGAGACTTGAGTGAGCTGGGCCTGTTTAGCCTGGAGAAGGCTGAAATCTTATCAACCTGTACAAATATCTGAGGGGAGAAAGGGACCAAACTCTTCCCAGGGGTGACCAGTGACAGGACTAGGGGCAACGGGTGTAAGCTGAAACACAGACAGTTCTATCTCCATGTGAGGAAGAACAGCTTCCCTGTGAGGGTGCCAGAGCCCTGGCACAGGCTGCCCAGGGAGGCTGTGGAGTCTCCTTCTCTGGAGATCTTCCCAACCCGCCTGGATGCCGCCCTGTGCCCCGTGCTCTGGGTGTCCCTGCTGGAGCAGGGGGGTTGGACTAGACGATCTCGAGAGGTTCCTTCCAACCTCAGCCATTCTGTGACTCGGTGATTCTTRGGTGCTCTCCTCAGGCCAGTATCCGAGCTGTGACCACAGTCTTGCTGGCAGCGTCCCGGCCGACTCAAGTGCCATCACTGTGGCTCGCCCGGAGCACCGTTATGTCTGAAATTCACCCCGTTCCCTGGCTCTCCTCTCCTGGTCCTGAGGCAGCTCCAGAGAATGTCCCTGCGTGGCTGCCCCGTGCCGCCCTCGGGCACTGTGTGGGGACAGGACAGTGACTCTTTCTCCCTCRCTTGCTCCCTCAGGGAACACGCTGCTGGAAACACGTGTATTTTGGTGAGGGAAACACGTCTGCTCGCTCCAGGAACATGGCATCACGGAAGACAAATGGGCGCAACRCAACAAATTACTTGTTTTTTTTTCATAGGAAATGAGTTAATTGGCCTCTTTCAGCATTGCCTCCTTTCATCTGCAGAACTCAATTTTACTTTTCTCTTTAAACATCTGACCAGAATGTAAACCTCCTAAAATAAATAAACAAATAAAGAGTCCCTAACCTCCATCCTAGTGTTGGTTTCGTAAGCCATATAATTTCACAGCAAATACATGTCTCTAGCATTTATGTACTTAYGAAAAATAACTTGCCAGGAAGTATATTATTTTCTGAAGGAAATACCTYCCCATATTTTCTACTTTGCCACAGAAATATGAAGTGAAAATAATTAATCTATGTTGAGATATTTAGAATCTAGTTAGTTTATTGTAGGCCTTTCTGTAGGCAATTGGTTTCAAATGTTCCTAMAGAAGACTTAGTTTCTATACAGCAATATACATATTAGAAAATAAAATACCCCAGAAATAAATTTAAAAAATACATAAAAATGCGTTATAAGGTTCTTAAACTATTTTGTTACAGATACATTCAAGAATATCTGTTGTACTGTAAGGAAGAACCTAAATCCTCTTGTTAAAATTTAACATGATTAAGCCAAGTTAAACATTTGCCGCGTGATTTGTTGAATTCATTTGCATTTCACAAGTAAACTTCAGCATATTACCCCGGTATCATAAAATGTTGGGGCTTTCCCAGACAGAAATCGAGTTCAGAACTTGGCTTTTTCCGTCTTTTCCCTGTCACCTCTGCCCTGCCCTGTGGATTTTAGCGGCGCGGCGCAGGAGTAAAGGCTGCTTGGGATCRCTCTGCCAGGAAGGGAGGCACCGGGAAGCCGCTCCTGCCAGCAGAGCCCTGACACAGCAGGATTTAGCGTCACACTGCATCCGAGCATCCTGAGGAATGCTCCTGCCTTTGAACTTCCCATGTGCTTTGCTCTGCCTTCTCCTTCCAGACTGCAGGTTCATTTTCCACAAGTCTTTTGAGCCTCTTCATGCTCCTCTGCCRTCTGCTGCTGGACCGGTTGATGCCCAAGCTCTGCACACTGAAATCCCTGTCTGGCACTGGATGCAGTGTTACACACTTGCATCCACATTCAACCTTAGTGGTTCCCCTTGTCACTTTTATTTTCTCGTGGGCAGTGCAAGGCTAAATGCATCACATTCGGAGAAGTGTGAGTCACRCAAACAGTTTTCTCCTTTCCTCTGAGAGCTCTGAGCTCCCCTATCCAGCCCACATTTGGTGTCTGAGCTGTGCTGGGCCCAGCAGATCTGCTGCACCACGCTAAATGATGTGCTGTATCGTGGAGATCAGGATTTTGCCGTGAATTATTTGTCTTTAGAGGTGTGAATCCATCAGTCAGCTTSTATTTTGCTATACATGCATTTTGTCATATCTGCTTCTCATAACAGACTGTCCCTTGGTAATTATATTATAATCTTCTATGAACTGTGCACTGGCTCTGGGACTTACCCGCGGGTCTCTTGGGGTACTTGGGTGAAAGGGTTTTTCACAACCTGTGGGCAATATTTTAAGTCAAAGGAACGATACCAAAACTTCACAAGGCGCAAGAAATGTTTTTATTTTTGACTTGCCAAGTAAAAGCCCTCAATCGCTGTCAAACAAACACAAGATAAGGCAGGGAAAGAGCAATCTACCTCTCCGCATGCAGGCGAACAGGCTTGTAATCACGGCTCAAAGACCCCACAGTTAACGATCTTACATTCTTCAACAGGCCTCTCATTATACGTGGACACAGCCTCCAGTTTCTGCAGAGTCTCCGTGCCCTCGATCAGTTGCCTGCAGGAGGGCACAAGCATGGTGAGAAGGGTATCATCAGCATGAGGGGATGCCAGCATGACCCTCACAGGTTTGCAGCAAGTTCTGGGTCCTGCTCTGGCTTTGATAACTGCTCAGTGAAACTGGTGTCACTTTTGCCTTGGCCACCTGGCCTGTGGGCCACTGTTGGCACCTGCATCTGATGCTGGGCTGCAACGAAACCCYGTGGTGTTTTTCCTACCAACAGGCGATATCTGTTCTGCCCTCCAAAGCAAATGTCCCTCTTAACGGAGTTGCAGAGGGATGTTGTCCCTTCATTAGATACTCACCAATGCCATGACCTGGACTGAACTGCCTAMAGCCAAGCTCCTTGTAAGCTAAGCCTGTTGTAAGCTCAGCGCTGAGCTTCCCTCTGCCTTCACTTGTGGCAAACACCACTTGCTGTGACTATATCCAGCCAGGGTTCACTGTGGGGTTGTTCTCTGGAGGTCAGATAATTATGCTTTTCACTTCCTTGAAAAACACTGGGTTTTTCTATAATGTGGTTACGTGGAAACTCCACTGCACATTTCTTTCTATGTGGCAATACATGCATTTTTTTTTTGCTTTTATAGCCAGCAAACTTCTTGGACCAAAATCTTCCCTAGCACATCACTAAAAGTCTAAAATCTTGAACAGGGCCAGCCCTATAGATGAACCTACCGTGAACAACCTGTTGGCCCATACTGGCCAGAATAACTATTTTCCATTACAACTATTTCCAACCATTTTTCGAGGCAAATCGGAGGTTGGAGGCGTCTGCTCGATGCAGTCCCATCCACTGGGATGCAGTTTTGTTTGGTGGGCAGCAACGCCCCAGGTCATCTCAAGGGCCTCCAGCCCGAGCAGCTCAGGCCAGGGCAGAGGGAGGGAGGAACAAGCACCACTAGGTGCTTTAGACCCATCTTCTCCATGGCCAGAGACGACGGCCRCGTGGCGGCTGCCGTACGGGCTTCACGTTCCAAGGGTTGAAGCAAGAGCAAGCTGGTGCCTACGTACCCGAAAGCCACGTGCTTTCTGTCCAGGTAGGGAGCTGCCTGGAGGGTGATGTAGAACTGCGAGCCGTTGCTGTGGCGGCCCTTGTTGGCCATGCCCAGGATCCCTCTCTTGCTGTGACGGATGGCGAAGTTTTCATCTAGGAAGAGATCAGTAATAAAAATAAAAGGACTGGCTTTGCCAGGAAGCACTTGCTTCCTTGGCTTGCAGTCACTATTACGGCTCCTTTTTCTCTCGTTTCCTYCCTGCCCTGTCTCACTTTCCATGTCCTTTTCCTCCATCAGTCTCCCATCAACCCATCCCACACGAGTGAGGTCACTCTTGGGTTGGAACCAACGTCCAGAAAGCACTTCCCGCTACTACGTAGCTCTCACGCCAAGAAATGAAAAGGTGAAAGCTGCTCATGCAAAAATGCTCTGGGTGTTTCTGAATGCTGGAAGAGCAGCGCTGCTCCCGCAGCCCTGCGTCCTCCCGCYGGGTCTCTCCCCTGAGCAGCTCAGGGCATCCAGCAGGATGGTTCCCTGAGGCTACTTGGGATCATTCCTCCTTTGCGGATGATCCCTGCCGTGTTTGTGTCTGGGGGATGAGGACCAGGAGCTGATCCCTTGCATGCACTTTCATGGCTGGGCTCCCAGCTATGACAGGGCAAACAGGAGACCCAAATATCAGAGATTATATATATTAGATATATAATATAGATTAGATATATATAATATTAGATCTGGGCCAGGCACTGCTGGCCCCCAACGTGGCACTCATGACACTGAGCCCTCCAAGCCTGAAGGAAACTATGAACATTTTTCAATTTCATTATCCTCCCATTCTGGGGGGTTATTTTTGCTCTGGTTGAGGGCCCTTCTCAGGAACCAGCTCCCAGGAACCGTAATCCATTTCCAGCAGACATCTCCCGCGGGGCGGGCCTGTGCCTGGCAAAATGGCCACAACAAAATGGTCTCCCTGTGGCGTGGGGCGCTCCGTGTGGCGCCACGGCCGAGCGGCTCTCCCTGATTACCTCAGCGCTCGGAGCTCATTACAGTAAAACACCCTCGCGTCCTGTTAATTCCAGCAAGTGCTGTGGCCAGGGGCCACGCGCCAAATGCAGAGCTTCATGGAAAACTGCCTTCCGACAGGGCATCCGTCACTGCTCAAGGTGTCTGTCCTCTGTCCTCCACGTAAGCAACTTGGCGGGAAGYACTCGGGGAGCAATCTACGTCTTGAGTCAAAGGTGTGTAGCTAAGTAAACCCCCTCCTAAGTCTAAAGGCTTAAAAGCAACATGTAGATTTTAATTAAAAAGGGAAGGGCCGGCAGCCTTCTCTTCTGACACCTCAGCATTTGTAGTGGGTGCAGTATGGGCTGTAAAATCCTTCCAGGGACACTTCCAGGGTCGASGGATCCCAGTCGACACCTCTCCTAAAATCACATTAGGTAGGTGCTTTTGAAACATACAACCCGCCTACGCTTCAGCGCTGGCAGCAGCAGAAACCCCAGGCCTTCCAGCATCTCTCCTCGGTGGCCGATGAGAAGCTCGAGCTTCMTCCAGAGCTTCAGCAGGGCCAGGAYRGGGGCAATGTCCTRTCCAAAAAGCCTTATCAACCCACGTGCTTTGGCTCCATCCCGGGCCTCAAATGTCTTTGAAAATAAAGTTTTCGGCTCTGCTTGGCGTTTCTGATGGTGCTGCTGGCTGCTGCCCAGCCTGCTCAAATGTAACGGCGCTTGTGACATTGGCAGGAGGAAAGCTTTTGCATAAGAGAACATAAATCAGCTTCCAAAGTGCTTTACCTGCCATAAACCATCTTTATGGGCAGCACTTAATCCAAGCAGAATACCCCAAATGTCTGCGTCAGAGGAGCTGTTTCTCTTAAATACTGCATGGTATAACATTCTTCCTGCTTTACATTTATTGCCTTATGTCAGTATTGGGGGGAACACTTAATGTTAAGCTTACCTCACGTTTGTCGTTTCTTGACTCTCAGAGTTTTAAGAYGTAGTGAAATTTGGCTCTTACTCAATTTAGTAGCTCCACTTACATCAGCTGGGTCACATAAGACATGGTGGTGGCCCCTGGGATGGTCCCAAGCCCTAAAGCTGCCTGGCTGCCAGCAAATCTAGAGCTAAAATGAGTTATTTCCATTACTTTAAATGTATTTAAACAAGTGTTATCAGATGCCTGGGGATCTGTAGTTATTCACAGCACTTTGCCTTTCTGAAGCCCTTCCCTACTATCAGCAGTCACAGTTTTACATGTGAAGTAAACAGGCGCGTGGCTGTCAGCCGTCACTCGGAGGGTGATAGGGCAAACGGGCACGGATTTGGGAAGTGGCAGGTTGGGCACCGTGCGTCAGAGGCGAGATTACACGTCCCACAGCTCCCCGTGACAGCAGCCTGCTGGTGCTGATGCAAATGATGAATAAAGCTGACTGAAAATCCAAGCGTTTCCCTCAAGGAGATGAAAGAAAAGCTCCGGGTTATCCTGAGAGGAAAGTCGGTTGGATAACCTGAGTTTTGCCGTAATTTGAGACTTGCATGGAGAGATAACTCAGCGAACCTACCTTCAAAGGTGGGACCGTAGATGGATTCCCCTCCGTCTCCTCTTCCAGCTACTATGTCTGCAGAGCAGATAAAAGCAGCCATCAGAAATGAGGTTTGTCACGGGCTTTATCAGCACGTGCTGGGGCAAGGACGCCTGTCGGGGGAARATTTCAGGGCAAGGAAAGATGGAAATAAGGCTGTGATATTGCGGTGCGTTAAGGCTAGCAGCTGAAACGAGGGAGAATATTTGGAGAAGGAGAAATTCCTGTGGGAGTAGCGCTCTGATGGGTGAGACACCACAGAGAACCTGTTCTTTTTGCCTTTTTTATACAGAAGGTTTAAAGAAACCCATCTTTGTTACTTAAGCAGTGGGGTACACAGGTTGGGTTCAGGGTAACCCCTACAGCAGCAAGCCTATAATCTCYGCTTGCTTTTACGGGCCGCATAAATATCTTCATGGTTGTCCATGGCAAGCAGGGAGCACGTCTTCAAAACTGAACAGAAATGGGGCGTAAGCACTCGCCTTTGGAGCAGGGAGAAGAGAAAGGTAAAATGTATGGGCAGGCATGGCATGGAAGAGGCTGGAGAGAAGGAACCAAGGAGATCGCTCCCTTTCCCAGCACACCTCACTTGGCTTGGGACAAGCTACGAGGTGGGACAAGCTACGTGATGAGTCACTTCCTACGTCTTCTCGGTAGGTAGGTAGCACCCAGCTCTGGGCGTAGCGCCGGTGCTCCGATAACGTCCCCAAACACCAGGAGAGTCTCTGGCGCTTGGCTAAGTGCCTCCGTAAACTAAGCTCTCTGTAGAGCAAGCGGTAGGTTTTGCTGTATATACTCTTAGTGCTTTAATGTTTTCCATTAGTGTCCTAATTACTTGCCAAGAGCTTCATGAGCACTTCAAGTGGTTTTCTTGTGTTCACTTAGTTGCTTAAATACTAAAATCCAAAATACCAAAAATATTTTGAAAAAAGTCTTGGGTAAAGAGAGAATGTTTTGCATTTATACACACATATATATGTATATATATAAATTTATAATTATATAAATTATATATATATATAGATATATTTATATATCTATAAATTTAGAGCTTGTGCTGCGGAGATGTGCTACATCCCAGAGCTCAGTTTTGTTTCCTTGGGTGAAGACCGTTCCTTGTGCAGATCATCCCGCCCCACGTGGCTGTAGTTCACATATACTCAGACACACACCTCCTCCTTGGATCCATCCATTTTTCACCACTCGATGGAAAACTGAGTTTTTGTAGGTGAGATGGAGACCACTGGAAGGCGACGTGATGCCCCCCGTGCACAAAACACGGAAATTCTCACACGTTTTGGGGCACAAATCAGAAAAGAGCTGCAAAATCGGAGAGAAGAAAGATATGTGGAATTATTAATGGCTGTCGGCGGGCCAGATTTCTCTTCCCTCTTCTTTGGCAAATCAAGACAAATAAAGCATTTGCTCTATTTGCTCTTTGCTTTTCTCCTCTGTAACATACCTCGAATAAAAGCGTCCCGATGGGCTGTTCCTGAATGGTTATATCCAAGTACACAAACACGTGCTGTTTGGAGCAGAAAAGCAAATCCCGTGAGATAAAGCCCTGCTTTCAGCCCAGCCGCCACCGCTCCAGCTCAATTCAGAGTCCAGCTACAAAGGGCCCCAGAAAATGCCCGCGGGACAGTCAATGCAGAACAATACAGTTTCCATTGTTTTCTTTAAGTAAATAATGAATGAATAAAGGTTGAAGTCTCATGTCATTTTGGACAGAATGCTGTCCCCCTGGAGAGGAGATGCCTGAACCATTCCCAAATCGGTGACAACCTTATTAAAGCTCCCTGGTGGTTCATCCTTCTTCAAAATTAGGTCCCATGCCAGCCTGTCCCACAAAACCCCTTCCTTCGGCAAAGAGCACGAATGCCCCAGGAGAGAACACTTCCTTGCCCCTCTCATTCCTCCCCTGCCCCTCTCCGTTTCCCCAATGGCTTCTGGAAAAAAAGAGAGGTGGGATGAGCAGGGGGGAAGGGTGGGATCTCCGCGTGCCCCGCGCGGCGCCACGTGCCTGGCTGTGCCGCATGTGCTTGGTGCAGAAGTCCTCGGCGAGGGCGCGGCGCAGGGCGGCCGAGGCGACGTCGCGGTGGCGCCAGGCGCGGCGGGCCCAGCGCTGCAGCTGCCGCTCGTCGCCCAGCAGGCGCCCGCCCGCGAAGCACAGCACGGGCGCCGCGTACGCCCACGCCTCGCCGCGCAGCTCCTGCGGGACGGGGCGGGATGGGATGAGGCGAGGGGGAGCCGCGGCCGCCATGGGAGGTGCCCGGGGTGTGCGAAGGGACGTCGCACGGCCTGGATGGGGCGGTGATTGCTGGGGAGAGCGTCAAAAACCGCCACGGGGAGAGCTCAGCAGCCAACATCCGCTCTTGGGAATGCGGCTTTCCAAGTGTTTGAGTGGGCAGGGGGGCCTCGACACCCGTGCACTGCTGCAGGGGTCTCCAAGGACAGGGAGCCGYGGTGCGATGGAAAGCAGCCCCTCCAAAGGGTGTGGGTGGTGGCCTGGAGTGGGGGGACGGGGACACGAGGGTCCGCACAAGCTGGGTTGGGAACCGCGTGGGTAAACGAGAGCGTTACCTTCTTCTTCTCCTGTAAATACTCGTGCCAGGCGAATTCAAACATGGGGCGTATTATGGGGTCGGCAAACTCCTTCGGGAACTTCAGCTTCAGGGCCTGGGTTTTCAAGGCGAGGAGAATTAAAAAAATTAAGCTGCTCGTAAGCAGCTAAACCCTCCACACGCCCTGGCGCTGCTGGAASAACTCTCTGTTCGCCTGTTCTTCAGTATGGGTGCCGCTTTGCAAGCACGCCCGGGGGACCCCCCTCGCCGCGCGTTACCTCCGCGATGCCCTTGGCCACGTGGAAGGCCGGTTCCCGCAGCAGCCCCACCACCTCCAGCCGCTCCGGCGGCTCCGGGGGGCCCATCCCGGGGCAGCCCCGCTGGCTGGCACGCAGCGGCTCCGCAGGCTCCGGCCGCGGCTCCCTGGCAACGTGGAACGCGCCGGAGCTGCCAGCGAGGCGCGACGGGTGGTGGGTTCGCCTGGGTTTCCTTTCTCCCTGCCCGCCCCCAAGAAAAACGCCAGAGTGCTTCCTGATGCCCATGCTGGCAGGCTTTTAAAACTGTATGGAAAGTAACAAAATCCTCTTTTTTTCTGTTTCCCTCCCAGGGAAACAAAACAGAACAGCGCCAAGAACAAAAGGCTGATAGGGCTTCCACAGAGAACTGAACCCTGGTCCTTCAGGATCTCTTCCCTGCTGGCCTAAGGATGGGATCACCTAGCAGAAATAAGGAGCCTAAGGATGAATCCTAAGGATGAATCTATTGTCACAAAGCACAAAAACAAGGCGACATAAACAGATGTGTCCCTGTTGCTCTCCCAGCCCCTGGTGACCTGCTGGCACCTCCATGGTTAAATCCCCTTGGTGGGTCTTTTCCTGGTGAGGGAACGTGCTTTTTGAGCAAGTGGAAAAACCTGGCAGGCACAAAAGGCCGTGGCAATGAGACCACAGCTGGGCCGCACACCGTGCATGGAAGCGTCTCCTTTTGCATGGAAATACCCGCCTGTTAATTGAGCCGGGACACCCCGGGGCTCCATTCAGAGCCCCAGGCTCCGGTCCTGCGACGGCCGTGCAGCTCCTCTCACTCTGCGCTCAAGTGTCACTCTCCAAAGCAGCTTTGTGGCTTCATTTTATGTATGTATGTAATGCTAAAACACACATAACTGATGTTGAGCCGGGTCTTGCTTTAATAACCACAGACACTTTTTTTTTTTTCAGAATCTATAGAATACTAAATTTGTACATAACTATGGTGTCAAATCCAAAAAAGCCCATGGCACCTTAGCCAGGTATTTCTGAACTTTGTGCCTGKAGAAAACGGCAACTGAGAAAGAAATGACAGGACAGCACCAAGGGCTTCAGAAAGCTCCCTGCCAGGTGGGCTCTTCTTTTGGTTTGGAAGTTACACCTCTGTTTGCAAACTGTGGCCCAGTGTCACAGATTAAGTTACTGACCACCTCTCTTTCATTTCCCTCTCTCTCTTTTTCAGCTTTCGTTTAGATATGACAAATATGACCATAGCGTGAAGCCCCGAGTTGAAGCTTGGGCAAAGCATCCTCAAGTCATTTTTGCTGCGGTCTCTATTTGCATTGCCTAAYGTAGTTCAGGACAGAGATACAGCAATGGGAAACTAACCATGTCTTTAGTAAAAAGAAAAATAAAGAGTCCTTTTAACATATTCACATCCTCTTACGGAGCAGGCAGTGTTAATCAAGACACTCATCTTGGGTGGCTGACAACAAGCCTTGTCTTGAGCTAAGCCTGAGGTGCCACCACGCTAACCTGCTGCTACTTTTTCTGTGCTGTGGTTGAACACTGGAAGGGAAAGCTGGTTCCTTCCTCTCCTGTGGGGCAGATGTGACTATTCAGAGACCCCGGCCTCTGCAGGTTGCGACAGGCAGCACCGTGTTTCAGCAGCAAGACCATATGGCCTCTGCTAGAGCCTCAGGTTTCTACAGCAGCCTTATGGAAATTCAAAAAGAGAAGTGACAGACTCAGAGCACAACATGAAAGTAAGTTATGCTGCAGAAAATACTCTTTTTGGTACCTATTTTTATCTTCGCTCATGTACAGACGGTCACAACTGAAGTTCAAGATGCCTTTTAAATTCCGATGTATGAAATCTATTTCAACAGGCTGAGAGTTTCCAATGGTGTTAAATATCGAAACATCAAGCTGGATGACAGATGGGGTTGTGCCCTTTCTGGTACCCGTTTGAGACACCACGATGCGGTTCGTGTGCTTATTCATGGTGTTTTAATAAGCGCAGATCCGTGCTGAGGGGKTTGTGGTGGGCAGGGCTGCGCAGGACGCTGGCTCCCGCAGCTCTGCCGCCTYAGCTGCGTTAGCTCTAACACGGCAGAGCTCACAGCCAGGGCACTGCCAGAGGACGCACGGCAGCAAAGACAGCAGCAGGCAGCACCCTGCGGAGGGAAGGCAACGGGCACCCATGGGCACCCATGGACACGGCCCCTCTGAGGCTCCTGACACACGAGAGGAGTTTTCTCAGGGAGGCTTTGCTCTCGCCAAGCTCCCCACCTGCTGCGTCCGTTGCCATTTCAGTTCCTTGCAGTCCGAAATAGCGTCTCGAAGAAACCGAGAAAGAGAACAGAAAGGCAGGCTGGATTCTTTAAGGGAACCTTCCCATAGTTGCCTTTCAGTAAGGTGAGGACGGGAACAAGAAAGTGTTTCGCAGCTGGAGAGATGTAAGCCAGTCTCTTTCCAAAACCGCTGGCAAGACGGATGCCTGGGTCTGCATCCCTATCTTCAGCGTGTCAATATGCATCCAGTTTGACAAAGGGCACCAYGAGAGAGTCATCTCCCTCCCCTCTCCCGGGCACTACAGTAACTGCTGCAAAAGAACTATAATCAGCACCAAAGAAGCCCCAAATATATCAATTGCAAAAACTTGCAAAAAAAAAAAAACACGTGCTGCTGTCAAGATGTTCCTGGAGGCAGGGAGCTCTGCTTCCCCAGCTCCAACAAAACCCATCAGTGCTTGCTGGCTAAACCTCAAGGCCGCAGCTCGGATGTACCATGATGCTGCCCAGCTCCAGSACAAGAGCACAACGAGCACAGCCCTCCCTTGAACTTTCGGACTTCCACGTCAAGAAATGCTACTCAGGGACAGTAACAAATGGAGTAGGTATCTGAAGAGTAGTTGAATGCTATTGCAAAGAGAGCAAAAAGCCTCAGCTGGAACTTGAAGAGTCAAATACCACAGTGTGTGGCTGCCCTCCCCATGAAATTTACTTTATCCGCACAATTAACTAAAAGGGAGAGAAAAAGTGCATGTGTGTATAATATATGTGTATAATATATGTGTRTATATATATGTTTTAAAGAATTCAAGCATACTGAGTAACTTACATACAGAAAGCATTCTAATAGCATTAAATACTCACCAAAATAGCCTATGGGCTATAGGCTATATGGGCTATAGGCTAGGCCTATATGGCTGTATGGGCTATAGGCTAGGCCTACCTTACACTTGGGTCCAAAACCTGCACTTCACCTTCACACAGTAAGCAATGAGATTTGCTGAGACTGTTCTGCGGGAGGCTGTGAGCAGCCCTAAGGGGTTTACTCACCTTGGTGTGAAGGCATTTGGAGAGCTGCTGTGGAGCACAGTTTGAAGGCCGACAGGATCCACTTTTCCTTGTTGTTAGGAAGTTCTGAACAGTCACTAGAATAAAAAGTACAGACGAAGGGTCTTCCTTTCAAACCCAGAGCAATCGAATCGAAGGCTTTAGCTGCAGCCCGAAAAAAAAACACACACAAGGAACAGGGATTTATTGTCATCTTTAATAGAAATGTATTCACTACAAAGAAAGCAACAGCATCAAGGAAAGGAACATCTGCAGGATGAGAAACACGCTTCTCACTTCTCAAGTGCAAGCTAAACCAGGCACCAGCCGCTGAGGCAGCGCGGAGCAGGGGCCCCGCTGTGCTAGCCACAGAGTTACCCTCTTCACTGCCTCGTGGGGGACCTGACAGAAAAAGGGCATAAGAAAATCTGAAAAATAAAACAGCTTTTTGGGTTGCGGGAAAGCTGCTAGCAAGCACTACATGATTGTAGCTTAAACCAAATTGTAGCATTACACTTATCCAAAAAAAAAAAAAAAAAAACCAAAAAAACCACCTTTCACAATAAACAAATTAAGGTTGAAAAAAATATTTAACAGTTAGTTTATTTAGAATTAACTAGTCTTAGAATTTTACTTGACATGGAACCGGCTTTTTAAGCACTTTGGGATTCACACATTAAGTTTATGGCAGAGAAGGAACKCAGTGTAGGCTCCTGTAAATTTCTAAGACAGTATTTATGGCTCCACATTACAGTATTTTAGATGAAATCAAAGTTGTTAGGATGTAACAGCATATTTACTGTAGTATTTATACAGTTAATCAGCAAGATTTCTGTGGACGTTACAATGAGTTTCACTTATTTTCTGTTTGTTCTTGCAGCATCAAGGCTTCAAGCTTCCGAAACACCTCAGCAGAGCACGCTGGCTCTCTGCGGTGGCACAGAGTACAACACAAACAGAATTTGTCCCTTCTGAGAGGGGACAGAAGCAGCTGCAAAGCCAAACTGCTTTCTTCTTGYGTTGCTTTATTCCCACCATCTACCCCTCACCATCCATTTCTCTAGAAGGTGATCTGCTACCTTGAAAAAACAACTGACACCTCCGAATTCCAGAGCCCAGCTTCAGGCTCCAGCTGAATATTTTGCATTTTGACATTGAAAAGCACCCAGAATTTGGGTCCCCCAGATACTGGGGACAGACGCTGATGTCCTGGAGTGAGCGGAGCAGAAGGCCACGGAGAGGATGAGAGACCTGGACCACATTACGTACAAAGGAAGGCTGAGAGAGCTGGGTCTGCCCTGGGAGGAGTTTCTGGGAACATCTTACTGCTGCCTCGGAGCAGAGCCTATAGGGAAAACAGAGCCAGACGCTTCTSCCAGGTGCAGGGACAGGACGATCCTCAAGACACAACTGCCAACAACCACGTGCTCTGAGCAAGGTGATGGACCAGGTGTCCTCTGCAAGTCTCTTCCACCCTAAATCACTCTGGATTCTTTATTCCAATGGTACTTGCTGGTCAGCCATAAGCCACGAACATACAAAGTTGCTGAGTTTTTCTTTTTTTTTAAAAAATCCATCAGCTAACTCCTTAATTTTTATATTTTTCATTTGTTAACCCCCCTAATATCAATCAAAATATACCCCACTATCAATGTAAACCATAAATAAGTCATTTCAAAACTTAAGTGAGAGTTGTGTGCCTTGCCTCAAGTAGCAATGGCATTTTACCTGTATTTTAACACAGACTAGTACATTAGAGGGAGATGTGACCAGCAGCTGCACTCGAAGCTGCACAGCATCAGCTCCTTTTTGGCAGGCAGCCACTGAAAACATAATCTGTACATACCAAGTCCACCAAAAGAGCTGCACAGCTTCAGTGTGATGAGCCCCACTGATAGAGCTCACTACGTTTGAAGCGATTCATTCATTCACAATAACAATTACAAGCTTTTACACAGAATAAGAGTAACACTGCATTCTGCTCTCCAAAGTACCAAAAAATAACGCTTTAATTAGAAACTAGCTCCTAAGCTCAGTCTGAGCCTTGTCAGGAAAGACATTTTGCACTTCCACATGAAAAGCTCTTCAAAGTGCTTGGCAGAATGCATGAACGTTATCCCCATTTCCTTGCTGAGGAAACTAAGGCACACAGGTCCAGTGACTTGCCCACAGTCACGCAGYGGGCGAGGGGGAGAATTAGCAGAATTTGGGGTTTTAACTTGTCCATCTCTTTACCTCTATACTAAGTGCAACGATTTCAACATTTCTCTTGAGGAGCGAAACCTCCCGTAGCATACAGTAAATACAAGGGCAAACAAGAGTCAGAGGCTGCAATGATTCCAACCAAAAACAAAGAAATTTGGTATTCAATAAATCAAAATGCACTTTAGGGAATGGTAACACTGGAAATTACAGGTTAATCTGGGCAGAGCTTAACGCTCATTAAACATAAGACATAACTGTTCTCCTTGCAAAAAATACTGATTATCTGAGGCCTGTCTGTAATGCAGGCAATGCTGACTCTTCCACCAGAGGAGCCCCACACCCTCATCAGCACCCATCTTAAACACTGTTTTCAAGTGCCAAGGTTCACCACCCTGGAAATGCACACTGAAATGCAGTAAGGGGCCAAATAACTCTTCAGTAGACATCAATCTGCATGAGGCACAAAAAAAGGCATTCATCACTTGTGAGGTATGGACTAAATGGTGGAGAAATTCCAATCAGGAATAATAAAGTCTAAAATAAATAAGATTAAGAAAATTGAATGTCATCCACCCAAAAAAAAAAAAGAAGCCACCAAACAATGCATCTTCAAATAGATTATTCCATACAAAAGGAAGCACAATAGGTGTAAGCGCTGCCTGGGTGGGAAGGGTGCTGCAGTCCAGCCTTCCGATGACAGAAAAGCCCTTCAAAAAGCCTGATCTGGAATAGGATGCTCATGAGATGCCTTGTTTACTGACAGGGACTGCTGATGAGATTCAGGAATTTGCACATTTGGGTTCTGTCCATCACTGAGGTGATGGGGAGGGACTGCATCTTGGCTAGAGTGTTGGCTTGATTCCTGAGTCAGTGGCACGTGTTGAGCTGGATGCGAAGATCCCGCTAGGTGGATTTCTTGGTTTTGTCCTTGATGAACATGGAGATGCTCTAGTGCTTCCTTGGAAAGAGTGATAACATGCATTTGTTCAGGCTGGGCTGGCTCAATTTGGTTTGCCATCACACTGATGCTTTGGATTTGTTCCCCTTGAGCCTGCTGAGTTGAAAGCAGCAAGTTCTGCAACTGCTGGGGTGGCTGCGCCAGCAGTGTGAGATTAGCAGCCTGTTCCGTTGTCAAATTTGGGGCGTTTTCTGCAGCAACGATACTAATGCCTTGATTATGACTAGGCATGAAGTTTATGTTGTGGACTGCATCCGTGACCAGCAGCTGGATTTCCTGCCCTCCGGAGGTGGCGAGCTGATACTGCTGCAGCTGAAGAATGTTTCTCACCTCTTCCGAATGAGTGGTGCCACCGGGGGCGCTGCTGGCCTCCTGGAACTGCTTTTCCTTGCTGTGAATCTTCAAGTGAGACTTCAGATTGTCCAGCCGGGCAAACTGCAAACTACATTCCGGGCAGGAGAAAGGCTTTTTGCCTGTATGTAGGATACAGTGTCTTCGTTTAGCGCTGGAATCGGAGAAGGATTTTCCGCATATACCACAAGAATATGGCTTTTCTCCCCTGCAAAAGAATATATTTGATCTAATTAAAATATCTCACTTGAAAGTGGTGCTTTCTGCGACTTGTTATACAGTAGAAGACTTTTTTTTTCCCCTTATCATAAACACTTAAAAACGGACACATTAAAAAGTTTTCTCTTTGACTTTCTAATTATTTCTATTTGATGTTCAAGAACTGCCCGACAATATTGTTCTTGGTATGCACTCAAGAGCTACAAATATAACAGAACTGCCTTCCTGTCATAATACTGAAGGTACAAATTGTATGCCACTAGATCTTGACAAGAGAAAATGGTCAAAAACGGTCAAAAAGGTGATAACACAAAAACTTATTTTGCACTACCATAAGCACTATTTTAAGAATGTTAGCATTTTAAAATCAATGATTTTTAAAACAAAAACCCACACATACATACAAAAAAAAAAAAAAACCTAGAAGACCTAATCTCTACATCTTAACTTGATGTCTGTCTCTATAAGATCAGACATTCTACCAGAAACATTCTCTTTCACATAAAACTTAAAATAGTACTTCAGTGATTTCAAATCTGACATGACTTTATACAACACATCAGGTTAACATGAGTAAAACATAACTAATAAAGAGGTTAGAGACCACAGACTACAGGAAAACTCTTCAGTAACCTTTTTACACCACGGCTACTCTTTTCTGTCAAATAAAAACTCACAGTAAAATTTTCTCTTAGATGATCCAGCAGTAAGTATATTGCCATTAATGAACAAATTAACATGCAAAAAGAGAACAATCTTACAGTGTCCTGACACACTAATACTTAACACTTCAAAACTTTACTAACAAACCTATTTTTCAAAGGATATATGAGCACTATCAACACATAAATCACACTCATTAAACTCTTTTTTTAACCAGTTCCCATATACTAAACAAAAATTGATTAAACAAAGATGACAGTGAATCCATCTTTAACACTAAACAAGCCTTAACCGTTCTATAATTGAATGGCCATCACATACAGACACTGGCATAGAAGTTACATACTCTACCTGTGAATTCTGATGTGAGTCTGAAGAGAACTTTTAGCTGTGAACGATTTGCCACAAATTTCACAAGTGAATGGCTTCTCACCTGAACAAAAAGAAGTTTGACATCACTTATTACGTGCCATTTTTCATCCATATATTTAAAAACATTTTACAAAGTGTGATTATGCTCCAAATCATCATCTTTTGAATCTCAGACCCGCGTTCTACCCATAAAAGCATGTTATGCTCTTTTGCTTTAACCTCTGTACACATTATCAAGCATAAAAGCCAGCCAAATCCTCATGCTTCTGTCACAAGTCAATATCAATATCTGAAATTGAAGGCAGACACTAGCTAGATGATGGTGCAAAATTTTAAAGGAACATTTCAGATAACTGTCCCCTTTGAAGTACAAGAATTAGGTGAACCAAGCCCTCAAAACAATAAAAGAGGTGCCCCAGGAGTCACCTCCAAATGGCTACACRTGGAATAGACAAGTTTGAAAAGGGCTGCCCCTCAACTGGAGGGCACTAGTGCCAGGCTCATGTCCAGCACCATGCCAATGAGCGGACCAAAATTTTTAACCTAAAAAAAAAATAATCAACTACCTAAACAGGTTGTCTGGCTTCCTAAAAGGCTCCATGCCAGGCATGGGATATCTTGTGCATAATGCAGGGACACCAGTGTAACAAAAATTAGCTTATGATGGGTTATAATAATTCTATGATTAAGAAGTTGGATAACTTTTTTACTATAATTGTATGCCTGGGTAGAAGCAACAAAAAGGTACACAATAAACAAATAGACAATAAAAGGTATTGTAAACAAACAAAACCCCACAAAGCCTAATTCACAGGATATCATTTTTCCTGTTGTATTCAGTGTCTTCAAGACACGATACGGGAATCCGGATCACCACTGCGGTGACTCACAGCGTTCAACCACACTGAAAATAATGGAGGATGAGGCAATGGCCAATATCCAGAAAAGTATCCTATTTGGTATAGAATTGCAACACTTAGTAGTTTTGGCCTTYGGGGACAAGGAGAAAGCACCACAGAAACAGAAAAAAAATGTTGAAAGGGGCCCTTGGAGGCCATCCAGTTCTGCCTTCTCTGGTTTAACTCCAAAGCTGGACTGCATTCTCAATGTTACAGAGCTGCTCCCAGAACAGCACAGTTCCRTCAAGATTCCCCACAAAACCAAATCCTCAGAACTTTATTTCCCAATGTATGGGGAAGGGGGAAGATCAAATGGTGTTTCTGCATTGACCATACTGCTCTCTGGCCTATCTTCACAGAATGGCCAAGGTTGGCAGGGAGCTCTAGAGATCATGTAGTCCAACCCCGCTGCTCCAGCTGGGACACCCAGAGCAYGGGGCACAGGGCGGCATCCAGGCGGGTTGGGAAGAYCTCCAGAGAAGGAGACTCCACAGCCTCCCTGGGCAGCCTGTGCCAGGGCTCTGTCACTCTCACAGGGATGAAGATCTTTTCTGGAAGCAAGATCTATTGCAACTCTTTCTGCTACAGCTCATCTTAGTAGGTCTGTCTTTGAAACTTACTTTGCCTATTATCCTCCCTCATTTCCTGCCACCCTCACTTCCTATTATGCTTACAGAACTGTATCAGCTTCASATAGAGAACTCCTGCGTGGGGATACACGTGTGCGTTTATGTCTCAACATACACTATGCTGTCCTGAACAAAAATATATTATTTACTAGTATTGAAAGCAGATGTTAGCCCGGATAGATAAAAAACGCCCCAAATCACAAGTGCTGACTCAACTATAATCCAGGGACTTTAAAAAAAAAAACCATAAGAGCAAATATTGCAAGGAGCCAAGTTCAGCTATGGTATTTTCTCTAAGAATTTACCATTCAAAGCAAACTGCCTTAAGATGACTATGCTTAGTCATTATGACAGTGTTTTTATTCTTGTTATCCAGGTATTCAAGTCTCACTTTGCCCTAAGTCTTYTAAAACACCCTTGCATTAAATCATCTCTTCCAGCCCATCTCCTGTCAACATCTGATTTACTGCAGCAGAATAAAAAGGTAAAACAAGCCAGTTATTTTTCTGATCAATACTGCTGTTGTAAGTATCCAACCCTCACAGAGAGTGCCTAAATCATTTACGATGTATACTTTTATTATACTTAACTCACTTCAAGCCCAACACGTGCTGGATGCCACTCTCCCAATGAACTGAATTCCCAGTCCAGAATTTTACCACAGCAGAGCTAACTTGCATTTTCTGCTGCAGACCTTCTAACCACAGAAAACAAACAGCTCTTCTGGCAACACACCTGGCTGGTGGGATGTTTTCATATGAGCTTTTTTTTGTGCTCATTATGTGTTCTTATGTCACAGTTCTTCACTAGAAATATACGTATATTGCTATACATAGTATAGTGGAAGTTAATTCACCAAAGATGAGGGACAAGCCAAACAGACTGTTATTTCAAGGAAAAAATAAATGAGAGCGAATATGAATGGCCATATTACCTGTATGTGTTCTTAGATGTTTCTTTAACTGAGCTGCATCCATGAATTTGCGACGACACTGGTTACATTCCGGCAATGAACGGCCTTGTCGCAATAATAAAAAAAGTGTCAGTGCATAAGTGATCCCCTGTATCTCTTCAGTGACCTTTGTTATAGCACTTTCCTGTAAAATAACCACTTTGATATAATATAGAAAGAAAACAAGAGGTGATTCACTGCCTCCTCTCTATCTCAACTGCCAGAATTACTCCTTGTCATTTCCCTATTTATTTTTGTTGCGGGAAGAGACAGTACCAAACTCCTGCTCACCCCCAAACCCACTTGCTTTCAAAGCTTTATAAAATCTTAACTTTTCCAGCATTTCCTGTGTGCATAATCTAMCTTCTATCTTTTTACAATACAAGTGAGCAGGACACATCCCAAAGTTTGTTTGCTAGTGCAAAACAACAAAAAATTGCAAGGTAATTTGCACGACAGGCAGCTGAAATGCATGTTGTTGTACAAAATTCCCAGTTTGTATGTGAAACAGTGAGCAGGACTAAAATAAAGCTGCTTTTCAAATACGGTGCATTTAACRTGTCACCATCAAATAAAGCCTCGTCAGTTTATGATCTTTCTAATCCTTTCTTTTTTTAAATGTCTGTTTTTTCAGTGTTTTCCTCACTACTCATTGTTATATTAAGATGTCATGCAGAGTAACAGAATCCTAGGTATATCACTGAAGAACATTCAGGRCCTTAGTCAATCTTTACGAAAGCAAACCAACACGGATAATGAGCCAACTCTACCATCCAAGCTCGTTATACCTGTATGCACTCGATAATGGCTCTTGAGCTGTCTCTTCTGGCTGAAGTATTTCCCACACTGATCGCATGTAAAAGCCTTCTGCCCTGTAGAGAAAATCACTTATTAAAACACAAGCCACATCCAAAGCAAGTGTAAAAAATCAGCACAGAGATCATTAACATTGTTTTGCAGAAATGGAAATGTTTGGGGGAGAATAATTACCTGTATGCAGGCTCATATGCTCCAGAAGAGAGTGTTTTGTGGTTAAAGCCTTGCTGCARACCGTGCACGTGTACGGCCGCTCCCCAGTGTGCATCCGCTCATGGACCTGAAGCGAGTGTTTCTGGGAAAAGCCTTTGCCACACTCACTGCACTTGAAAGGGCGCTCACCTAAAAGCACAAGATTTACAAATATCAGTGCATTATTTCTCTGTAAATACTCTAAGCTGATAGCGGGACGCGYGGCCATGCAAGACATATTAAAAACTGACCTTTAAGTAGTGATAAGGAGAATTTAAAGTGCCTAGTAAAAGAGATCTAGCTTGTCTTCAGCAAGAATTGCCCAAGACGGCACTCTGATCCAACAGCTCACACTTAAACAACTGGTTCACATTTAGCAGGAATCCACTCAAATCAACAGCAGCAGTCTCCTAATGCCTACCTGTATGACTTCGTTGATGAATTGCTAAAAAGTGATTGTACTTAAATACTTTGCCRCAGTCCTTACAGCGGGCTTCAGAACTGGTGCGTTTTTTCTTCCCCTCAGTTCTCTTGGCCAGCACTTTTTCCTCCTCGTCACCAAGAAGTTTGTAATCTTTCAGCTTGATCGATCTCTTTATGCGGCGCTTGCTGTAGCGGCTCTGGGTGCTCTGCACTCCCTCAGACTTGGGATCGTAATTCTCATCCTTCTCAGCAGAGAGATCCGCAGCATCCTCCGAGCCGCAAGCACGCTCCGTTTCTTCCATGTCTTTCACCACGGGAGCCTGCTCACCGGCAACCGGCTCTTCCGTCGCGCCGTCTTTCTTCATGAAATTTTGTTTATTTTGCACGGAGTTATTCTCTCTCAGCTGCACATCCTCAGCGGAACTCGCTTCCGCTTTCTCTTCCTGGGCGCTCCTGACTTTCCTCGGCCGGCCCCGCTTCCGCTTCGGGGCATCCGCGTTCCTGGTGTGGCCGGGAGCCGCGGGGCCACTGCTCGGCGGGGCGGCCGGCGCGGGGCTCGGCCCGTGGGCGGCCTCATGCTCCGCGCAGGCCCACACCAAGTCGTTCACCTTGAGCAGCTGCGCGGTAGCCAGGATTTGCTCCGTGCTCTTCTCGCTGGCGTGCAGGTAGCCGGTGTAGATGAACTCCAGCAGCGCTCCGAAAGCCTCCGCCACCATTCCCTCCAGCATGTAAATGGACTGCCCGATTTCGCCCTCCTCCACAAACATCATGGAGAAGTACTCGCTGCTGGCGGCGAGCAGAGCTTTGTGGGCTCTGAACTGAACGTTCTCCACTATGAGCGTAATGTCACACAGAAAATCCTTCTTCCTTTGTTCTTCAAAATTGGCCAGAATGGTATCTTTGTGAGCTTTGGAGTGAATGACGACCAGTTTCTCAGGCGCATYGGGAGCCGGTTCAGCCATTTTTATCTCAAATATGAAAGAAGGCACCTACAAGGATAAAACAGCTTTAATAAAGAAGCATCTTAGGAGTCTGCATTGCACAACACTAAGTATTATTTCCTTTATGAACTAGTGCRAATCTAACAGTTTCTGAAGCAATTCTGAAGCCTCTGAACTTTAAGAAGATAACATTAATGGTGACCTACATTATCTTCTCCCAAAAGTGTTTTTACATCTTAAGCTACAGCTAGTTTCTGCTCAGACCAGATTTACTGCCAGCCATTTCATTTGTTTAGCACTCATGTACTGTGRACTGCTCAGTAGCCAAAATGTGTGCTTTGTCTGAACCCCCTTCTTTTTGCAACCCAAACAACTGAACAAAAAGAATTCTTTGTTCACAGCTTTTTTTTTTTTAATGGAAATAAGGAAAAACTAATCGCAGCTCCAKCACCACTGAATGCTACATTTCAGAATATCCAGGGACAAGGCTATGAAACCCTGCAATCAATGACAAAAAGGGCACAAAAAAACCCACTGATTTGGGCATTGCAGGATTCCACGCCCTCTTTCATCCCCTGCCATCCTTGTTAAAACTTCTCTGGCAGATCACTTACCTGCCAATTCAGAGCCTACAGATGTGGCCAATAACACTAGAAAATAAAAAAACCAGCAAATCTACAAGGAGCAGACCTAGCAGCTCTGTCCCGGAGGGCGCTGACCACGCTAGGGAGCAACAGTTTGGCCTGTTAAGTACCTCTGACTGCAAACGCAGCCGAGGGCGCTACCGAAGGAGGGAAACGTGCAGCGTCGGGAGCACGCACGGCACAGGCGCACCGCGGGGGAGAGGCGCGGGGGAGCAGCCGAGGGGCACGTTAGGCGGACGCGCTCCCCGCCGGGCCGGGCCGGGCCGGGCCGGGCCGCCCCGTCACGTCACGTCACGTCCCACACGCGCGGGCCCGGCGGGGGGGGCGCGGGCCGCGCGCTGCGGGTGGGGCGGGGGAGGAGGGGCCGCGTTGCCAGGTGACGGGGCGAGGCGCCGCGCGTCACGCGCAGGGCTGCGCGGCGGCCGGGCCCGGGCTCCACGGCGGGCCCCGCAGAGCCCGGCCGCGCGGCGGCGCCCGGGACGGGGCGGGCGGGACGGACAGAACCGAACCGGACCTGACTGAACTAGACCGGACCGGACCGGACCGGACCGGACCGGACCGGACCGGACCGGACCGCACTGGACTAGAGCGGCGCTACCCCTCACGGCCGCACTCACCCCGAGCGTCGCTTCAGAGACCGCAGGCCGCCGCACTTCCTGCCCCGCGCGGGGCGCATGCGCTGTGATGCAGCGGGCAGCGCCCGCCCCAAGCCCCGCCCCGTGGTGGCCCCTCCCCGTGGTGGCCCCTCCCCGTGGTGGCCCCGCCCCATGGAGGCCCCGCCCCCCGGGGCGCCGTGTGGCGGGGGGAGGTTCGAAGAGACGCGCGCCGTTTCCGCACGGATTTACCCCAAAGCGCCCCTTTCCCCAGCGCGTGCGTCACACATTGAGCCCATTTAAGAGAGTACTATTAATTGAACCCATTTAAGAGAGTAATATTAAAATTCTAAACATTCMCCTCTGCAACAGTTGAGTCAGAAAAGGTTTGGCGAGCTGTGGGCAGCCCTGGGGAGATGCGGCATTCCCATATAAACCGGTGCTCCCGGGGAGCTAAAGGAAGCTGGGCCTCGTGCCCTTCAGGGAGAGGAAGGTCCGCAGCTTGCTGTCGAGGTCRGCAGGCCTGCTGTGGGGCTCCCGGTAGCGGCACGTCATCTTGGCGCCCAGGTAGGGAATGAGGGCGCAGTGATCCACGAACTGCTCCAGTTTCCTGCGGTACTTCCTCCGCACGGGCTCCGAGCTCCGGGGGTTGTAGGCTGCAAGAAACGGAGCGACACGTCAGCGTCCCGCGCGAGCTCTGTGGGATGGCGGCACGGAAATTGTACGACGTGGATCAAATGGGCACCAGGTGGTTTTGCTCCCCGTATGGGCAGAGCCCCTGGCACAGAAAGCCCTGCAGAAAGCAGCCGTTGACTCCAAWCCAACAGCAGAAACTGCCTGGTGTTTGAGAAGTTCATATCTCCAGATAACGATATGCAGAAAGACCAAGGGTTTGGTAAAAGAAGAAATATTTTGAGCTTCCATCAGCTTCATGTTCTTTGGGTAACGAGGGGCTGGAGACACTCTGGGCAGAGCCAGATTTGCAATGATTTGGGTGGTGGGGACACACGGAGCTGGAGCTTATGCATCCATCCAGACTTGAGCTGGATCCTGCACCAAGCTCTGTGCCCAGAAGGACGTTTCCACTTGGGCATTGCAGTGGATCTAGCCTGTTTCTTGCACTCATGCAGTGCTATATCTAACCTGACTCACTCTTGCGCAGCTCAGCACGCAGGAGAATCCATTGCGAAGACCTCCGAGTAGCTCAGGAAATGGTTGGAGCTTCTGTCCTTCAATACCCGTTGTGCGGTGCCCCAGCTCCCTCTGAGCAGCTTCTCTGCTCTGCTTTTCTCAGAGCTCCATGATGAACATACAGTGAAGGGGGGTGGACCGGGAGACCTTCAGGGCTTGAGCTGAGCTTGCTTGCTGTGCCTGTAAGCTGATACGTTGGCCCTGACCCAAACAGGCTCTGCGCTGTYTTAGGAATATCCACATCCTTGACACAATTAATCTATAACCCAAATCCACCGCCCATAGGAAATCAAGAATTGACTATATCTCCCTGATAGTTCAGAAGAGAACATAAAATTTCAAGGCCAGTAACATTACACTGAAAGCTGTGTTGTTTCTGTTCTGCCGCAACTCCTTGCTCTAAGCCCTATTTTGGAGTACATCGGTGGTGAGTGCCAATCCATTACTCTATATTATTTTAGTTGTTACACTGAAGCAGAACAGATATGGTGATTTAAGGCAGCCATAGCCTAAGTAGCTCTCTTCCTGTAGATGGTACTTTACAACGGAATTTATAATAGAAACTGGATAGCATGTAGAACTATACTATTAGACACATCAGCCTATAACTTTAAAATGTCAAAATTTTAGAATTTCTGAGAGTTTTTTTTTCAAGCATAACTATAAGCAGAGCTCTTAGAAGAGTCAGGTTTGAAGGGCACTGACTCACTATAAAGAGGTACGGTTGCCTACTCTTTTCCAGGAGTGAATCTCTGCATTTGTGACTAATGGGCTATTAGTCCTATCCACAGTAGTACTATTCTCGGATATTGAGAACAACCCAATACTGTTTTTAAGAAATCTTCAGGAGAAATTACAACCACTGTTCCTTCTCCACTATTGTGAAATGAAGGGGTGAAATAAGTTGAAGATGTCAAAATATTATTTCGGATAAAAATAGAACTAAAAAAAAAAAAAATCCAAGGCACCACAATGTGAAGCACTTTGATCAAGTTTTTGGTCAAGAACTTTATGACTATTTTGAAGAGATGCACAACAATTACCTCTATATTTCAAAGGTACATTTTAGAGCATATTGGAACTCTCTGTCTTAAAATTGGAAGTGGTTCTCTCTGGGTTTAGAATGCTATAAATTGTATTCTTATGGATGAATCATTTATTACCATATTAGRAGAGGAGTTTTGAGTACTTGCACAAACTTACTTAGTTCTTCATCCAGACTAATAATAGTTTAGGGACAATGTGTGAGTAAATTATTCCTCGAGTTGACATAGGTATGTTAGCAAAGTGGTGCAAACAACAGACTGATACTGTYCTTGTGAATGAAAGGCTATGCTAGATACAAACATAGATTTGTAGATTTAAGTATAGGGACTTAGATTGTCCCTGCATTATTCAATGATGATCCCTAATAAAGCTATACTAGTGAAATATGTGATAGTCCAAGAAAATCCTGCATGGCTCTGGAAGCATGGGAWAACACAGAACACTAAGGACTTTAGACAGACAATAAAACTTGGCATTATCTAAAGGGATAAGCAGAAGCTTAGAATAATAAAAGACAACATGAAGTTCACCTACTGAATAAGCTGTCTAGTAAAAAGCACAAATAGTAGGCTGAAGAATTGGCTCCAGAAATCCCTGGCATCACTGGTCAATACTTAGACCAAAGCCACTTGGTTGCTTTAAATCCTGCAAGCTAGCTCTATTCTGCAAGCTATCCCYGTTCCATTTGAAAAGAATTTTAACTGCAAGCATTTTCTTCTACTGAAAATCTCACCCCATACCAACAACTGATACAAACCCAAGAGACAAAGTTTGGATAACTTTCCTCAGAGAAGGAAAAGGCTTATTAATCTCTGTCAGCTCTAGGAGTAAAGCTCTGTCAGCTCCAGGAGCACAGTGAAAATAATCATCAGTTCAGTTGGAGACCTGTAGTTAGCAGTGTCCCCCAGGGGTCGGTCCTTGGTTCAGTCCTGTTCAATTTATTCATCAATGACCTGGATGAAGGGCTGGAGTGCTCCCTCAGCAAGTTTGCYGAYGRTACCAAACTGGGWGGAGTAGCTGATAGCCCTGAGGGCTGTGCTGCCATCCAGAGGGACCTGGACAGACTGGAGGACTGGGCGGTGAGAAACCTCATGAGGTTCAACAGGGGCAAGTGCAGGGCGCTGCACTTGGGGAGGAATAACCCTGGACACCAGTACAGATTAGGGGTGGACCTGCTGGAGAGCAGCCCCGCAGAGAGGGACCCGGGTGTCATGGTGGACGACAAGTTGACCATGAGGCAGCAGTGTGCCCTGGTGGCCAAGAAGGCCAACGGGATCCTGGGGTGCATTAAGAAGAGCGTCTCCAGCAGGTCGAGGGAGGTGATCATCCCCCTCTACTCAGCCCTGGTGAGGCCACATCTGGAGACTGTGTCCAGGTCTGGACTCCCCAGTACAGGAGGGATGTGGAGCTGCTGGAGAGAGTCCAGCGCAGGGCTACCAGGATGATCAGGGGCCTGGAACATCTGCCCTGTGAGCAAAGACTGAGGGAGCTGGGCCTGTTCAGCCTGGAGAAGAGGAGGCTGAGGGRGGACCTGATCAGCGTGTATAAATACCTCAAGGGAGGCAGTGAGGAGGAGGGGGCCGGCCTCTTTTCAGTGGTGGGCAGCGACAGGACTAGAGGAAACAGCCACAAGCTGAGGCACCAAAAGTTCCACAGGAACTTAAGGAAACACTTCTTGACAGTGAGAGTGACAGAGCCCTGGAACAGGCTGCACAGGTTGTGGAGATTGTGGAGAGGTTGTGGAATCTCCTTCTCTGGAGATCTTCAAAACCCGCTTGGATGCAGCCCTGTGCTATGTGCTCTAGGTGACCCTGTGTGTGCAGGGGAGTTGGACTAGATGATCTCTAAAGGTCCCTTCCAACCTTAAGGATTCTGTAATTCTATGATCATACTGATACTCCAAGTCCTATTAATGAAATCTTCCTAGATAGTTTCACGAAGAAACAAACTTCTAAACATTTTTTTTTCATTTCCTTATGCTAAAAATTGAAAAAATAATCTGCATGAGCACCTGTTCTTTTGTACTATGTATTTTAGTATGTCAATACCAAGCTCTTGAAATAGAATTAATCTGGAGAACGGCAAATGTCCCGATGCATAGAAGCTGCTTTTCAAAACACTCAGACTCTCTTTTACATATTTCGTCCAACTCCTGTGGAAGAGCCATATAAACAGAAAACTGTCCTCAGATTACCTGCAAGGCAGGGTTCGTTATTAAGTTTTATCTGATGGGCTGATGCAATTGGAGAAATATTCAGGCAACTCAGCCATTCTTCAGAATTATTAAACACTGCAGCAGTCTTTATTACCATGCTTTCTGTTATTTTCTAAGTCCAGGTTGTTGCAGACTAGTTTAAGCTGTGGTGCCACCTAGTTTTAAACACAGTTCTGCTTTGTTTCAACCTAGCATCGTGCATGTTAGAAAGGTTTTCAAGGCAGGGACGTGACTGGTGATGAAATATCATTAAAATTTAATATTTTTATGGGAGATCACAAAATTTCTAGCTATCTTGTTAGCTTTTATTCTTCCTTGTTTCTTACATGTTTCTAAGAGACCTGAAAATGTGTGTTTAATCAACATAAAGGAGTATTTTTTCCAGATTGAATGTCATGAAACTACAAAAATCAGTTATCAATGCTATATCAGATGATATACTGCATTTATGTGATTCATTATTTGTATAGTATATGTTACTTTTATACCTTACCTTTTAAATGACAGGCCACAAACAGCAGAGCAGTTTTTTTTACACTCAGGAATGGAAACTTTGGCTTTAAGCAGCCTACTTCATTCAGAGCTTTTATTAGAGAAGTTGCTACTCCCTAAAGAAATAAAACATTTTTAAAGAACATTATAGACATCTAGAACAAAAATATGTTAAAAGCCCGATCCTGTTGTCCTGCAAATCCARCATTATAGTATGCTTTAAAGTAAGCCAGTGAATTGCAGGTCACAGAAATAATAGAAAGTTGGGAGGAAAGAGACCATGATTCTTTTTTTTTTTTTGTTACCAATCCATGTCTAAGAGTATAATCAGCTACCCTTAAACCATTCCTGATAGGCTTGTGTTAAAAATCAAAGAAAAATTTATTCATATTAGACCCAGTAAAGAGTCGTAAAAACCATCATACAATCTTGCAGCCATTCTTGCAGAGGGAAACAATCACCTCTGAAGGACTTGCTTGATTTTTTTTTCTATTAAAATTACAAGCTGTAACATTTTAAAGCTTTTTAAAATTTCCTCTCTTTATTGCAAGTACTTACCTGACAAAAAATTTCAATTAAATATAATCCCATCGATAAAATATTTAAATTAAACTAAAAAAAACCCTTCCCCCCAAAATGGATATGGTATATTATACATTCTATACACACTATACATAGAATTATTATTTTAGATTTTTTAAATCTAATATAGAAAAGCAAAAACTAGCCTGTTCAAGGTATCCAGCTAAGGGAAGTGCAGTAAGTAGTATTGGCTCCTTTACTGGAGGGAGTTTGCGTGGAAGCTTCACATTCCAGTACTTCTCTGGTAACCTAACCAGATAAAAAGCAAGGATTGTCAAGATATATAAACTAGGATATGACTAAAGATTAAAATGTGAGTAGTATATTCACCTCATAAACTTCTGAAGTTTTTCTTCACTTTCAAAAATATATACCTTATCTCGATATTTTGCAGCGTATTCAATGTTTCCAGGCACCAAAGCTTCATATCTGAGGAGAAGGAGCAACAAGAAATGTTCATAGAATCATAGAATCATAGAATGCCGAAGGTTGGAAGGGACCTCAGAGGTCATCGAGTCYAACCCAAATGTTAGACATCTTTTGTGCTGTACGTTCATTAGGTGGTGAGCCTTCTGGCAATCGGCAAGAATAGAAGTTACACAAAGGGTTAACATGGATCATCCATGCTTCTGCCATGTAACAGACTGTTACAAGGCTCAAAAATTACAGAATCACAGAAAGGTTGAGGTTGGAAGGGACCTCTAGAGATCATCTAGCCCAAACCTCCTGCTCAAGCAAGTGATTAAGTGATTGCTGCCTCAAAATCTGCTTATCAGTGGACTTCTTTAGTGCTTCTTTCAGCTCCTTTGGCTAAAATGCCAGCTGTGCTTATTCAGGAGGCTGAGGGGACAACGTAGAAATGACTGTTAYGGTTGTATTTCCCTCAACAAGAAATTCCTGCATGCTGAGGAAATCAAGGCGGCTTTATCCTGAGCTTTACAGATGTCTCATAAAATTGTGCTAGCTAGTTTTGCCCCTCCATAGGTGTCATGAGATTTGTTTGAACTTTGAAGGCTTCTGACAGAGAAAACTCAAGCTGTATTCAGGCAGACTGCATCACCAAAGRCAGCGAGCCAACACAGATCCTTATGATTGGATTAACTTTAAGCTCTGTCTCCTTTAGGCAGCTTTGCAGAAAGAGATCCAATGCCTTTGATTGGCTTATTTGAATACCAGTTTAAGTAAATTAACATTACCCAAGATATAAAAGGAGAAAGTATCCCAGATTCAAGTAACTTATGATTTATATGTCTTTCCCTCTACAAGAGGTGATCATCTGGCCAACCTAAATTCCTGCTACTAAGGACTGATACTCAGCTCTGTTAAAGAATTTTTGAGAGAACCTGAACCCACCTGCTTCTTTCAATGACAGATGTAGAGGAACTGATGACCTTCAGGATGCTTCAGGTTGTGCCTCAGTCTAGTTATTAGAAATAATCTAAACCATGCCATAAAGATGGGAAACTCTGGGATATTTTTCAGCCTCAAAAAAGACTAATAAGCACCTTTTACAGCTAGAGCAGCATTGTTTTTAACACCCACTGCTGCAATAAAACTAGTGGAGAAATGGAGCAGAAGTTTGGACAAGGCTAGGTCCAGTGGACTGTTTGTGTTTTGGGGCCCCACGTCCTATAGGCTGCCACACACTTTAATGGAAATTGCAGTGATGTACCTCTGTTTTCCATCTAGGTAAGTGACTGGACAGTATCCCTGCATTTCTGCACTTTTAGGGAATAAGGCCTTCACTTCTGCTGCCGTTAGTTTCTTTGGTAGCATTTCTGGAGGTGGAAGAGGATGAGGTGCTAGTGGTGGTACATACACCTCTGGCTCATTCAAGAATTTCTGTAGAAAAAGAAATTAAACATTTTAATAAAGAGGGAAGCACTATAAGACTGTTTGTCAAGCACCAAAAGACTAGCTCATGCAATTGAGACACTTTTCTTTTTTTCTAGAAAAATCTCACCAGTGTGCTGGTGCTGCTCCCATGAGAAAYAGGTCATTTCTTTTCCAACCAGCTACATCACTCAGCATCCATCCAGTATCCAGAGGTGTTATTAGCCATTTCCCATGCCATCTCCCTCCCCGAAAAGAACTGATGTAGGAGGGAAGAAATGACCCCTTCAAAAATTAATGTTTGAGCTGAGATAATTTGGAAGAGGATCTTTGATTTGGAAGGACTCTCTGCTGCATTGTGACCGGGCATTTGATAGAATTACACAGCCAGAACACGAGTAACCCTAGTCTAATTCCAAAGACACGGAGTTGTTCCTGTACAGAATCAGAGACTCAAAGCAGCGTTGCTCCCCGTCCACACATTTTGGGGCACTGACCTCCAGCTCCTCCTGCGAAGCCATTTTGTAGTAGTGTCCTCGAAACTCGGCAGCAAACTGCAGGGAGGAGGTTACGGAGCAGTCGAGCAGCTCGTGTTTCTCTGCAAGGCTGACAGGGCAGTACTGCCCAAACTCCCCCAGCCGATAGTGCAGCTCTTCAGGGGTGATGCATAAATCAGCAATGCTGGCTGCTTTGCCTGTTAAGAGCAGTAATTAATGGTAAACTTTTGTTAATGAAATATATAAGAAAGAATAAAGCGTTTCTATATAGGAATGTTACAGTTCAGAATATTACTATATCAGGTGAAATGATATGAATAAAGAATTCAGATACTAGGAGTTTGTATATACTGATATTAAAATAAAGTTTCAACTCATTTTACTAATTTAAGAGACATTTCTCTAGCATTTACTTAAGAAATACAATAAGTATTAATGATGTCAGATACTCTACCTGCTTAACTTATTAGTCTGTATTTTTTTTTTATTTATTTATTTTTTCTTGGATAGGTTTATTAATTATTTATTATTTCATTTCTTTGTGCTGTAAAGGAACATTTCAGCAATTATTTGAATTCTTTACATTACTGAAAATGAGTATGAGGTGTGATAAAAGCATATCATTTATTCATCCTTGTCTTGCAAACGGTATGGTCTACCTGGATGAAATGAATTCAAGATCTTGCATAAAATGACAAATAAAAAATACTTTAAAGGCAGCTTTTCAAGCTTGATGTGAAAAAAACCATGATTTTTAAAAACATTTTTTGACTTATGACTGAAATTTCTAAGGTGAGCACAGGCACAGAGCTCTTTGGACAACAAGCTCTGGCTGTGCTGTAGCTGGTTTGCTCTTTGCTGCCTTCAAGATCTCTCCAGATGAGACCAAAGAGTCTGCAAAGCTGCACGATATTGGGTCTGGCATTGAGAGGTCTTGGAAAAATGCAGCATTCAAGGTACAACTGCAAAGGATAAGGTCACCCAAGACCTCAAAGCATGTTAGTATGCAGGAGAGTCTCAAGAGAAAAATGGCAAAGCTCATCTGATATCCTGTATCTTTCAGGAGCTAAGCTGTGAGAGGAGAAACCTGAGGAAAATCGAAGGAAGATTTACTTTTTCTCACTTTTTGATATGAACTCTCAGATCTTGCAGGCAATGCAGCTACAGATCCATGCAGAAAAACACAGTTCASATATTCAAGATGTATTAAAGAAGCCTCTGAATGCGCTGGGGTTGTCTTTGAACTCTGCATATCCTTSTAACTGAGGCTCAGCTTTTGGTCTAATGAGCCCTGACTAATGAGCCCATATATATATTTTTATATATATATATATGTATGTATGTATATATATATATTTTTTTGGATTTGTTGTAGTTCTTGGAGTTCTTGGAGTCAGCCCAGCAGATACTTAAAACATGATCTGATGCTTTACACAAGCAGAAACAAATCCAGCTATTTTTTTCAAATAGTTATTCTTTTTCTAGCTAGTCTCACATTAAAATTGACATCTAAACTTACCAAACCCAGTAAGAGTGAAGACAGGCAACTTTTAATTTCAAAGAAAATTTTAAATTGAAAAGATTTGAAGATCCTTATATCCATTTGCCTGTTTTACAGCCGGAATGAATTATACAAAACTTAATGTTAGAAGAAGGCCTTGCATTTCTCAAGGGAAAGGTAGAAGTTGTAATGAGAAAATCTAATCTATGAGTGGAAATATGCACAGTGAAAATGACGACTGTCATATATTTAACTCCAGAATTCACAAGTAACACTGTATTTGGGAAATTAAGATTTCAGTTGTATTTTGTGTGGTATCAATTAATATTTTGATGGTTAAGTCATTTTCTGGAATAGTGCATTTTGTCACATAGACCAGGTGCTAGATGCATTAGCCTTGAATGAGGCAAATGTTGAGGCAAATGTGTTTTGTCTATTCATTGTTATTCTCTTATTTTTGTTTTGTTATGACTAGTAAATGAAATATGCTATGAACCTTAATTCCAGCTGTACTTGGTACGTATGTGCCCAAGAATTAGCTTAAACCAGAGCAAGTTAAAATTGAATTTAAATATAATTACTACATGATAACTTCTGAAAGAACTTTGTTTTTCTTTTACCTTCTCTTATTCTTTCCAAATATATCTGGATTTCTTTAACCACCACTTGAACTTCCTGGAGTACTTTGTTCCAGATCCACCACTTGCTGTGAAGGGCATCAATCACACACCAGTTCTGATGCTCCTTCTCATAGTAAGTCCTTATTGCATCGATGTGTTGTTTATAACAGGAATTTCGGATAGCGAGAATCTGTGAGCTGTCGTGGTCAGGGTAGGGATGTCTGAAGACAACAGAAAATAGCACTGATTTAAATACTAAGTTTGAAGGTCAGCGCATTTAACTGAATGACACATATTTTATGAAATGCTACCAGAGGCAAAAGCTTACAGTACTTCCARGTCACTAGAAAGTCACTGTTCATTGAAAAAAGGGCTTATTTTTGAGTTAAACTGTTGTCAGAAATCAAGAAGTACCTACTGTCCTTGGATGTATTTTGAAAACTGTCTGGCTCATATTTACACCTACATTATTGAAAATAATTCATATGACCTCTAAAAATACTACAGAAGACCAGAAGAGGTATTTTTTACCAGAACAGAGAAGTACTGACGGTTCTGGTTCTTGATTTAAATGATGCCAACAAAAGAGAATTAAGATTGTCTTTCCTGTTTTAATAGGATTTATTTCTCTGTAAGAAGTGCCTCTTAGAAATTGCTAAATATTACCCATTTTCATTGATTTGTATTTAAGCTTATAAAATGTAATTAGCTTGCTATTTAAAAAGATTTATTTATGTAAATACTTTTGAAAGGGCAGCATGAATTTACTTTTTGCAATGCACATAGTCTTTAGACTTTCAGTAAGTGAGTAAGCATTTTACTGATTATTTGATAAAATGAAAGGGACAAAATGAGACATGCAGTGATGCTCTAAGCCTTCTGGAACTTCTCAGAAACATTTCCTTTAATGAGAACCAGGTTCTTACAGAATTTAATTTAAGGTGAATGTTCTGTTCTTTTTAATTCTCCGTCCCTTTCTAAATTACTGCTATACCTCAAAAACAACCAAGAGCTTTTTAAACAAAATATTCATCTCCTTAGAGAACAAAAAAAAAAGAAAAATATCTAAACAGTTTAGATGAGTAATTCATTAAATGTATACATGTTATTAAAATGTACATGGCTCCTATCTTTTAAAAAAGACTATAGTTAAGACTTAAGGAATTTTTTTAAAAAAGCTTATTGGGTAAAATCCCAGTTTCTGCTATGATGACAATGACTAAGCTGATGACTAATAAGCTTCAGGAGCAGAGTGAACTGGTCATAGCTGATATGCAGTGTCACTAAAACTGCAGTTTAACAAAGCAGTGGGTACACAGTCCGTACATCTGTTTCCTCAGTCCTCSGGTGTGGGATCTGACCCATGTCTTTTCCCGTATGGAGCTGGGAGCCTGTGGGATGTGCACTGCATGTGAGAGCACAAAAGACCTCCTAGATCCACCAGCTTAGATGTGTAACAGCCTGTCAAGGTACAGCACTGGGGTGCAGGACTGCACACAGAGAGAGATTACAATCTTTTCTTGGTAAAAATATTGCTCTCATGCAGCATCACTACCTATTTGTGTTTTCCTTATCTGACAGTGCTCTTCTGAACACTTCTTTTGCATCCATTTCCAGTTCAAAGATTTTYGCTGGAATTATCCTAACCGATTCAAGGAGGTTTACTTGTTTCCTTGTGAGAGGGTATCCGTCCATAACAACTCTGCATACAAACAGAAAGACAGCTTTTCTAACAGGTTGGTTCTTACTGAATCATTCACAAATGAAGAATTTGTGCTAAAAATATTCAAAATACATTCTCAATAAACACAAAAGTCTACTTCTGTGCCATCAAGTTCAGTGCTGTCCTGATTTATTAGACACAGTATCCACCCCAGAGAATTTACAGACCAATTAAAATACATTTCTTTTTTTTTTAAGGGAGGATGGAATAAGAAATGGTAAATAGCAAAGGGAGTATGCAAAGGATAAAAGTTACAGGAACCTAAGTGGACAGCTCTTACCATAATGGTGGAGTTTTCAGTTTTGACACATCAGTTTAACTATGAGGAATTTCCATAATGATTAGGAGAAGTAGTCTTCAAAGTAAAAAATAAAATAACTTATAGTACTTGAAGCATTTTTTAAAACACATTGAAATAAACCGCTTTTTTTCACTTACTATACGATACTGGGGCAAGATAGTGTAAAACACCATTCCAATAGTTAACATGGAAGAAAAGTTGAAAAAAAATCTGGTTATCAGGCTCAAATAATTTCCAGAGATTGGTCTGAAATTGCCTTTTTCCTATTTTTTTTTCTTAATTTATTTTTAGGAGAGAAGTTGAAGTTCATTGAGTTGATAATAAAACAAATTGCTTTTTCACATCGCACAGTTTTGCAAGTGTTGGTGACAGAGCCTAAGAAATGTGTATTCCCKAAGAAGTAAAGTGGTAAGAACCAGTTTTCTGCTTCTCCTTAACTTCAAAGGTTGACAAAAACAGAAAAAAAAAAGAAACCCACAGAACTGAACTGCTAGTGTGCATTACTGGGGAGACTCGGACCAGTTTGAGTTGGTACAAGAATAGCTATGAGAGAGAAAATGGCAGTTCTCAATGGAAAAGGATACACTGGSTTCTGGCTGAAAAAAAGCCTAACTTTCATAAAACGTATTACTTGAGTTTACTGGAGCATATTTACTTGAAAATTGCAGAAAAATATGTTGCAGGGTGCATTTTCAGACTAATGCGGAGATCCGATTTCCCACTTCGTTTTGGACAGCAAGGTTATTTTCTTAATGACTAAACCACTGACGTGTTTTACTGAGACAGTTTGTTTCACAAAGATAATGTGAGCATCAGTGCCCATGAAAGGACACACAGTCCCAGGAAAAAAATAAAATAAAACCGCCTCAAAAGCCAGACAAGCCTCTTACCCAGCAGTGGTGCACATTTGATTCATGAGAGTCACGTCTAGAGCCTGGACGGCCAGTTCATCGGGCACAGTGAGTCCTTTGTGAAGATGCCATTTTATCACGAGCGCCAGCTCACTTTCTGGCTGGTCGTTTAACACCAGYCGTATGGCATCCCCCACAGTCAGGTGCAGGAATCCATACGCGCTTGCAAATTTCTTGGCAACTACAAAACATGGAGATTTTACCACTCAACTTTCACATAGGCATCATCATAAGCCAGTAGCCCGTTGAAGCTCTCGCCCAGTCCTGCTCTGGGTCGTTTCTGAGGCAGGTTCTTGGTGAGCGGGGACCTACATCTGCTGTAGGGGCTTGGGGGCCCGGCCTTTTACCTTTGCTTTGCCTAATGCACTAATAGCATTCAACAGCATAAAGCACAACAGCCATTATCAATTTTATTCAAAAATATGTTCAAAAATATTCTACTGCTGCTCAAGGGACAGCTTGGCTGTTAGATCATTTTAAGTAGGAAATATGGATATTATTTCCTCCTTAATATGAAAATGATTTAAGCCCATCTCTTCCATTTTGGCCTAACCACTGATACAAGCTGTGTCTTCTTCTTTATCTACAGGCAGACATCGGTGAATTGAGAGTCATGGAGAGAGATGGAGAGGAGTGGGGAGAAGGATGGAAAATCTTGTTTCATAATCTAAAAAAATAGGAACCAGGCTGGAGAATACAGTGTTTTGGGTTCTGGTCCTTGGTCCTAGGAATCTGTCTTCATTTTATGTTGCATCATATTGCATGGTTGCATGGTTAAAGGAAATGAGAAGCAACTAGAAAATAATCAGAAATAAGGCAGTTATAAAAAATACTAGTTCAGATTTTCTGAGTGCCATCCTCTATCTTACAGATAATACTGGTTTGTACCTGTAGTCTTCCCAGATTTAGGAGGTCCAAGAACTGCAATCTTAATTGGCATGGTTGGTTTAGGTTTCGGTTGACAGATATATTTAATGGGATTTGTCATAAATTTTTCTTTATTTTCTTTACTTGAAAGGAAATAAATATATTGTCGATGGATTACAGGATAGACTGGGTTTTCATGGCTCTGTGGTGATTTGATTATATCTCCTTCACTTAGCTGCAGCATATAAAAAAAAGGAAACAGTTAAATATGTTTGACATACCCTCCTCTTCTACCATCCTACAGAAGTGGCTTCCTGGGCAGGTAGGTGACTGTCAGCTACTGGAAACAAGGCATAAGAGATTCTGAAGTACTACCCCTTGGACGTAATGTCCTGCACGAGTCTGAGGGCCTTGCCTATAAATGTAATTCTTGTGCAGAAAGGTAAGGTGACCATTAAAGAAAGAATATTCACTTTTTTCCAGTAGGTGGTACCATTACACTTTCTGTCCGTGGAGAAGGTATGATCAGAGAAATGCAGTATATTTATAAAGGCTACTGATGGGAYATTTTCAAACACATCAGGAAGCCTGATAAAAAGCTTATAGTGCCAAGGGGTAACTGACATGTAGGAAAGGCAGAAATGCTCACTGCAGAAATGCCAACTGAATTCCTTGCACCACTGTCTGCTCAGGAAGAACTTAGACTTAGAGATGTCCCTATTGCAGCAATTCTTTCGACCTTCCTTCCACAAAACAGAAGGATAGAGAGAGTGACCAATTTTTAAAAATGCCTCCAGGATGAGTCCTATTAGCCACAGTCCAGTAAGGTATCCACATAAAATAATGGGGAAAAGCCAACTGAACTTCTGCATTGGAAGGGAAATCATGTCTCACAAGTTCATTTGTGTTTTTAAGGGAGTCAGCCAATATACAGATGAGATGACTGAGTTGTTACCGTAGATACTGAGATGTTACAGTATTACCTTGCCAGGCCCTTCTCTCATCCTTATACTCCTGTTCCTGCATCAAGCCATTTCAGGTGCTTGCCCTCAATTTATCAGATATCAAGAGTCTGCCCTTCATTTCAGTAATGCCATTTTCATTAACTTTTACTGGCATTACTTTAAACTGTTTATTCTTTTATGTGAAATATGTCACTGTAAAAGATTACTTCTGAAATATTCTGTAGCTATAAAAAAAAATTACCTTGACAGGATCCCACTGGCCAAAAGAACTTGGATATTTATATGAGAAAATGAGCATTTTATGTGCAAGTGGCAAACTTATTGGGTAACATTTCTCAAAAATGCTTCTGCGATTTTCCACCAGAGGATTCAGCTTCCTATATATTCGGTAGCGTACGACGTGAGGCTTTCGTTCTCCACTGATCTCGATCTGAGGTATTAACATCCTGTCAAATTCTTCCTAGTTAATGAAAGCACAATGAAATATTAGAATATATAAGAATAATATATGAAATATTAGAATAATATGTTATAATATTAGAAYATTATATGAAATATTATGAATATATGAAATATATTTGAATGAATATTCATATATTGAATGAATATATTTCATATATTTCATGAATATGTGAAATATGAATAATATATGATATATATAATATATGATATAATATTAGAATAATATAATATAATGAAATATCAGAATGGCTTTGTAACGGTGGGTGACTGCAATATTGTCTATAATTTCTTGACTGTATTCTAAGTCATTGTAAATCAGTGAAATTCAATTTAATATGAGATTAGAATTGGTCTTTCTGTCCTTCTACATTTACACTTAAGACTATATTTCACTTCAAAGTCAAAGACAAAATCATATATTTTGTAAAATATGTACCTTCTGCATATTCAGATTGTCATGACTGCAGTAATTATCACTCAAATACTGTAGCTTTGAAATCTGACCATTAAAATAACCCAAAAGTTCTTCACGATTTGTACGATAAAATAAGGTACCTGCACACTTTGTAAATGATCTCTTTCTGATTCAAACTTTTCTGCAATTTCATTTCGCATACGTTCAACAGCATCAGACTCTTGTTCTTCTTCAGTTTCTTCCTCTTCTTCTTCTTCCAAAAACTCTTCTTCAAGTACAGCTTCAATATCCTCATTTTCATCTTCATTTTCACTGGTTTCATCATATTCCTTATTTGTTAAAGCAAATAAATGCAAAATATTAGTTGTTTTGTTAGTTATTTTCATTTAGAAAAAGTCATAATTCAACAAAAACTCCTTTTTTGGTAGCTTATCATAAGCAAAATCTAGCACCTTATAGAATAATATTCCAGAAGAAAACAGAGATGTTACGTAATGCACACAACAAAGCACTGTGCCAATTCCAACAGCGCTAGAAAAAACGCAATGCTACATTTTTTTATATATTTGGTATTGTAATTTTGTGGGACTTTGTTACAAAAAAGCATATTAGCTGAAAGCATTCTTGACAGCATTTCATAAGCACTCAAGTAGTCCATTAATGCATACAGAAATATGTTTTGTAATTGGATTTGGTCAGAAATCCTGGTACAATCCAATGCAGGTAAATAAAGGATTTGACAGAGTACTTAAAAGGCTGCCTGACCACAGCGACTGGGGCTACTCTTACAGTTATAAATTAGATATGCTAAACACATTTATAAGTATTTTGCTGATGCGGGCATCATATGAAGAATTATTTTAAAATATTTTTTAGCACTGATGAGTCATTGGTTTCTAAAACAATTTAAGCATGTCATATTATTTTGAAAAGTAGAGGTTTCTGTCAATTACATTTTTATTATTCTAAATTGCCCTTAAAACTCTGGGACTAAAAACTCTAGAAATTTTTAAGAGCTATGAATGCAAACACTTCTATAGTAAATATTTTAATTAACCCTTTTTCTTACCTCCTGCTTCTTTTTTTTCTGTTCTGCCAAAAGTTCTGCCCTTCTTCTAGCCATCTTCTTATCCTGTTAATGAAAAAAAAAACCAAGAAAATACTGGGATTTGCTAATAAAACATCTCTGAGAACTCCAAGTGGAAATCACCTTTACTGACTGAGTTTTATCCTTTTTTAGGATGAATATATAATTCAATCAACAGTGTGATAGAAAAGGCTTTAAAACTTTTGGATAATCTTCTGTACTTATGTAGACATAAGTACAGACATGATGTTCTTTTCTGCTTTATAAGTGTTTCAAGTTATAAATGCAAATGGAGAGGCAATGGGCAGGCGCATTCTCTCCCATTCAAGGCCACTGGCTGTGGAGAGGATTCTACTGTAAGTGCTGCCAACCTATTGATATCATATGGGCTTGTCCCAAACTTCCTGGCACTAACTCACTGGGGGCCAGCTGTCTGTAGGAATTCATGTTCAGGTTGTTGCWGAAAGTGCTTGTAAAGAAGTAGATCTCACTTCTGTGTGAAGTTAGGAACCTTGAAGGTGTTGCATGTGCCGACTGTAGATGTCTGCATAGAAGTTTCCCATTATTTCAAGGTAGYTGTTATATGGTGGCCTGTGTCTTAATATGTTTGTATGTTAATAAACATGGCTTTGTTCAGCTGGGAGGCTGCACAGCTGCAGTGACATGGAGAGTGTGTCTTAGTGCTCTTACATTTCTGTGCAGGCTATCACAGCTGGAAACACAGGCACATTCACTGAACGGTGCCCTGTGGCACTCACAGATCARCTCCACAGCCCATGTTCACAGCACTGCTGCGCTCGAGCTGTGGGCTTGCTGTTTTATGGCCATATTGAGTCTCTCTGCCCACTTGCCTCGCCTGGGATGTTCCAGATGTCTGGCATTCTGCCAGGATACCTGCTGTCTGGCAGCACAGCTGCTTGGCTTGGGGTGCCAGRCACCTAAAACTGCACAAATTAACTGCATTGGGCAGTGTTAATGTGGGAGAGGCTGAGCAGGAGAGGAGCTTTACAGTTCCTTCAGTGTCCATGGAAAAGCAGGGAATGCTGTGAATGTGTGAGGCTATGGCTCCTGGCTGGTTTCCCTGTGTGCTCTTTCCTGCATCAGAGATTTTAGAGATTCTAAAACCTGTGTTTCTGAAACTGCAATTAAGTAGACAGTGCTGGAAAYCTACCCTTATTTTTGCTCTCAGGTCTTTCAGTTTCTTTTTAGTTTCCATTTTTTTATAATGTGTTTCTTTCCATTTTTTCATGCGTGGAGGAAAAAGACGGTCAAGAATGTCGCTTTCTTCTACTTGAATAAAAACTGCAACATCAGGGCAGAGTCCTCKCTCTGACAAATATAGGGCTTCATCTACAGTGCGAGGGAAACCATCCAATATAAATCCAGTGGATCTGATTATTAAAAAAAAAAATCRTTATGCAATGGACACATTTCAACACAGTGAAAATAGAGTGAATCTGCAAAAATAATTTTAAACTCCTTTATTAAAGTATATTTTAATAGTAAATAAAAATAATTTCTTGCATTATTACGCTTCAGAATGCAAAAACGATTTCACTGTGTATTTATATTACTGTACCAACAAATACCCAATGAAACTTTTGATGTTTTAATGTGCTGAGATTAATTATTAAAAATTTAAATATAAGCCAAAGTAAGTTATATCTTCAATATTGTTTGTGTGACCCTTAAGCTTATACTTCTCAGACAGTGCTCTTAAACCATGTGAAGATACCCTGAATATTATTTTGGTAAAGTTTATCACAGAAAGTTTGCTGACAATGTTTTTCATAATTACTGACAATTCTTTCTCCAATACAGGATGAGAACCTCGCCACTCAGCATCACATACATCYCCTTTCCTGCAGGTATTAAAAGCAGGGCAGATACATCTAGCTCTATGGCTTCTTGGAGCTCTTTCACTCTCACGGATGAGTTGACCCATAAAGCTGAATGTTTTATTAACAAGAACTTAATATTTCTATTTATTAATGTAGGTCTTAGTATAAGATATTGTAAAACTATAGAAAACCAAAGAAAATCCAAGGAGCGGGAGAGGACGGAAGAACAGGTGGTTCTTGATGCTATAGGAAAAAAGTTTGGGGGAGGACATATGTCATGAAATGACGAAAGTTTTCCTTTACTATACAGACCTTGAGGAAATTCAATTTATATAATATGATATAACTCCTCCTGGTGGTGTCCAGTGATAGGACAAGGGGCAATGGATATAAGTTAAAATATGGGAAATTCCATCTCCATGCGAGGAGGAACTTCTTTCCTGTGAGGGTGCCAGAGCCCTGGCACAGGCTGCCCAGGGAGGCTGTGGAGTCTCCTTCTCTGGAGATCTTCCAAACGTGCCTGGATGCCGCCCTGTGCCCCGTGCTCTGGGTGTCCCTGCTGGAGCAGGGGGTTGGACTGGAGGGTCTGTAGATCCTCTAGATGCTTCCAATCTCAACCATTCCATGATTCTGTGATAATCATTTAGTATCATAATATTATGTGTCTTTTTGCCCTGGTGTCTTCTTCTAAAACTRATCTTCCTGCTTTTACACAGTTAAGAGAATGTTGTCTTCCTGGCTGTGGGCTGACAGGACAAAAGTTTATGGGAGAAGCATATTTATTACTTTTAAGGCATTTCTCATACTGCTAGTGATTGCAACCTATTGGTCAAGTTTCCAGTATCTGTATGGAAGTGAAAGGAATAGACAGGACATGGAAAGAGGCATTTTACTAGCTTAAAGTATGCATGGAAAAAGAGATTTTAACAGCTTAAAGTATGTCCTGAAAAGCCTTAAAACAGCATACTCTCTATAAGTAATTTGTCTGTTTTATTTATGCAAAAACATTCCCTATTTATTATGGCATAATAGATGTACTTTCTGATTTGAAAGAATGTCAGTTGTAGTTACATAACTGGAGCAGAACTTGTAATGAATTAACAGAAGATAACTGACTTTGTCATTCTGGAGACCACTGATATTTTGGTTTCCACCTAACATTTATAATATGTGGAAACCACATACTTACAGCTGGATTTCAGCTCTCTATATTTACCAGCTATATGAAAACATAAAACATTTATTGTCATATCTCTTCTGTCGGCCTACCAGAGCTACATGGCTGTTGCAATATAAGATGAGAAGGACCAACGATTCAAAGGATTTAACCCAGTTCAAGTGCACTTGAACTTCTGTCCAGCACTGTGTAGAGCACATAAAATATTATGTTACGATCAGCATTTCAATAAAAACAGCATACCAAAAAATAAGAATGAAAGGTGGGTCATGTTTTGTAAGAACAAGAGCATCTGAAATACTATCTGCAATAATTATTTATAACTGTGGACACAACGGATGAAACCTTTATTAAGATTAGYTAAAGAGAGAGAGAGAGAAGCTAATTACAGTTACCGGAATGGCTCTTTCCTCCACCAGTCAGGAACAATGTTATCAAGCACTTCTGGAGGCAAAGGCTCATTTTCCACTAGATTTGCTTTAATCGCTTCTTCCTCATCAGTTAGCTCTATTTCCTTGACAAAAAGAAAGTCCCCAAAAATGAAAAACACAGAGAGAAAGATTTGCATGATATATATCTATTGTTTTTTGACTGACTAAGGTTAAAAGCTGTCTGGATACTGGTTACTGTTTTCATTTCGTTTAATCCAGCAGAAACAAAACAAACTCATTTGCTATATTTTATTGTTTTACATATAAAATATCTGCTTGGCCTTTTTTTTTTTTGTGTTTTCCTCTGCTTACAGTTGGGTAATTCCCTAGAATTGAGAAAACTTTAAATCAAGATGAAGGGACAAACTGGGGACTGGCAATATCTGGAGTCTCCCTCTCCACAACTGGGGATAGCATCTGCCCATCTACCTCATCTTTTGCAAATATTAGATGTAAAAGTGGCCTCAAAAACCTTGAAAAAACATACTATAGTTTCTGCAATTGCGAACATAAAAACTACAATAAAAAATATAAAGACTACAAAAATTGCAAGATAGCATTATATAATAATGTAACTTTACAAAGTACATGCTTACACTACTAAAAGAAATCTCAAAAGTGCTCACAGGCACAATATGCTCTGCTGCCTACTCGCCTTTAATTTTTATAATTGTCCAAGCCTATGTGCCTTGGACAATTAATAATTACAATATGCAGATAGATACTTGCTCTAAAAGCTGGTCCCGAAGCACATTTGTTAGGTATGACTGTGAATATTGAGCAGTTCTGTAAATGATCTCAAATTAGATACTAAATAAAACTAAGGCCACCACCGAGTAACCCTGTTTCAATTATTTAACTGCAGTTTGTAGCAGAYGCAGTGACAAATCTGCTTCTCCAGAACAGCTCTGAACTGTTTTAACTACGCAAGGCAGAAGACCTTCTCAAAGTTCTTCCTTTCTTTCTGCACACCTTCCAACTTTTTACAGGTTCAGCTTCAACAACATATAAAGAAAACAACACATAAGCAAGAGATCTTGTGAGCTGTATCTGAGAATGTAGCTCATGAAGGGTGTTTCTTCATTAGTCTTTTAGTTTGGAATAGGAGGGTACTTTTGAAACAAATCTCCTTATCTTACCCATGCTCTGCTTCACAGTACAAAGAGGTCTTGGACTGTGTGAGCAATATTCCTTTTGCACAAAACTMAACTGGACAATGTGCTCCAGGAGGACTTCCTGCCATTAATGTGTTGCTGCAGAAAATGGCTGTTAATTCCATTGGACCAGGTTAGAGCTGGTCCAAAGAAGTTCTTAGCCTTTCGCCCTGAAATGTGTATGTTGAGGACATTTGGTCTTTAGCATTAATTTTTTTTTTACTTTCCAGATCCATCTCTAATTATCCACATAACTTGCTACCTTGTCCTCAAAGGAAATATATGTTGCTAATGACAATGGCTATTGTCGTTATTGAGATGGTCACAGAATGGCTATTATGTGATCACTGAGTAGGATACTAATGAACAGGAATAGGGAAGTGAAATGGGAAAGAGGAGCAAGCAAATCAGAGTATTCAGATACGTTTATTTCTACCATTGTCTATTTTYAGAGTGCTGTACTTTATGAGTTTTATATTTAATAATGCTACTACCTTGCAGTAACTGTTTCTTCAACACTCTTGAGGCATGGGAGGCTTTCAGCYAGGAAGATTTTCACTGGCAAACACTGCTTGTTAGAGAACACAAGAATATTGCATGTCCTTAGGATCCTGCCTCTGAGGGCATGAACAGAATAGTCTGAGCACTGTCCTCAGTTCCTTCTCTAAGCTAAATTCACATGAAAGACTGGGAGGAAGGAAGGCAGGTCCTTCAGTCCTAGATATCATCTGAATAATAAATCATTTCCTGTCAGTAGCATAGYCAGTAACTCTTTTCCTTCCTTGAATATGTGTACGTATTGTTTATGGTGTATGGTATTTTTTTTTAAAAAAAGGCCTGCCGTCTCCAGCAGATGGAAACCAGATGTTTAAATAAGGAGTTAAGAACTTCCTGTTCAACTTGGGTAATTGTGTTTGAAGTTGTCACTGCAGGAAAAATACGAGCTACACATGATCTACACATTTTCATTATCACTATTTGATAAAATATTCTGCTGAGTTAGCTTACGCTGTCATCAAATTAAATCTAGAATACAGTGAATGTATATGTAGTATAAGGTAATCCATTTACTGATAGTATATACTCTTCTGATACCATCTGCAGTTCTTTTCGTAAATCTCCAGTTTCCTTTTGTCTGATCCCATGAGAAAATTAACAGTTTATTAGACTTCTGAGTGTCTGTTCATATATTGTAAGATATGCTGGAAGAAATGCAAGAATGCATTTTTAACTTCCTGATTGTGTAGCTTTACTTCTTAAACAAATGTACTCATGAATGTGAGTGAATTCCAGTCACCAGTAACAAAATTTTATATCACAGGATATATTTTACCCTACATAAGGTTTTGTTTTGAAATCCTTCAGCAAACAGACAAAGTAAGGACAATAATACAATCTAATTACAAAACATACTATATTAAAGAGTTACTAGCTTACCCTGTTATAACACTGAAATATTTCTCATTCCTTGAGAAGGGATGATCAGACCAAAGGTTGGTAGATTCCATCCATCCTTTTTGCCCCAAAAGACTGCAGAGAGCACTGCTGGGGAACATTTTTCTAAACTCCCATGTAATTGATCTATATGCACCAGATTGAACCCATGTAAATAAAGACTTGAAGAACACTATACCTTCTCATTATTACTCTGAGCTTTGTTTTCTCTAATATCATCTTCCTTTGTCCTTTTCAGCAACTATTTGTAATTTGAATACATGTTTGTAATTCTGGGAAACATTTTGGAGAATGCTTATGACACTCAGGAGCAAATGTTGTCAGTAAGTATATTATTTTATTGGGAAAAAAAAGCATTATTTCTGATTTTTCAAGTTAACAATTTAACATAAACAAGCTAGAATTTTATTGCTATGCTGGCCTAAAAAAACATGGTTTGTGTATGGGCACAATAAAGATCAATTATTACCTGTTTGCTTTTCTTTTCAAATTCATGTTCAGCTTCAATTTTAGTTTTAGTCGCAGTCAGAGAGAAGTCTTCCAGTTCCTGTGAAAGAGCTGCTATTTTGATGTCATCTTCTTCAGGTTCATCRTCAAAATCAGGCCCAACCTTCTTTTTAGTTTTGCGTATCATTATTTCTTGCAGATATTCRTCAAACTGAATATGGAAAATGCCAATTTTATCTGCTATCCATCGTGCACAAGTAGTTTTACCTGATCCATGAGTCCCCAGTAAACACACTCTTAAGGGGGGTGCCTGTAAGGAAAAAAATCAAATATTTTATAAAATTTGGACTCTACCATGCTTTTATTAWTTTTTTTTCAATTCAAGAATATTATTAAAAAGATCACTTCAAGAACAGTCATGTAGCATTTYATGTGTTCCAGGTCCTCTAGAGCTGTTTCAAACAGACTACCTGCTCTCTGGTAATATTGAACAAATACACTACAACAGGTGTTGCCAGTAGGTAAAAATGAAAGCCTACTATACAATACTGATAAATCTACACATCTCTTACTCTTCCTTTGTTAATAAAAGAAAAAGTATTAAAATTGTGAAAATAACAATATTTGTCACTTTTTAACTGTTGCTGTTTCCCATAATTATTGTAAACGTTTAGCATGTTTCTTTTTTTCTGCTTTATGTGCATGTTTCATTCAATGTGTTAATTTTAATGTACACTGTAGAGTCATTAGGGAAGGTGCTTTATTTGCTTTGGGGACTTGYCTGATATACCTATCTCTGCTTAGAAAAAAAATCAGAAATAATAAATTACTTCAGTGAGCGATAGAAGGTAGTGACTTTTAATCTGTTGTTATCAGTCTACTTCATTTTCAAGATTCTCACCTGTATTGGTTCCTTATGAGCCACATACTCCTCAGGGTTCTCCAGAAACTTATCTCTGTTCTCAGAAGTTGAAAAATAATAAATCTTTTCTTGATATTTAGCTGCATGTTCAGAATCTCCCGGGTAAAGGACAAAATTCTCTTTCAGACTGACTGGACAAAAGTGTTTTGTATCTCCCATGTGCCTTTTCTTCTCATTCCGCTTTTCTTCTTCCTGAAAAGTTTTTGAAAAATTCCAAGAACTCTTTGAATTATGTAGAAAAACATAATATTGAATATGATGATTAAGTACTGAATCAGAAAGGCATCCTCAAAGCAATTTATACTTTAAGTGTCTTTTACTATTTCTCACATGATTTCTTTCTGTTACACACAGGTCTAGAAATGAATGACTTCTGCATTAGAATGCAAACTACCTTTCTATATCATGAAATCAGAGAGCTCCTTAGAAGATRTAATTCTAACTGCTTGAAATATCTATAATAAAAGCTTTTCTGCTCTTGTTCTTAAAATACACTTCCTTTTACTTCTAAACATGGAGAAGAAAGAAGATGTCAGAAAAGGTAATGAGCATTATGAAATCAGATCATATATCTAATTAAAATAATTTAAACATTTATTTGATGCTATTCCAGTACAGTGTGTGTATATTGCATGCTCATCAATTTTAGGGTAGGCATCTTCCAAAATAGTATTAAAATAAATGAATGGTGAAGTTAGACTTCCATTTTCATTTAATGGATGCTTGGAAATTATCAGTAGTTGAGATGAAACAGAGGACTGCACAATAAGACTTCTACTCTGCATCTTCTGATTGCTGGTTGAAGGAAACAAGGATCACCTTTGCCTTTTAWGTTTTATTGAAGAAGATGTGTAGTTCAGCATATTTTAGTGTAGGGAATAATTGGTCTCTCTCACTGACAAAGAATATGTTTCACAAATATCATTTTTTAGGAGTCTAGAAGTTTTTTTTAGGATTCCTGAGTGTGAAGGTACAGAATGTCATGTGGTTTCAGGAGGTGATCAGATAATATTTTTGGTATTTAATGCTGTTTGGCAGAAATATTTGGCTAACAATATGACTTCATTTGTCATTGCTACACATTATTTCCTRTCATCTTAAGGAAAGAGTCATAAAGAAGATCTAGTCATGTGGTTGAGTGGTAAACTGAAAGGTGAAATGTGGCATTGGGCCTGCTCTCCTAGTCATACTAACTTGGGGAGAAGTCCAGTTAGATCTAATTATATGTCTTCCTGATATCTCCTCCCTTGTTATCTTACCAAACTAACTACAATCATTGTCTCTATTAGCATGGAGTAAAGCTTCCTGCTGGAATAGGACTATTAACAGCCAGAACATAGAAATATGATGCATGTTTCTGAAGCATATGCTGGATTACACAAAATCATCTGCAAAATCTGCTTTCTCTGAGGCTGTGCTCAAACTGAAAATAAATGAGTTAAATTAAAATGTTAAATGAACAAAGCCAATATGCTTACTTCATCTTCATTTTCTTCTTCCTCAGCTTCATTTTCTTCTTCAGCTTCCAATTCAGCGGCCAGGTCTTCCGCTTCCTCATCTAAGTCTTCAGCAGATAATACCCAACCATGATACTTAAAAGGTTCTGGAAAGGGTTTCATTTTTTCAGTTTCAGTGTTCTTCATTTTTGTATGTAAAAAATACATTTTCTTTGCTCATAAAAGTAAGCGCATATATGGAAGCAATCACATCAAATGTCTATTGCATTTCCCCTACTCATAAGACAAATTGTTTTCCCGTTTGTTACATTAATATAGTGATTTCCTCCAAAMCTGAATATTTACCAGTTTGTTTTTTTAACTAGAGTATATAGATATTTTCAAGAGGTGCTCCTAGTATAAAAGGATTATACAGACRCATAAAGATATTGGCATTATGCTTGCAACAGTGTTTTTCATGTTATTAACTGGAGAAAATCTTTTAAACAAATTATTAGCCAATTTTTATTTGATTATAAGGCTAGCATAATAATCATTTTGGTTAAAAAAATASTTGCATCAGTGTAATTATAGCAAAACATATTATTAATATTATTTATCTGATACTCAAAACTGTTGGAGATTTGTGCACAGCCAAATATTTGCTGAAAAATGTTAATACTCTGAAAAACCACTCTTAAACACAATCTGTGGAGGTGGGTGGATCATTACACATCCAGAAAGACTCACTCACTTCAATGAATAYTGTACATGAGTGAACTTTCATTACACAGATAGACAGTAAAGTACTGGGAAAATGTGTGGTCAAAAAGCTTAAGGAACTACCATGTACACATTTTTATAGGTAATATATTTTWAAAAAWATATATACATTTAACTCACTATATTTTTGTATATTTAACTAGGCTGTTAGAGTCCTTTTCAGCTCACCCCCGAATGCAGTATGTTCTGCTCCCACCTGATGTGAGTGATTTAAGAACTCAATATACTCCCCACCAATACATTCATAAGGCAAGCTCCATAAAATCCTTCTGAGCAGGTTAAATGCYGATCACAGACAGAACTACTTACTTTCCATGGCCAGGACAATCTGCTCAAGCAGATTTTCTGGGCTTTGCTCAGCAATCTCTAACACAGCAACTTGAACCAGAGGTGAATCACTGATTCCTGACTCCACGGTTTGCCAGTCATGCATGAAAAGGTCAATCTTCCTTTTAACTACTTTCATTTCTGGTACATCTGGAAAACCGTCCTCTGGAAACTCAGGTAGTGTGACTTCTGAAAACCAAATTGAATTTAGAAGGCAATGCTAGTCTAAAAGATTCTACACTTAAAAATTACTTCTGTATTTTAATTGTTCTCCAATGTGGTGGGACAATTTTTGATATTCAGCTTTTTTTTTCTCTCCTTGCAATTATTCAATTACTATTTTACAAAAAGATTTTGCAAATGCCAAATTCATTATATTGCCATAGTATATATTATTGCTTYTCCAGGAAAACAGAAAAGAAACAGTTCTTTCAAAAAACCAAGCAACCAAAYAAATAATCCTTAAAAAGAATATTGGTAGTTCTTCAATTTTATTATTTTTAGTACTAATAATTTCCATTTGGATTGAGTCATCTGTTGATAATTTCCATTCTTCACAGCCAAATGAATCAGCRTAGTGAAATCACTGTGAAAGGCACTGTCCTCAAAGAAACAGATACTGCCCTTATTCATCCTTGTGAATGCAGAGAGAGTTTGCAACTGTTGACTGCTAAGTTACCTCCCCAAAAATCGGGGGGTTGCATCATATTGAAAGTGACTGTGATATCCATAGGCTTCTCTTACCCTACTGGCAAAGCCCTGCAAGCAGGAAGGGCCTCCTTGGAGTGTGATTTGTGTGATGTTCCTGCTGCAGTTTCTCAGGCATGTGTTTATGGGGCATGAATACACTCCCTTTTGCAGACCAAGGCATGTGGAGCAATGACCTATATCTATACCAGTGACCTACAAAGATCATATGCTGCTGCTATGAGGTGCTGCAGATGTGGGTGTGTGTGGAATAATTCTAAGCACCAATAATGAGAGGTAGAAGTGTAACCCATTTCTTTGAACACTAGGAATCATTCATAGGTGTACAAAGAAAATAAGAGATGGTGGATCTAATTTCCCAGCCAATACATTCCAGAATAAAGAGTGACTGTTTTTGTAAGTGACATAGTAATGTAACTATATAATAATAATAATGAAATGAGTAAATGGAAATAAAGTAAAAAAAAAATATGTATCATGGCTTCCCACATCAATAATTGCATTGAGAAACTCTCACAGAAATATTGGCCTTAATGAAGGCATTGCTGCATAACAATAACTTGTTTAATGAATAAGAGAAAGAAGAGATAATCTCATAAGATGTGCTGTGCAAAAATATAACTTGTCAACTGTCAGTTGTTTAAGATCACAAAAGTTCAAGACTATTTCCTAACACTGCCTCACAAAAACTAAACCAAAGTTAGAGATTAAAAGGATGCAGTCATCTAAATAAGAAGTTCACAGACCCAACTCATGATAAACATGAGAAAACTAGTTATGTACTACCATGCCAAAAGTGTTGATATGCTTAGTGACCAAAACCCAAGGAATGGCTGCTTCTACCATCATTCATTTTGCTGAAAAACTCAGAGGGAAATGACTCAGAACTTAATTAGAAGGGACTGACAGCAGGGCACATCAAAAGAAAATGACGAAGTTACTCATCAGTTCTTATGGCTGCATTTAGGATCTATTTGGATATTTCTAGGCCCTTAAAGTCCTAGTATAAAGATGTCCTCTTGTAGAAGAAAGCAAAGAGGTGCCTTGATAATATCACCAGCTCCTTGTTCTTGCTACATCAAGAACAGTCTCCAGCAGGCAGAAATGTGTGTGGTTGATTCTATTCCCATTCCCTGCCCACGTATCATTTTCAACACTGATTTTCTTATTTTTCCTATCATTATTCTTTTGTGTTCTGCTTAATAAGCCTGACATCACTGCCTTCAAATCCCAGCCAAAAAAGCAGTTGAGAACAATGACTTCAATGGCCTGAWATTAGTATAAGTTTTGTGGGATTTAGTGCGTCCGCAATGCTTGTCTTTTGCCAGAAATGAAGATGCCAGATTGCACTTGCACAAGGGGACAAAGTGATTTTCTACTTAGCTGTAATTTTCTCCTCCTCTTTTTGTCTGGCTTGCTTTCACTTTGAAAAAAATGGAATAGCCTTTGACACAAGCAACAACAGGTTTAACATATGCCAGTGATCTTTTAATGATTTTTCCCCAAAAGGATCATTACTACCACTTTTCCTTACGTCCTACACCTAAAAAGGAGAGAGGTAACACTAAAAAGGAAAGCCTTGATACCTTGTATATCTCATTCTGTGATTCTAAATAGGAACAACCTACCTGTTCATGTACATTCAAGTATATTGTGTAAATGCCAGAATTAATTATTTTGCATTCTGCAGCAAAGTATTCCAAATCAAACAGAAACATAGCTAGGTAAAACATGCATAAATTTGGGTAGCAGGCAACCAYGATTCCATTATAAGCACAGATTTTGAGTAAAAAAGCAAAGAGTACATTAACTAGCTTACACGAACTGTTTTTTGCACGTGTTATCCTTGGCACGTTATCACGGTAGAAATCACATGTCCTGCCTCGTGAAGCACAGACCTGTTCCAAGCAGTCGTGCATTGACGATGGAAATGTGTGCTGTCTGCATCCAGCATTTTGCAGATCATCACTTATGGTCCTGCTCTCTTAAAACCTCTCACCTCAGAGYAGATCATGAAACAAAATGAGACCTTTTTGACGAACCGTGTTTAAGAAATGATGGAGAAGCACATGCTCCAGCCTTATATCTCTACTCTAAGCACATAGTTCAATAAGATTACCTTTCCCAGAGAGTTTTCTTGCATAAGAAAAGCTGTTCAGCAGCTGTTATTGCATGCTGATGTAGGGTATTTTTTTTTAATAACTACATAGGCCTAGGTAAGCTGGAGGAACCTTTGAAAGAAGGAAAGACAACATAGAAAAACACTATTACATTCCTTATGTGAGAAGAGCGAAAAGGGTTCCTAAATGGACAAAGCAAATTCTATTTTAGTTTGGTTCAAGTATTTGAACTTCACCATGATAAAAAGATTGCCTATATGGTATTTGATTTGTTTTTAGCTGGGTTTCAGGGAAAAACAATATTGAAAATAAAATAACACAACTATACCTTTCCTATTACTTAGGAGTCTGTTATACTCTGCTTCACAGGTGATAAACCAAGAAAGAAGATTTGTAAAGGAACAACAAATACAGCCAAGAAAAAATATATTGAAARGGCAGCAATGATTAAAAATAAATGGATTCAAAAATCCAAACAAATTCTCTTCAGAGGACTCATTTATTAGTTGTCAATCCTTATAGCAGGGGTTGTATGAGACAAGCCCACACATCCCTAAATCTGCCTCTTTTCGCAGAGGATGCCTCCATGGCAGCCTCTCATATTATTTTGCTCCGTGTCTTCTTTGCTTTTACTGAGTGTAGTTACCATAGAGACAAACACTTCTCGGAGGCTTTCTGCCCCCACATTATCTGAGTGAAYTGATGTGGGAGAAAGGCTTTAATATATGTATTTTTAATGCTCTACTGGTAGTAGATAGGACTTTTCTGCACTCAGCTCATATTCAACAGTAAAAGAAGATGAAGTTTTTACTGTTCCTCTCAAAACCAGCCGAAGTAGAGACAGAGAAACCAGCAGCCAGGATGTCTTCTTCATTAACGGTTTGATAAAATAAATAAAACGTCAAATGAGAGATAACAGGGGCATTTTTATTCCCTGAAACTGATAMGTACCTCAGTCTCAACATTTTTTTTTTYYTTTYYTTTTTTTTTTTTTTTTCAAATACCCTGTGGTGTGTTTAAAACAAACTTGTTGCTAGTTACTGATGGATACATTCTGACAAAGATTTTTCAGAAAGTTCCAAAGAAATGTACTTGGTGGACAAGCTTATATCATGCGTACTGCTGTATTTAGGTATTTAGTTTGGAATAAAATGCAATTTTGTCTACAGATTAAGCTGATTCTTTCTAACATAAAGGGATTGAGGAGATGATAGAAAAAAACATTAAAATGTGTGTATTTAACAACTTGCTATTTAAAATTAAATGTTTCATGGTTAAATGATATTTATTTCTCCTTTAGACTTTAACATATTGTAAAAATGCTAAAAAATAGAATATTGAGAATTTGTATGTTAAAAACAAAAGTGGTCTATCTTTACTAAAGATGACTTGCCTCCAAAGTGCTTTTTGAGGCAAGGCCATCTTGGTATTTCTTTTCATTAACTCATGGTTCCATGCAGTTCTATGTACTGCAGAATTTTCCCTCTTACCAGAAAGATGGAAACTAGCAAGCTGTTAGCAGGACAATGGGTGACTAAGTAAGATACATGTCATATTTTGCTCCTTCATGTCCCAGTTTCAAAATCATTCATTCCCATTTTACCAAGATCTCTTGCCTCAGGGAGGGGACTAATYATTTCTGTTCTTAAATCACCACTGTGTTGCTATCACCTTAACCCACAAATACTATTTTAACAAAATAARTCTTTTAGAACATGATGCCCAATAAGTATATTTTTTTATCCATTTTCATTCAGATATTTTTGTTTCTGTATTAAATTTATAAAGAAAAATGAAGACAAGTAGCACTCAGATCAATTAATCTATTTTTAAGTGGTAGTTAACTAAATGAACATCCTTATTTCTTCCTTATTTTTTATTCAGAATATCTAGTATTTTTGTTTAATCCTCCAACTCCACATACTTTGCAGGTTAAGAGAAGACCTACTCATTATATTCATATGATTAGAGTTAGAGTAGGTCTTCTCTTAACCTGCAAAGTATGTGGAATTAGGTGAGTATGTAAATAAGGAATSGAGTATGTGGAAAGTATGTAAAATTAAAATTTAAATGATCTGTAGCACTGAGATTTGTTAAAATCATCTACAGGTATTTATRAATACTGCAATTTTCTACTGTATTTGTGAATACTGCAATGACTTGTCATTCATTTGTWATTAGTGTCACAATCTGTGAAAGTGATTCTGTTTTTTCTGATTTCACTCACTTAGCACTTCTCCTGCTCATAGATTTCTCAATAGAAAAGGTTAAAAGTTCTGAAGATAACGAGGAACACTTTTTTTTTTTCCATAGATCCCTGTACACATTTATTAGTTTGACATTTAGACTATACCTAGTAGTACTTCCTACTGGAAATATAGATGTAAATATCAGTGTAAATACCTTGTGTGTTGTTTTTAACATGAAATATAAAAATCTCTTTAATTAAAAAGCTTGACTCTGACTATCCTATTATAAACTTCTCGATAAGTAAAAGGTAAATAAGGAATGATACTCACAACTAATTTTGACATAGTAAAAACTTGCAGAAAAGGAAGGCATAGAATTAATGATACTAGCAAGTAAGGGATATTACATGTACTCCAAATCTAACCTGCAGGTTTAGATTCTTCTTTATAACCAGCAGAATCACTGGAGTGTTTCTCAGATAATTGTTTGTTTTCAGGCAGAGGTTGCTCATCATGGTCTTCAACTTCTGTGGGCACAAGTATAACCATGAATAACTTYGGCAGCACAATTCAAGGATGACAGAAGCACTACAGAAATAAAAAATATTTCTGGATCATTCTGCAAAACCTATATATGACCACCAACAAACAAAGAGTTYGCAGGTACTGAGCATTTTAGATCATAACAGCTATATAAAAAAAGAACCACAGAATCACAGAATGGTTGAGGTTGGAAGGGACCTCTAGAGATCCTCCAGTCCAACCCCCTGCTCCAGCAGGGACACCCAGAGCACGGGGCACAGGGCGGCATCCAGGCGGGTTTGGAAGATCTCCAGAGAAGGAGACTCCACAGCCTCCCTGGGCAGCCTGTGCCAGGGCTCTGGCACCCTCACAGGGRAGAAGTTCCTCCTCACACTGAGATGGAACTTTCTGGATTTCAACTTACACCCATTGCCCCTTGTCCTGTCACTGGCCACCATTGAGAAGAGTTTAGCCCCATCCTCATGAAATGTTAAAAATGTGTTGATGAGTTGATTTATGTGGAATTCGGAGGCTGCTTTTCATAGAAGTTTCAAATGTAGTCTGAGAGTGACCTTATCCTTCTGAAAATAGTACATGAGGAGTATATCAAGGACCTGCCCTTACTGTCTGAAATTTTCTAGTCCGTAAAGCATAAGTATGATTACTAAAACCATGTTTTTGGTGGTTCCCCATACAATCATATGAGAGAATGAGAGTCGTATAGAAGCATGTGAGAGAACCATATAAAGAAACATTACGAAATATGTTCAAAGGATGACAGAAGTTATTTTATCCACAATAACAAAAATACCGTTTGAGACAACAAATGGCTTCTTAATCACTGAGAAACAACCAAAGTACTGTGGTGTGAGGAAAGAATCGAATTACCTCCCACAATATATGATATGCTGAAATAACAACCCAGTAGATCTTGAAAAAGCTAATTAATAATTTCATATATTTCATGGTCAACAATCAATAAATAATTCAGTCCAGTTGGAATACAAGAGTCCATGGATAAACATGAGTTGGTGATCAACAGTGAAAGAATTCTGAGGATGATGCAGTGAAAAAGATAAAAGTGTTCAGGAAAACTAAAACTATACAGAGAAAAGTTTTTAGAAAAACTAAAATCTGCTTAAAAATCAGATTGTTAAACAATTTGAAATACATTATAAGATAAAATATAGGTCAAATGGTACTTGCCTTCACCTTTCTCCTCAGCAGCCTCTAGAGATTTCTCCTCTTCCTCCAGTTTCAGTATCTCTTGAATTTCTCTTCTGTAATTAGAAGATAATTCATCTTAAGATCTGTAATATTACCACTGAAGCAAGTGGCAAATGCATTAAAAGTAAGAAAAAATATGGAAAAAAAAGCACTGTTGAGAATTGAAATAAAATTTGGTTTGTACCACACAGAAGCTGAAAATATTTTATCCTCCTAAATGTTATTGTATCATAAAAAAGCCTGGGGCTGATGAACACATATTAGCTAGAAAATCTTCTGTCACCAAAGACTGTTCTGAATGAGATACTCTTAAAGTTAAAATACATGGGATTATTTCATATATATCAGAACGAGTCTTAATGTACTTTTCTGTATACTTATGTTGGTTGATATCTCCTATCCTTAAAGCAAAGTAAGGCTAGTTTTTTTGAGATCATATTAAGTACTCTGATATTTACTGTATTTTACCTTTCTTCTTCTTCTTCTTCTTTCTCTTTTAATGCTTCCTCTCTTAGTCTTTTCAAAATCTTAGCATTAATTTCATCCTTATTTGCCAAGTAGAGTCTGTGCAGTAAAAAAGCTCCTGTAATACAGTTATATAACAATACTAGATTTTATACAGCTGCATAAAACTAAAATTGAGATATGAAAATGATTTGAACACCATTACATCTTACATCTTACATTTTCTTTACGTGATCTGTTACTTTGGCATTTATTCTGTGTCTCTAAAGAAAACTGAAGAAACAAAATAAAAATATAAGACTATACATATCTACACTGCTGCAGCAAGTTGACTAAATGGAATTCTGTGGATTTATTTACTTTTGCAAATAGTTCTACACTATATGACTTTTTGTCTGTACTCTGTTTAAAGCAGTGGAATTATATTAGTTTAGGCTAACTCAGGGAGTGGAGTAGAAAGTAATGACTCAGAGCACTTTGAAAAATGTAAATTACAGAACAACAACATTATTTAAGAAATAAAAGTGTGAAGCAAAGAATTAACAAAATTGGCAAATAAAAACAAAGAATAAAATAAAACAAAATGTCTAAATTCAAGGAAGCACAGCCATAAGACAGAAGTTACACCTTTAGCCACTCTTCAAAGGAATATTATAATCTTGCCTCCTCCACCTTACCTTGCTTATCCTCATACTCATTCCTCCCATGCCTCATATGGTTACTATAATCAACTCGTATAAAATATATTTTTATCTGTAATTGAGCTGTGATAAACAAGGTAGTTAATTGCTAGGAACATCAAGCTGCTGTTGATTCAAGGCAGAGGACATTTTTGTGTGAATAGTACAGATTTTTTTATTCTTTTGATTAACATATTTTTGAAAGAGGGAAGCTGAATGGAGGGATTTTTTTCTAAACACAGTTTGTAAAGAAGTCATTTTAGGTAATTCTGCCTGGGCATTCTTCTGCAAGAAAAGCTGTGAGTGCTTTCATTGGATCTGACTAGTGGACCAGATGTGCACTTCTCTATCATGTTCTTTCTCACAGTGCTATTAAAAAAGTGTTGAAGTGTTTTTTTTTTTTTTTCATTATTATTATTGATCTAGAAGGGGCACATTTATTTATTTTTAATTGATTTACTTGGGTACCAGTGGTTTATCACTGAGAGGATCTGACATTGTTTCATCTGATGAAGGATTTCTGTGTGCCTTTACCAAATTACTCCCATAACATCCTTATAGGCAAGCTTAGGAAGTGTGGGATAGATGAGTGGGTAGTGAGGTGGGCTGAGAGCTGCCTGAATGGTAGAGCTCAGCGGGTTGCTATTGGTTGTGCAGAGTCTATTTACAAACTTGAGCCAGTGGTCAGCACTGGGACCAGGCTTTTTCAGTCTTCTAACTCATCTATGGCCTAGATGAAGGGACAGAGTTCACCCTCAGCAAACTTGCTGAGGATACACAACTGAAAGGAGTGGCTGATACCACAGTGGGCTGTGCTGCTATTCAGAGAGGCCTAGATAGGCTGGAGAGATGTGTAAAGAGGGACCTCACAAAGCTCAACAAAGACAAACACAGGGTCCTGAACACAGGGAGCTCCATGCTCCAGGACAGACTGGGAGCTGACTACTAAAAAGCAGCTCTGCGAGAAGGATGCCTGGGTGGACACCAAGATGACTATGCACCAGCAGTGTGCCCTCGTGGCCAAGAAGGCCAATGGGATCCTGGCCTGCATCAGGAGCAGTGCTGCCAGCAGGTCAARGGAGGKGATCCTGCCCCTCTACTCAGCTCTGGTGAGGCCGCACCTGGAGTATTGGGGGCAGTTCTGGGCTCCCCAGTACAAGAGGGATGTGGAACTGCTGGAAAGAGTTCAGTGTAGAGCTACAAAGATGAGCAGGGGACTGGAGAATCTTTCATGTGAGGAAAGGCTGAGAAAGCCAAGCCTATTTAGCCTGGAAAAAAGAAGGCTGAAAGGAGATCTTATCAAAGTACATAAATACTTTAAGAGAGGATGTCAAGATGATGGGGCCAGGCACTTTTCAGGGGTGCTCAGCCATTTAGTGTATAGTTTTATTATCATCCCAAATACAGGAAAATGAGAATAGCAATTTTCCTTTCAAGCTCGAAATCCACTTATACATAATGCCAAGTAGGCTGCAATTAATACAGCAGTATTTATTAGTATGTGATAAAAATCAGTAACAATCGTACAAATAGAGGCTCCATTAAGGCTGTGAGCACAAGATGAAAGTTTTCATGAAGGATGTTTCCAACTTTCAGGTTGAAAGGCTACTTTTTTACACTTTAAAGAACCTGACAACTATCTCACTTGAGAAGTGATTGTGTGGAAGATATGACTACCAWGAGCATAAACCAGACTGTTTGGATGAGAACATGTAATATAGAACTATGTTTTGGAGAACTAGTGGCAATGGYGGAGAGGTGTACACTGCAGGAAGGAAAGAGGCCCTTAAAGAGGTCTTCATTTGGAAGCCTTTGCTATGGACTCCAAGTTCTTCCCTTTCTAAAAGAAAAAAAAAAGGGCAGTTCTGACTCACCACTTCAATATAGTTCCCTTAAGGATTCCCAAAGTGTCTGATCTAGAATAACACTTCTAAGAAACTGAGAAACTAAGAAACTTGCTTTTTACAGAAGCTTGCTTTTTTTTTATTCAGGTAATTTTCTAATTTGTTAAGTTCTGGGAAGTGAGCTGTCATAATTTTAATAGTATCCATTTCACTCAGTCTTTTTCTTACAGAAGAGACTACACTTGACTCTCTCTGTTCTTTAGTTTGCTGTACTAACATTACATTACAACATCCCAGTTTCATGAATTAAATTCCCTTTGTCGCTGGGAGAAAGGACAGGGCACAGTGCCCCAGAAACTGGCTTCTTTTTTGACATTAAGAAATTCTTACACTTTCTGGAAAAGGAAAATCAGACATGGAAATGCAATTTAAATGGGTCCTGAAGTTCTTTTTGGAATTATCTGAGACAGGATCTTCTTGAATGATAGGAACATACAATGTCATTTTATGACAAGTACTGGATCTATAACTATAGAAAAGTTCGGCCTGAATTGTGACTTTCTACAAGCTTATAGAAGCTACAGACATATTTTGAAGGCTCTGAACTGAAGATGTTTAAGATGTTACAAAACTTCATAAAGCTTTGCGACCAAATCGTTTTGGGCRCTGTAGCTTAGTTGATGGTGATTTTGTAAGACTGAAATCAGGTTCTGAAGATCTTTTTTTTCTTTTTCTAAGAAACACTGCCAAGCTTTGTGTTCCAAAGAACACTTTGTAAGCTTGATTTGCTCAGGTTGATTTTTATATTTAGGGACAACGAGTTGAAAAGCTCTCTGGACTGATTCTAATCTCAGGCAGTTACTGACCTTTCTTGAACTGCCCAGGCAAAAGACAGACATATCATTCCCTAATTTTATGGCAATCTCCAGTGCTAAAAGACATTTTGATAATGAACCTGCGTGGAACAGGTAGTGATTATACATTGCCAAAAGGGAATGAAACTTGCTGAACTTGTGAAAGGCACAATTTGACAAGCAAAACTTTTAATAATATATAAATGTGTTCAGTTTTTCATACCTAGTACCTAGTACACCAGCAGGGAAATTTGACTGCTGGCCACCTTGCAAGCTAGTGACCAACCATACACAGAGTACAAGAACCTAGAAAGACAATAGTCTAGTGTTATTTACTAATACTGYTGATTGTAAATAGAAGCCTGTATGAATTTCTCTATTGCTTTTATAAAGCATTCCTGTTTTTATTCTCTTGTCTCCATCTGAATTTTAAATGAGGGTACCTTCATAGATTCAGTGTATCCTTCTGTTCACTTTCTATATATTCCTTAGCTTTATAAATGGGACATAAATACTGATTAATCTTGCAACTGTACTTTATACACAGATATCAAAATAGAAAAGATTTAAGTTTCATTACTAACCATTTTTTTCCGTATTCTGCAGACAGACGACAGTGTCAGGTAAAAGTCCTTTCTCTGATAAYGCTGACCAGTGATCTATTGACAGAGGATAGTTATCCACTACCCATCCTCCTTTTTCTGGAGCACCAGGAAACCTGTCTTTGTTATTCTTTGTGAGCTGTTTTAAGAAGTCGGAGTCAGCAACATAAAAGAATAATAYAGTCTCTGAGCTGTTTAAAAAGGTTGCAGAGTATAAATGATTTTCAAAACTTTCCCTCTTGTCTTTTCATGTTAATAAAGGATAAGACATTTATAACTTTACATGCCTTAATGAAATAAAAACATTTTAAACAAAGAGACATGACCATATCATTTTTTTTAAGGTTGTCTACAAAGAATTGAGGTTTAAGTCTTGAGATTTACAAACCAGTGAACAAGCTTTAAACAATCCAAGATTCTATAATTCGTCTTCTAATACAATTCCTTCCATTARCGCTAATATTTGCTGTTGAGTAATGTGACCAAACTGATGAAAAATATACCAACACTTTTTTTTATGAAGAAATAATTCCTTAGCTCTCATTCTGTGATATTATTATTATTACAGGTATTATTACAAGATTCTCAAGTTCAAGCTAGACAAATTTAAATAATACATTAGATACTTTTTAAAGTGAGAAGGTAATGAATATATTGTGTAAAGCCTCACTAAGGTACAGCAAAGATTAATATAGCTTGATATATCTTTAAAAGTGACTAAGAGTACAAGAGCAGGGGAAGTGAACAGTGACATTTCCCTCAGATAATTCTCACAGCCTTTAATAGCCTGTAGCTTTAATAGCAGGTAGACTTTGTGAGACAAAAATAGCTTGTACATATACAGAATTCCTGAACAGATTTCTATTACAAGACCTTGTTTGGGCTCTCCTCAATCCTATGGAAACTTTTAAGTAATATGACATATATTGGACTGATTAAATAGAAAAAAAAATAACAATATTTATTGATAATAGACAACAGTTACATGGTGCTCTTAGAAAGTGGTTTGTTATGCAGTACTTGTAGTTTTACCTCTGTAATAGCTCTTTCCAGTACTTCAGCATATATTTCAGGTGACAGTGTAATTTCAGATTCTGATGCACTTTCTACAGCTTCTTCTGCCATTGCTTGAACTTCCRGATGGTCAGAAGTTATCTCTGGCATTGCTAACAATGATTCTTTTGTTGCAGTTGAAAAATAAAAATAAAAAAACACCATATTTTTAATATAGATTTCTTTTAAACTCTTCACAAATGTCTTTGCTGTTTCATTCAAAYGAAAACAAACAAAACACCTGTAAAATATTACACTGTGAAAGGTRAATGAAATACTGTTTCAATATCATTTCACCTGCAGCATCTTTGAAGTTCTTGCAGGAGTCTAAATGAAACTGTTGACAAGATGAATTTAAAAATTAATACAAATCATAGGTCAAGATAATATATCATTTACAATCAAGACATCTGCATTCTAAAGAATGGATAAGTCACTCCTATTGGATTTATATTTGATTATTAATTGCTGATGCAATGTACTGTAATTGTTCAGATTTTTGAGAGAACATTCAGAGTTAGTTTTTATTTACGTTCTAATTTTATAAAATGATAGCATAGTTCAGTGAAAAACTGATTACAGGAATTGCAAGAATTATTATCATAGAATCACAGAAGGGTTGAGGTTGGAAGGGACCTCTAGAGATCATGTAGTCCAACCCCCTGCTCCAGCAGGGACACCCAGAGCACGGGGCACAGGGCGRCATCCAGGCGGGTTGGGAAGACCTCCAGAGAAGGAGMCTCCACAGCCTCCCTGGGCAGCCTGTGCCAGGGCTCTGGCACCCTCACAGGGAAGAAGTTCCTCCTCACATGGAGATGGAACTGCYTGGGTTTCAACTTACACCCATTRCCCCTTGTCCTATCACTGGCCACCACTGAGATGAGGCCTCATCTTCTTTACATTCTCCCCTCAAGTACTTATACATATTGACAAGATCTCTTCTCAGTCTTCTCCAGGCTAAACAAGCCCAGCTCGCTTAGTCTTTCCTCATATGATAGACGCTGCAGTCCCTTAATCATGTTTGTCGCTCTATGTTAGACCCTCTCTAGAAGTTCCACTCCATTATGTGAAGAATATAATTTGGAAAGAAATGTCACCCTATACATTTTTTTTTTTATGAAAATAAACTGACTGAAGAGAGTTTCTTCATGTTATGTTTACCTGCATTTTATCCATATTTACTYGTCCTTTTCTTCAAGCTAAACTTCACTCTTTTACTATGCTCTATGCAATACATTACAGCATTAATTGAGAGTATAGTTATTTAAAATTGTAAGTAATTCCCCACCTAAAACTTTATTTTTTAAAACATTCACCACTTGTCCTGGTTAATTAAAACTTAACATACTTTTAAGTTCCTCATATTAGAGTGGCAAAAACTCCTACTCCTGAATTCAGATCCTCTTTTCACTTATGTCTTCTGTTTATGTGTGAACTAACACTTTCTCTCCTTTCTRATTAAAAACTGTTTAAACAATCTTATGCTATTAAAAGATATATAAATGAAAAAAAAAACAATTTTTCATCCAAATACATGTTCAGCTTCTGTACAAGCAGTGGGAGTTTTTTTTCCCCTTATACAGAGGCATAGTATTAACTGGTTAAATATCCCAGCTATCTTTCAGTGACAAAATTCACCGTTTCATTTTATGTTTCTCAAAAATATCAGTAAAAAGTAAAAAAAAAAAGTTTAAAACAGTCCTACAAATGCAAGTGGGGAAAAGGTGGTCATCGTTTGGCTATTTAATCTGTAAGGCACTCTGAAAGCATGGAATGGCATGCTGAGAATAGCTAGGGTTTTTTTTTTTTTACCTTCTCGGGTCATGTCAGACTTTACAACAGTAAGATTCTCGTTCAAGTCTGTTCCTTCTCCAGATTTAACAGTTTCTTCAGAACCATCTGCTTCTTTGTCACTAGTAAATTCTTGGAAATCTGCCGGGGCTATGAAAACATTAAATTCATAGAAAACTACATCAGTAACATCTCAGCCTTCACCTCTCCATCCACAGCCTCCCAGTCTATATGATCCCCCCAACACACCTTCTGGATACTCTCCYATCCCTTGCAACAGACAAGATTAGAAGCAAGTGGCTCTACCTGTGCACTGAGGTGCACTGAGAACTGAGGAGGTGCACTGAGAACTCATTCTCAGTGGTRCCCAGYAATAGGAAAAGAGACAATGGGCACAAACTAAAACACAGGAAGGTCCCTCTGAACGTAGGGAAAAACTTACTTACTGCAAGGGTTACAGAGCACTGGAACAAGTTGCCCAGAAAGTCTCCATCTTTGGATATGTTCAGTAATACAGGTCTTGGGAGGCCTRCTCTACGTGGCTTTGCTTGAGCAGGGCCATTGGACTTGATTATCTCCAGTGGTCCCTTCTCACCCTCACCATCCTGTGATTCTGAATTATTAGTGCTTGCAAAAGGAGCTTATAAAGCTTCCTCACATGTTTGTGACTCTCAGCTCCAGGTTATTTACACTTCATAATTTCAAAAGCATTGAGTTCTGCTCAACTATTGCTTTCACTTCATGATCTTTTAGTTCAATTTAACATACAATATCAGTAACAGCTTCTGTAGTATTTTAAAACAGTATAAAATATTGACAAGTGAGAGGAATTTCTTCGGTTAAATAAAAAGAAAAAAACGCAAATAATATAGCTTCAAAGACCATGGAACACCTTAATCACCTTGTTCTTGTGGCACTTCTTCTAATTCAAATCTAGCTTTCTCTGCTTTTTGGGATGTTTTTATTGTTTCCTTTTGCATTTTAATCTTTTTTTGTCTTGACTCTTCTATGTGGGGTTGAATTAGTTTGACCATGTCAAGAACCTAATGAAGTTATTTGAAAAAGAAAAAAAAAATGCAGAAGAGACATACAGCACCTGATCCAACAGCTATACAGTAAAATGAGTTTGGAAAAGCTTCCTGTATTTCAGAAAAAAAATACTTATAGTTCAAGTATAGTTGTGTACAAAGTAATTTCCAATTTCTAATGCAATTTAACTCTTAGATACAACAAATACTTAGTGTATTCTTGTGTTAAGACATRTAAGTTTCACAAATAAATGTTTGTCTATATATCTCACATGGGGGGAAATGACAGAATTTCACTGAATTAGTATATTTCTTCTGTAATATTTCCATTTACGATGTGTATTTAAGGATCCACCATGAATCTAACCGGTTCCAGGGTGCGAGCGTATCCCCTTGTTACAAAAGGCATTTATCTACTCACCTTTCCATGGTACTTGTTCGCAATCAGGTTACAAACGGTTGTTCTTCCAGACAGTGGGGGGCCAAATACTAGTACTTTACAAGGAGGAAGTGGCATTGGTGGTAGCAAGTAAGGCCGCGGATTCAACATAAATGTTTTCAAGGCCTCTGAGGAGGATAGTACATACATTTTACCTAGAAAACTAAAAACCAAAAAAAAAAAAAAAAAAAAAGCCAACAGGTATAGACAGTTGTCTTATGAAATGCAAATAAGAATCACTTATTCCAAATTCCACTAACCTGACAGCCAAGTCTGGTATCCCCATTACAATATCACCCTCCTTAAGAGCCACAGGACACGCTTGTCCCCACCTGCTTCTACGCCATCGGTATCTGTTTGCTATTAGTTTGCAAGATGAGAGAACCCGGAAAAGTTCATCCTGTTTATTAAAACAGTAATAATAAAATGTATGTATATTTTTTTCTAAAATGTTATATAAATAATATGTTATATAACTTGGTCTTTTTTCTTTTTTTAAAATAAATATTCTTCTGGAAAGCAACCAAACATAATTAAACTATGATTTTTTTTTTTTTTCAGAACTGCAAGACAATCTTAAGGAGAAATTATTTAGTTTTAAAATTTTATTTATTAAAACTAGTACTTAAAATAGTTCTTGTAGACTTCATTAATTAGTTTCAAAAGCTTAAAAAATGAAGATATATAACTCAATGAATTATTGAGGAAGGGAGAAAATGGCTAAGATTATTTCTCATAACACTGATGAAGAATAGACAGAGATCTGATGGAGAATAAAAAGGCTAAAATCTCTCTTCTAGGTATGCAGAAATGTCAAGGGATAGGAATATGTCTAATAGAAGGTTTAAAGAAGTTCAATAGTGAGTAAATCATAGAGTTTATAGCGATGCTAAATTATTCATAGTAGTAAGGAAAAATGCTGGCTATGAAGAACTGCAGGAGGACCATTAGGGACTAACACGCTGGGCATTAAAACAGTAAATATTAAACCAGAGKACAGTGAGTTAGAAAAAGCCAATTCTACAAAGAGAAGTAATTCTGTGCAGTCTGTATGATTAAGCTGCAGAACTCCCTGACCTTGGAGGGGATACTGTGGATACTAAATTTGCATCAGCTCAAGAGAGCACTTGACAAGTTGAAGATTCAAATTAATAGATATATTGACAGTTATTAAACACATGAACTGAAAAATAGATATGGACATAATCTGGCACAAAAAGTCCTTCATCGGTGAATTTGATGGGTACTAGGAAAAAAAGATTTTTTTTTTTWATGCTCTGAAAGCATAACCACAATCAATAGGGTCTCCTCAGTCATAATACCATTTATATATTTGAAGTTGTCATGAAAAAAAGCAGAAGATAAAAGCAGGTAGTTATATATATATAACATGTACCCAGTGACTTCCATTTTTACTTGGAAAAGGTAAAAAATATTACTGATATGATTCAGGCAAAATATAACACTTATTTGTCTTATTTCTAATAAATCACTGAAAATAAAATGTATGGGTTTTCAGCTATGCAGGATGCCGTTATATTTTCATTAGCATGATATATTTCTCTTTCAGGAAATATTTAAGCCTGAGATGAGTCAGCTGGAGAAATTATTATCCTTTTGCTAAAGTGTCTTTATTTCCCTGGAAGAATGGCGTTCACCCTCAATCCATTGTTAAAACAAACATTTGTTCAAAATTTTATCATAAAGAAATAAAAATAACTTTTTCCACGCTGTTTTAGCTGAATTTCAGTTCCAGGATGGTTTTAAGTTCACATTTCTGGAAAATCAAGAACCAACAAAGCCCATATTACATGATAAAACAAGTTGCTTGCAATGAAACAAATATAAGAAGACAGCAGAAAATTAAAAAATACATTTCTATAATGATAAAATTTYAGGAAAAAAAATACACTTACATTTTCCAGTCCCTCTAATGTTTCTTCTTGCTGACTTTGAAGTCTAGTTATAGGAGCTGCATTTCGAACACCCATAGACTGAAGTCGGGCTACCACTGACTGMAAAGAGAACAACTTTTGACTAAGCACCAATCAAAACTGCTTTTGTGATCTGAAAGTATCACAAATGCTTTTGTTTTTGTTATTACTTACTTATTATTTATGTAATGGCCACATATACACTAAGCCCCAAGTCATAACTTGGGGCCATGCTTATTATTAAGTTCCTTCAAGCTGTTTGGTAGATAAAGACTGTACAAAATGATGAATCAAAACCTCCTAGTTCTGTCCTTATATGCTGTGAATCCCTAGTCCTCCCAAGGGATAGACTGAAGGATTCTCTCCGACCAAGCAGTGGAAATCTTCAGATGAGCTCCACTCTGTGCCAATAGGGTTGATAAAAGTTGGGGATGGGARTTGTCTCCAGGAGATCAGATTACTATTCAGACTTGGCGATAATCCACCTTTGGGATACTTCTTTTAAAAAGTATTTAAATGGGAAGTCTGCCAATGAGAATCAGGTGATATTATATTTAAYTGAAATATTTCTTAAATGCAATTTTGCTTGATTGCAAGTATTCTTAAAATGAAAAAGTGACTTTTTTCACAACTGGGCTATCTTCACAACATCTCTGCCTTACTCACTGGTAAGATGGTTGGATTCACTGCACACCTGTACTGTCTTTGGTATAAATCTTCTGCTGTGATGCTGACAGATTATAAATAATGAAATTTTGTCTTTCAGCAATTTGGTCTTTTGTCTCTGCAAAAATAGTTTTTGTGGTTTTTTTTAATTATTATTCTGTGCATATAGGAATATTTGTGATAATAAAACTAACTGTAAAATTAAATACTTGCAAAATTGCAACAGATTAAATTTCTTTCCAATGAGGGAGGGAAATGTCCAAGGGCAGCTCACTTTCTACATCATCAAAAACAATCTCTTGCTTCTCCTTTTTCACACTCATACTTTCTGATCTAATATAATTTACTTCTGAGAAAAAGGGAGAAATTATCTTCAAAATTTATCATTATGATTTTCAATATGCAGAATGAATTGCTACATCATGAGCTGGAAATCTAGATACAAAGACTAGAAAAAGGAAAAAAATCAATTTAATTGTAAAACAGTATTACAGACCATAAATATTTCTTCATTATTTCAGGCACCAACACACGAAACCAATTCTATAGATGTCTYGCTGAAAATGTTCTGATTTTGTGGGTTAATAATGATATTTGAAACTGATACAGGATATAAAGAACAAGAAATATACGGACATAGTACAAAATAGGTTGTAGTCTGCCTGGGAATATTCTTGTTTAACATATATGGAAACTTGGGCTGAGTGGCGAAGTATTCTTTTATATATTCCTTATATTCTTTTAACATAACAACAAAAGCAGGTATTTCAAAGGTGTTGTTTTGAAATCAGTGAGTTTTATATTCAACTTAGAATGTTGCCAAGTGAAAAAAAAATCTACAGAATTGATAATTATTTTTTAATGGAAGTTCTTTAACCTGGCGCATAGTTTACTTACTGCAAAGAGATCATTTGGTTGCTTATTTCCATCCAGTTCAATAAGATATAGAGAATCCTGCTCAGCCATCAAGTCCTATTTAAGAATGAAGACATGTTCTTTAACTGAATAAACAGTTAAACTGATAATGACATTCAAGCTTATTCTCTTCCTATAAATATCAAAAGCTGGACTCCTGTAGTCTACAGGCTTTCCTGTGGACAACCAATTTTCACTAGGCTGATCACTTAGAAGTTTCTTGGCAGATGTTTTTATATTTTAATAAGTGATCAATAAATGCAGAGAGAATTAAAAAATTATAAATACAATGGGTTCAGAATTCAGATTAGAAAATTTAGGACAAACCCAAAATAGCCACAAATAATCTAGTAGCTTTTGATGTATGAATTCAAATCGCCTAGTTAATGCCAGTACTTAATTCCCCAATGGGAAGTGGTGATAAYGTTAATTAATAGATATCTTGGAAATATCAGCCATGAGACCAAAGTTTTAATTTTGGCCCCAACTCTATATTTCCCTAATTTTGGAGCAATATATTAGATTTTTTTTCTTATTTCCATTTTTTTTCTATCAGTAAATTATAGACTTTATTATAGACTATAGGGAGGGAATCAAGAATGCTCCCTCCATTACCAAGAGATATTTGTTTAAACCCAGCTCTGAAAAAGGCTAGTGAAGGTGACTCTGCAACTTTCTCAAGTAACCTATTCATTACTCTTGTGGACAGAGCATATTTGCTAGCATCTAGCCTAAGTATTCTACACTGCAAATTAAATTATCTTTCCTAACTTTGGTAGATAACAACTGACTGGTTCTTTCTAATATTCTTCTACCCAGAAAGTWGTAATTTGTCTTCTGCTTACATACAGAATTACAGAATGATTAAGATTGGAAGGGACCTGTACTTCATTTTGTGGCCATTGCGTCTTGTCCTRTCGCTGGCCACCACTGCAAAGAGCTTGTCCCCATCATCTTGACACCCTCYCYTAAGGTATTTATACAAATTSATAAGATCACTTCTTGGCCTTCTCTTGTTTAGGCCCAGCTCTCAGCCTCTCCTCATAGGAGAAATGTTCCAACCTCCTAATCATCTTCATAGCTCTACTCTGAACTCTCTCCAGTAGATCCCCTTTTGTACTGGGGAGCCTAGAACTAGRCTCCAGATRTGGCCTTACCAAGGCTGAGCAGAGGGCAAGGGTCACCTCCCTGGACCTGCTGGCTACACTTGGCCTAATATCCTGCCACCCCAGCATCCCATTGGCCTTCTTGGTCACAAGGGCGCGTTGCTGGCTCATGGTCAACTTGTTGTCCACCAGGTCACCACCACCGGTATTAGGGCAGTTATCAGTATTAATATTATATTAATAGTATATCCCAGTATTTCTTTTGTGCACTATACCATGTTTATTGAATCGGTTTAAAATTAGCTGTATTCTCAGACTGTCTACAGTACTGAGRTCAGTACATTTCTACTCAGTTTCATCCTAGAAAGTAAAGTCTGTCCTACAAAGTTCTTTCTGTCTATCCCAATTCAATGCAAAGTTAACATTTTATAAGCCTTTTCTTTCCATACTTAATCATCCAAACCTCTAACTCACTCAGATCCTTGGGTTCATTCAGTATTTTAGTGAACCACTAAATGCCTAAATAAGACTTTTCAGCTAGTGGTTTTCAAACTAATCCAAAATCCATCCTTTACTCTCTGTGATCTGAGGGCTGTAACTCCCTCTTGTGAGTGTTTAAATATTCTTATATCTGTGGTCACCACAGAAAGTTACTATATTTATYATAGAGCTAAGTGGAGGCTTATGACATCAATGAGGCATATTTTCAAACAGATGTTACATTTTGTCTTTTGTGACCACTTTTTTTCTTGAAACTTCAACATATATAACACTGGAAAGAATGTAAAATTGTAAAATTTAAAAAAAAAAATAAAATTCTCTGTTCTTTGGGATTTGGAGTGTAGCCAACTAGTCCATGCTTGTGGTTATAGGCAAGAAGCTCTCTCTTCTGTCTTGTTCTGGAGATGTTGTAGCAGCAGCCATCTCTCAACAATGGAGAAAGAACTGCAACATACTCTAGATCATCCTATAAACCTTGGGCAAGTGGTTATGAAAAGAAGACAGGCAGAAGGCACAAAAWCAGGTTCTAGATCTAGAGAGAAAAATAATCAAGTAGAAATCTGTAGAAACAAAACTGAAGATAAAGCAAACGTAGGAGCTCATTATTGGGTATATAAAACTGCAGGCAATGAAGCAAGTGAAGAAGGGAAACCTGTGGGAATAAATATGACAAGTAGAATCCTTAGAGGATTGCATGTTAAATGGACTCTACTAATAGTTATGATGTGCTTCAAATGTGTCACTTGCTAGGTTTAACAAAATATTACTAGTGCATTTCTATTTTAAAACTCAAAATGGATTACTTTATCTTGACTCTAAACTACCAACAACATCTACAAATGACAGCTATATCATTCATTTCAGTATAAATTTCAAAACTGGCACATATGTTGAACCATGACATGTGTCCACCTCCGTAAAATAAATCTTAGTTCCCAAGAAAGCATGGGAATAGGGTAAGATATTTTAAATAACCTTCTGTTATGCAGCATCATAGTATTTTGCTTTTTCTTACTTCCAAAGGAYGGAGCATTATGTCCTTGTATATCCTAACTCTTTCCTCAGCATTTTCACGAATATCTTCAGGCCTCTGAACTAACTCAGGCAAAATTCTTGACATTTCAAATGGATCTTCTGCAATCTGAAGAATAAAAATTTAAATATTTCAAGACACAGAAACAAAATAATGTACTAAACTAAATTTTGTCTATACTCAAAAGTTGATAGATAAAGTARCTTCCCAGAAAATTACTGCAATATGAATTAACTAGCTAATAGTGATCCTTGTCCTGATGAAGTACACTTGCTAGGAACTGATAGAAACGTGCCTGGAACTTGCATTGACAAGTCTTTGGCCAACTTCATAAACCAATGCTACCCAACGAACCCAAAACTAAAATATGAAAAAAACCTGTATTCATTGCATTCTAACACCAAAGCAAGTTAACATACCACAAAAAAATAGTAAAACCGTGTTATAACAATAGAAATCAAGAACTTCTGTATTTCTTTAGCCCCATAATTCCCTTTGGCTTAAAATCCTATCCCCAAGATTGACTAATCACAGATGCTTATACAGAAGAACAGAGAGCAGAGCAACACAGAGTCACCATTCTCCTGATACACTCTTTCAATCTCCCGATTCACTCTTTCAACTTACAGCAACAGTTTAGTGTCTTCTAAGTTAGAGACTGAATCCAGGACTAAGTACACAATAATCATCACTTGCTGCCATTTAAAAAACTATTTAAATATTATCTCAAATCTCTTAAAACGGAATAGAATTAAAGTTAGATTAGCAGCTGTTACCACTTCTTCTTCCTGCTCTTCCAGTTCTTCTTCACTCTCGTCTTTACGYTCATCTTTCATTTTCTTAAGTTTTTCAATAACATTAGGATCCCACTGGTTCTTCTGATATAGCTGCCCTGAATCAGGACGCTGTCTTTGTCCAGATAATCTTTTGCATAAGTCGAAGTCTGAACACTAGCAAGGAATGATTAAAAGGAAATCACATGCTCATTGTGGTGCTACAATAACACTAACTTCTTCCTTAAACTGCAAAATATGGGGGGCTGTTTGGTAAATATTTGGATTCATAAACATCTTCTTAAATAACTTTCAAGGTAAATATGAAACTTCCAACAGAAGCAAAGTTACTAAGTGCAAAGAGAGGCTTAATTCTTGCAGTTTTCTGCAAGTTTTCTGTGGAATTTATATTCCACATCAGGAGTGTAACTGCTACTTATATTCACATTTTGCCATGCTAGCTATATGCAGGTATTAGTTGCTGGATAAAAGCCTTTTGCAGACAGGCTTGTGATTACTCTTGCAACCCATTCCAAAGAGGTTTAGTCCTGAGCAAGYTACCAATTTTACCTCTCAGAGCTGTACTATCACCCAGAAACATAGCAGTGCTGAATCAGAGGCTAAAGGCATTCAGCAACTGGGAGCACGGTAAGAATAACCACAGGTCTTTCTACAAAAAGACATTCAAATACAAGTTTAGTGTTACATTAAACACAGATCAATTTGAATGTGGTCTTAACATGGATATTTTGAAATTCTGTTATGGAGTTTGAAGGGAGGGCACAACAAAAAATCATTCCCCCCCTCTTAATCCCTATCCTCCAAACATATTGTGAGCAACCTAAGATAAAAAGAAAACATAGAAGTTGTTAAACTCAGGGAAAAATTATTTCTACAGAGTAAAATAGAGCCATGACAGTTTCAAACTCAGTGAGCAAAACATAAAACAATTTGCTTTCTCACTCAAATATGTGAACATTTTTTATCTGAAAGTGTCTAAGTAGACACGAAAGGGAGATTTGCATGCATCCAAAATGGCATAGTGATCATAATATTCAAAGTTTTCTTTTCCCGAAAACCTATCTCTTCTAACTATTTCTAGAAACTTAACCTAAGAGAGTCAGAGATTTTAACTCCTATAAAAGTGATAGGAAATGCTCACTATTTTACATGATCAGTGCTTATTACATAATAAACTAGTATGATTCCATTCCACTATAAAAGGAAAAATATTCTTAAAACCTCAATAAATATCACAGAATATCACTGAATATTATACTCAAATGTACAGGAGAAAATATTATCTTTTGATTTATGCAGCATATGAGTCTACTAATAACTAGAAATATGACTAGCAAACTACTAAAGATGACATTACCTTAATATTAATCAGGAAATCTGCTTTTAATTTTAGATTTTTTATTTTCTCTATTTGTTGTGGAATAGTCATGTATTCCTCTGAGAGAGAAGGAAATCCACAGAGAATATAACCTGTCAAATACATTTTGTTAAATACATCTTTTATAAGGTTATGTCAAATATACTGTCCAGTTATATTGAACTCCTTTAAGCAAAACATCTACATATTGTGTAAGTGGTTAAAAATTGTTCCACTATTATAAGAAAAAAAAAAAAGCAAAAATAGGTGCACTGTATTCAGCTTTGCATAGGACTCTCAAAGTCTGTTAACTTAGACAGGAAGTTTAAAATGATAAGGACTATGTGGACATTAAAGTTCATACTCAGACGCCTGCTTCATGTGCTTAACATGAGCATTACAGCAACTAAAATCAGCTTTTAGTGACTGCTTTTGCCATTAAAAAGGCACTGTGAAAGGCATTGCAGAAATGTCGCCAAACTATGATACACAGCATTTAAACTAGGAGTCTATTTTTTTATTATTATTTTTTATTTTTTTTATTTATTTATTTTTTTTAAGTACAGCCTTCACCTCTACGGACAATAAAGGGAGTCTGAACTCTTCTATGGGACATGCAGCGTGCCTGCACATTCATTTCTCTCAAAAGGAGATGCTAAGCACAGAGGATGCCTAGTGAGACACCTAGCCTGGCAAGCACCCACTCACTCATGATCCGCAACGCTGAGTCCTCTGGCAAAGACAACAGCTATTCSTGACAGACATGGTGGTGGGAACAGCCCATTCCTAGCATTAGAGTGCTCATCTGAGCACTCCAGCGCTCAGAGAGTACTCAGGGATATCTGAACTCCCGGCTTCAGGCAATATCCGAACCCYTGGCCACCGTCCAGAGAAGATGTAGAAATTGTGCAAGAGCATAAGCAAGCAAGAGGGTCATGTTGAGTCATTCCCCTGTGGAGTGAAAATCCTGGATTCTAAATTGTTGACACATKGAGAAGATTTTAACTGCTAGTGGGGTGTGGGTAGTTTGCACAGCCTCTGCATGGCAATGTGGCCTGCAGAACAGCAGCTGATATGAGAAGACGGTGAGGGTAAACAGTGTATGTGAATAGATTGCCCCAAACTGTGTGTTCTTGAAGGGGTTTTTGACCCTAGTCTGATAGTGCTGTAGGAAAATGAACAATGACAAACTTTGCTTAAGACAACTATCAAACAGTAATTTTTTACCTAGAATACCTTAAAATACAGATATGCTCATCAACTCTTCTTTTGCTTCTTAACCACTTCTGTCTTTCACCTACTATTTTCAAAGTCTAGCTACACAAGGCAAGCATGCCTCTCTGTAAAACTGATGTGAGTCTGTCTCCAGAGAAGGAAAAAAACTCATCATATCCAAAAGTTCATACAAGTTTGCTAGTTCTCAGAGAAAAAGAGATATGGCATCATCTGGCACTATGCTTGCCTCTCTCTAATAATGGAAATTTTCAATAAAAGTCAGCATTAGAAAAAGCAATGATATTTTCTTTTCCCTGATTTCCATTTAATTATCAGTTTTGTCTTTAGGAAAGCAGTTTCAGACACTAGCAAGAACATGTAGCATTAATTTCAACATGCTCCAGTTATATCATCTTTTCTCAGGAGTTACTTCCATCACCAAAACCTCATTTAACTTAATAGAGAATAAATGAAGTTGCTAAAAAACATACTTAATACTTTGCATTTTAAATAACTTGTCTTCCCTCTCTTTCAGTATGCTAAACATCTAAAATATTTTTGCCAGTAATTTTTTGTTATAGGAGTATTCAAGCTCAAATTTCTGTATTTGAAAGTCCAAATCTTTTCACAACATTTAATACCGGCAAGTGATAATCACAAAAGAATCATGGGCAAATTCTTTCCTTCAGAATTAACACAACATTGGATTGGCATGACACTTTTTGACTTCCTGTAGGTTAAGCCCTAAGACATAACCTGAGAGTATTCTCAGTTTACGGATATTCCACAGCCTAAGGAACACAAGAAGAGGTGCAACAGTCCAACTGAAAATATATAATACTAGAGCAGTAATGTAAGTGAAGAGTGACAAAGTCAAATTCTAGCAAGCACATTCTCAGACATTTAGGCTATAAATATATACTTACCAAAATGAGCAACTTCCGGTGACTCAATCTTTTTCAGAATCATTTTTGTAACCAGTTCTTCAGAAACGCTTTGACCTCTAAACAGCAATTCTTGACACTAAAGTGGAATGTGAAGCAGTCTTTTATATTGCACGAGTCAAGAATATGACAACATTTTCTATTAGATTAAGATAAGATTATTTTACCTTAAGCCCATCTTCTGTTTCTTCACGAATATTCTCTTGAATTACTTCTGAAGCTGAAGAAGCACATCAGACAAGAATGAAATTAAAACAGTTTAAAAATTCTGTATTTTATGTGGAGATGTACGCTTACAAATGTACATATATATAGATAGACACGAGTGTGCATGTGTGTTCCAAGCACATTTTAAGATTAAATAGCACAGAGTAGCAAGCCAGACTACTTCTGAATTGACAGCCACTGTATTGAGGGCCATTATTTTATTTTGTCCATCCAAAATAAGATGCCTTCTGGAAATGTCCAGGTAGATATTTGAAAAAAACAGACCTATAAATACTACAGGTAAATGGTTCAATTCACATCATATTAGCATTACTGCTGAAAAATATGGAGAGGAATATTTGAGCTTAAACACTTCCAAAAAGACAATTGTTCAAAACAAACACAAAAAAAAATCTGCCTTAAACATAACTTTTTAAAAACCTATTCCCTATATCTAAAATTATCTAAAATTCATACTAAGTTTGAGACCACTCAGATTCAAAGACCCATCTTCTGCCCCCATGCATGACATTGATGTCATGTCACAATGTTTCTGCAAGTCTTTCACATTTACATGCCACTAAAATAAGTACCCATACCATTTTTCAAAAACAATCCTTAAGGTTGCATTCATTTTACAAAGTGAAACAAGCCGGGGGAAAAAAAAAAAAAAAAAAAAAAAAAAAAAGGAGATATCTTGCATTCTGGCGGACGCATGGTGGGAAATCTTAACTGCACCTTCTAAATGGGATTTTTTAAGATGTTTTAGAAATGTGAATATGTCAACTTCTATTCCTTCCTTTGTATTTGCACTGCTATAAAAGCTAAGCCACTGAGTCCTAGGTTTTGTCCCCATTGTGTTAGGCACTGTACAAACACATAAAGATCCTACTATTTATTCATGGTTTGTATCAGCAAACCTCAGTGCTCTCCGTACTTCAGTGATTTGGCTACATTTGAAGAGAAGAGTCAACTGCTTCCATGAAAAAAAAGATTATTTGGTCCTTCCCAGGAGTCTTTAAAGAATCACCAGTAAGTCATTCGAACTATAGGGAACAGAAAGGATATTCTAAAATAAAAAAATAGGAAATCAATGCAATGTTCTGAAAATAGTGTGCAATTACCTTCTATGAAAGTGCATTTCCATATTTGTGCTAGTCTTTTGGCTAATGTCTTCTTTCCAGAACCCTTAAAATAAGAAATACATATTTGTTTGAAAGCAAAACATCATGAAAGAAAAAAAAAAGTATTTCTAGACATTAAAAAATCATTTATTTATATCGTAACTGCAATTAAAAGCTACCATCAAATTAGGGCCTCAGAGTTACTCACTGGACAAAACTTCTTTTTAATACCATCCTCTATTATATACTTCATAGCATGGCTAATACACTGTTACTCAACTACACAGGGGAGTACCTCCAAACTAATTATGCAGACCTCGCCCCTGAATAACTCCATATGAAACTCGGCTATGATTTGTTGGTAACTTCAAATGAAACACTCTTGAGGACTGAAATTTATCTTCAGTCTCAAAGCAAGATATGATGAAAACCTGCCCAGCCATTTCCTAGTCCACAGATCTCTTTTGGATACTGGAAAAGTGTTCATCTTTTCACATGCACTAATCTTGCGGAATCTTAGCACTATTGTAATTCCTSCATTAAATAATCTGCACCTACACCWGACTATACCTACAGGCATCACAGWGGCTGGGTCTATATTAGCTTCCCACGTGGGGCAAACAGAGCAGGACTGGGGCTTGATTCGGCAGTTTATGYTGYTGGKGTTGGTTGCCAGTTCTAGGTGCACACCACTTCTCCCTACCTGACAGACAGTGCAAAGCAGATTTCTGTGCATTCATTTCAGACTGTGTTGTGGTACCTGACAAAATGACACCTATACAGAGGGCAAGCTACGCTAGATCATACATTCACATTGGAAGCAAGGCACTCTGAAGGCACCTTGGTTGGCAAACGCTGTCTTATAAATGCCGTTTTCCTACTTATCTCTATTTGTTCAAATGAATCAGTAACTGATACTGATGCYATGATTTCAATTCCTGAAATTGAACATTCCTGAATTGAAATCACACTGCCATGATTTCAACTCCTCTGTTTTAGGGAGAATCCATACATCAGAATCTGTACAATATTTTGCAGGATTTACAAAGAAGTAAAGTTTAAAAAGTAGGTCCTTAAACCTTTTGGCAGTATTACTAAGCTAATGTTTTGAAAGGAATAGTAAAATCATTAGCTGTGTATTTTGAGGAGAAAAACAAAACTTCTTATCAGGCATCTTACTGGCTTTCCAAAGACAACAAAGCAGGTGGGTTTGGACAACAGAAAGGACTTCTCAGCTTCATCTTCATCAAAGATGTCTGCGAAGGGCTGAGCTTGTTGCTTCTCCTGCGAAGCCATGAGCAACCTGAGAGGAACGAAAGCCTGTCATAAAACACACGGCAGTTACTGTATGTGTGAACAACACATGTATCAACCGAGCTGAGCTAATAATGTGCTGCAAGGGGGACTACTCGGTAAAAAGGGCATTTTCCAATGAAAAAGCCTATATTGAACAGACACAGYATATTCATTACCAAGGGAGGAGGCAGTTCTGGAAAGCAAAGGGTATCAGAATCACCCCGCTCTCCAGGGCAATAAGGGCTTCCTCCTTTCTCTCACAGTCTCTCTTTATTTTAGAATAAAAATCCCACTTGAGGACAAAAAAAAAAAAATAAAGGATATGCAGAAAAAGGCTGAAAACACTTTGAAAAATAACCCACCCTGGAATTTTAGGCACAAAAACTTAACCAAAAGCAAACAAAAACGAGCAAAACGAGCAAAACGAGCCCAGACACCCCCCCCCCCCCCCCCAAGCCTCCCTCCGCTCACGCGCTTCCCGCGGCTCTTAACGGTCCGCGGAGCGCGGTGGGGGCGGGGAGTAACGGCCCCGCGCGCCGCTGTGTATCCGCGTAACCACGGCAACCCTCGGCCCCGCCCCGCGCCCCGCCCCTCCTCTTCGCCCCGCCCCCTCGGGAGCGCCCCGCCCCCGCGTCCTGCCTTCCCGTTACTGGCTACAGGGGAGGCTGTGGAAGGGGTCCCCCGGCGCCGCGTCCCGCGCCGGATGGTTCCAGGGGTGSCAGGAGGGGGAAGAATTTCGGAGCTGTCTCTGGTGCTGAGTCTAAGGGCGGCGCAGGCAACGGAGGGGACGCGGTGCCCACACACGACATGGCCACCGCCGCCTCAGCGGGCGCAGGCGCCTGCGCGTTGCCCCGCGCGCGCCTGCGCAGTGAGGTGCCGGCGCCTCCCGCTGTGCGCGGCCTGTCCGCTGCTGGCTGCCGCGCCGGGGCCCGGGGCGCCGCGCGGCCGCCATGTCGCCCGCGGCCGCCCCCATGATCAGCTCCGTGCAGAAGCTGGTGCTCTACGAGACGCGGGCTGTAAGTAGCGCCTGCCCTGGGCAGCCGCGGAGCGGCAGCGTCGCTGCCGCCGCCCCCTCCCCTTCGCCGGCCAGGAAAAGTGCTGTTTTTGTGTCTTGTTTTTRCCTTTTTTTATAGTCACGCCCCCAAAATATTCTGGAAACTCCCTCCCACCCCCCGAGTACTTGGAAAGTTATTGTCGTCTTCACTGCGTCATTGCTCTGAGACGTGTTTCGAAAGCCTGGGTGCTTTACGCGTACACAGGTCTGTGGTTGGGGTGAGCGGCGCTAGGCCTGGAGCCGCTGGCGCCTGGTGTGCTCCTCATTCCCTTCCTTGCGGGCCAGGGAATCAGACCCAGATACTAAATGTGCGCTGTCGAGACTGTAATTAAGGATGAGAACAGGGTGGCTGCGGGGGCCACCTGCCCGTTTACCTTTCTTGAGGGACTGCCGCTCCCCTCAGCTGAGTGGCTCATGARGCAGCCCCTGGCCTCCTTAATCAACTCTTCTGGATTTTTAGTTTTCCTTAGTATTCTGCTCCTGAAACCCTAGGGATGTGCTGCTCACAGTGCCTGTGCTATGGGGGTGCTGTGAGTAAAGAGGTCTGGAGGGCTAAGAGGGGTAATTGCTCTAGCCAGGGGACTAGGGTGCCAGCATGGGTGAGGCAGAGCCCTGTTTTCAGTGTAAATAGCCTATCACTACARTCCCTTGCTCAGCAATAGAATTACTCCTTAGTTTGTGTGGTTTCATCCTATGCTGATTTTAAGATAGCACTGGATAGATTCATAGGTACCATGATTTTGTCTTTAAATGCAACAGTTAGTTCTAGTTCTAAATAACTTCCAGTGATACCTGAAGCGGTAATAGAGAGCTTGGGGCTGATTTCAGCATACCCTCGTGCAAACAGGCACGCTGAAGGGAAGGCAGTCTGGCCTAGTTCCCACCATAAAGAGGAGTGAATTGTGACACCACCTCTCTCAGTAGATTTGGGTAGTGCATTAATTCCAATGCACATGAAATGGAGGAGAAAGAATCAGGCAGGTTTATTGGTGCTAGTAAGTGGAAGAATTGAGCTTACACTCGGTTTTCAGAATGTTACTTTTTCCTTTGCCGATGTCTAAAGGAATTTTGATGGATACCTTAACATTATCGTTGTGTTTTCATGTGTTATCACTTGTATTTTTTTTCTCAGCTAAATTACTGCTATATTAGAAAATGGCAGTGATTCCTGGTTCAGATTCTGAATTACTGAATTTCATTGCTCTTGGTTCAYAGTTCTTTCTACTTCTTTCCCTTTGGTGGTTTGTGGATTGGCTTATGCCATCTAAAATGGCTCAGCTGAGCCATGGTGTCTCGAAGCTTTCTCCTCAGTCATTTCTTGTGGGTGGTATATGTAGATGGATCTTTGTTTTCTGTTTTGCTTAGAAAAACAAATTAAGAAAAAAAACATACTGTTGTAACCTGCAGTGCTTTCTCGGCTGAAATGCAAATTATGGTCCTTTTTCAGTAGAAAAAAAAAATGTAATGCATTTGGAGTAATTGCTTTGAAAAAGGATGGTGCACTTGATAAAATCACAGAGTCATGAAACTTGAAAGGGACCCTTAGATAACATCTAGCCCAGCCCTCTGCTCAAAGCAGTTCCAACTAGAGCACATGACTTGGGGTCATGTCCAGCTGAATTTTGAGTATATTCAAGAACAGACATTTCACAGACTGTCTACATAACACATTTACCATGCTTGTATATGTGTGTGTGTGTGTATTTATTTCCTGTACTGAGTTGGAATTTTGCATGTTTCAATTTATATCTGTTGTGTCTTGTCCTTCCACCCCTTGGAAAAGTCTGGCTGCTGAATTTACACCTTCTCATTAGATAGCTGTAGACAGCAGTAAGATGCCCCAAAACTTTATCTTTTGCAGCTGAGCAAAGCCACATCTGTCAGCTTCTGCTCCTATCATATGCTCAAGTCTCCTGATGACACTGGCAGCCTTCTCCTGGATTCAGTCCACGATATCAAAGTCTTTCTTGCCTAGGGGAGCCCCAAAATAAACTTCTGACTTAATCAGATCATTGTGAATCTTGGGGGGAAATTTCCTGTTCCAGCTGATTCACTGTCACATTGGGCTGCTGACAAAAGCTCCTGCTTCTCCTCCTGTAGAAACTGGCCCATGCAGCCACTTTTGCATGAAATCTAACAATCTGTGACAGTTAGTCTGTGACATGACAGAAGTGTGACCCAGATACAAAGATGAGGAGCTTCCTCTTGGATCATGTTGCTCATGCAGTTTGCCCTAAGGCTGTATGATTACTAAATGTGAAGCTGGAGCACGGGATCAGCAGTTACACCGTTTCTGCAGGATCAGCAGTCTCCCCAGTAGCATCAGCATATACTGTATTATACCAGTACAGTAACTACCATAACCAGTAGCTACTGGATATGGGGTGACATGAAACCATTCCTGAAATTGTATGTAGAGACCTTGAGCAGGCAGGGAAAGGGTAACTTAGATTGTCAGCAACTGGAGGAAGATAGTAAAGTCAAATTGCTTGTTTCCATTAAAAAATACCTCTGTGTTAAAGGAGTGACAGACAGAATGGAGAAGAAATTGAAAAAGGAGAAATTTATTAGGCAGTATTTCTTTTTCTTTTAGAGATAAGAGTACAGTAGCAATATAGAAGTCAAACAGGGAAGACTGCTAGATGTGAGGAGAACTGAATTCACAAGGGCTACTGAAGCAACAGAGAACAAAATTCAGTATTTTCTATTAATACTTATATTTATGTTAGTTGCTGAGACCTGTCTTTTTAACTGGTGTTGTGGATCAATGAACACCATGGGGATGTGAATTCTATCTCCTGTTTGTCCTGGGAAATGGAGAGCTTCTTTAAAAGTAGCCTGGAAAATAAACGAAATAGTTGCATACCGATCAATGCCTATTACCTTTTATTTTATGCATGGATTTGACTGTTGAAATGCACACCAGAGGGCAGTAGAGATACTTCAGCAATATAAATAATAAGAAATGAAAGAAGTTTTCTTCTTCTCTTCTTCAGGAGAAGACCTAACTTGCATGTATTCTCCAAAAGAGCCAAACTGAAAGTGCTGGTCCAGTGGAAATGCTCATTCCGCTCAGGTGCTGAGACACAAAAAAAATCCATCTATAAGGAGTTATTGCTTACCTATCTTGCAGGTTATTATGAGGCTTAATTAATACTATGCTATTCTTCTACAGGCTTCATCTCCATAATACCCAGATGACTTGAAGAAGTGTATTAAGCTGTGTGACTAACACGATTACCTGTAAATTTTGTCTGACTTTTTTTTTTCCCCAGGGGAGCACTGTGTGGATTTTTTTTTTAATTTCTCTTTAGAAATATTTTAAATATATTTGACAAAAGCAAAGTTTAATAAAGTCAAGATCATAGAAGATGGTTAAGTTAATTAATTATGAGATCAGTCTGTGGTCAAATTGTCAACAAAAGATCCCCTCTTTCATTTGAACACCATCTCATTATGTCTGTAGTGATACTGCAGGAGTAGTGTTGGCAAGACTGAGCAAGATGGAGTGGGTAAGAGAGCAGGATAAGAGAGCAGGAATTTGGTGAAGTTCAGAAATGCATTGTCTCTTAAATGTGGGCAATAAAATAGAACATAATATGCTGGTGTGGGATCTGAGGACAGGAGATACTTGGAATAATGGTGATATGAAGAAAATAAGTTTTGACGACTATGTGCTATTCAGGAAGGATTGAAAAAAGATCAAAARGGATAGCACAGTAGTGCATGTGAAAGTTGCACCTTAAAAGGGGCATCAGTTGCTTTAGGAAAAAGCTATATTTTTTCTCTTGTTCTACGTTTCCCTGGGAATCATTTTTTGAAGAAAGGATGGCTGAGCTGCTAATGAAGAAAACTCTAGGGAAAAAAATGCAGATGGGCTCTTCAGTGATACAGCTGTTAATAAGAAACACTAATGCTGTATCTGTTTAATGAGGCCTTATCTGGTRTATTTTGTAGACTTTCTGTTCATACATGTTTAAGAAATAAGAATTCAACCTGGAACAGGTTTGGTGAAGGTATGGTTAAGTAACAGAGAGCAGAGATAATGCTGGAAAGGGGTACAATTCTTYGTATTTCTAAAAACACTCTAGCAGCATAGATGCTAAAGTGAGGAGAAGCTTTTGGTTGAAAAAACGCATTGATGATRGATTGATGATTAACAACTTCAACAGAAAATTAGAAGGGAGAATCCTGAGCAGCTGCCCAATGGAAGTGGCAAGAGGAAAGTCCTTACTGGGATTTTAAAAATAAAAAATACATAGTTGCAGTGGGACAAATGGGAATTACATCATGTTGTATTTTTAGGATGTAGAAGATTTATTCCTCTGCTCTAAGAATGGTGTTTGGCAGGGTGCATTCTTGATGTTCCTCATCTCCAAAGGGCTTGTTTTGAAGGATTCCAGTAGATCATGGGAAGCGTGGAGCACAGCAGCTGAATCTTTGCCCTTTTCAGGTGCTTCTTTTTGTCCCTTATGTGCTCTTCTTTCTTCACAACTTTATCATTTCTACCCATTTGCATGGGAACAGAGGAGARGTGAAAGACATTCCCTTAATTTTCATGGGATCAATAGAAGGAGAAAATGTAATTTAGGTTTTGCTGGACCTTTCATCTAGGTGCCATTAATTTTCTGCCTGTTCATTGCTTAGTAAAGTGAGCAGGCTGAACCTATTTATTTATTTATTTAAACCCTGTTTATTATCTGGTTTAGGTCTTAAAGGATTGTTGTTCAGTACCTCAAAAACATGAAAAAGAGACAAACCTTTTCCTGCCTAACTTTGTGTCTGTTATGAAAGAGGTTTGTTGTGAAGGCTGGATAGCAGATGATGAGCACTGCCCACTTGAGCATGTACTACAGCAGAGACATCTCAATATTGTGCTGAAACCTGTGATCCGGACGCAGTTTTCTTATGAGGCTCTCTCCTTAGGCAACCCAGCATTTCTCTTCAGCTGCTGGTGTAGTCTGACAGAAAGAATGACTAGCACATTAATAAAAAAACGAATCTTCCTTAGAGCTTGTGCTTTTAGAYATATTCATGTGCCAAAGCTGGATTGTTTTATCCTGAGTATTTTGTATATGTTCTATTTTTTTTTTTTAAATTTATACTCTTTGCAAATTTTAAAATTGGCCACATCAGTGGACCGATGTGTTTCAAGTAACTTTTAGCTTTTGGCACCTTTTTTCCCCCTACTGATTAACCTCCTTGTTGCTTTTTAATCAGTGAAAGAAATACGAGGCTTTAAAATTTAATAGGAGTCAGGAAATTTTTCATCTTTTATCAGCATTTCTTTCTGTTGATCTTAAATGCTTTTTAATAAACTTTAAAAACGTTGCAGGTAAACTCAATTAAAATGAAATATACACATCAATAGAGACATATAATAATGTTATCTTTACAGTGTTTACATTTCCTGAAAGGTAGTTTGTCTATATGAAGAAGCCAATCTTCATTTTAAACCAGCAGTTCAAAGAATTAATTTTCTGAAAACCTTTTTTTTTGGTGGGCAGAATGTTTGATTTCAGGACTATTACCCTGCCATTATAAACAAAAATTCACTGTAAGAAGCTTTTTATTTTATTTAGACTGTTTTACAAGAAGCTGCTTTCTTTAGYTTGCCTGAATCAAAACCGTGATAAAAGGAGGATATGAAGTCTTTCAGTTACATTTYTTTGGTTAAAACTCAGTCCCAGGTAGAGATGACTAAAAATTGTATCTGTCTTGTGGTTGCTTTGTGATACTTGTGCAATAAATTGAACCTCAGGTCACATTTCCTAGGCAGGTACCTGCATGGTGCACTGCTGTGGTCAGCACAGCACGCTTGTTAGTGAGATTCAGCCAAAAGCAGTGGCAAGCAAAGCCTGGAAACAGTCTGTTTCGTCTCAGGTGAAGAGGAAGATGATGATGAACATGGTCAGAGCAGTATGAGGCAGACGGTGCAGTTTATCCTTGTTCTGCTGAGAAAGTCTGTGCTGGTCAAGCTTGTCTGTTAATTAAATATAGGTGTGTTTGCTGGAGAGTAGAATTGTTTAAGACCGTCAGAAAATGCCTGTATGCATTCAGTTCAACTTCGTAGGAAACAGAAGAAGAGAGAAATCTCCAGGAGTGTTTCTTACCTATGAATTTTTGTTTGTTTTACTGCAGTCATTTCTGATAATCAAAGTAGTTGTAAATAATGCAGCTCATTTTAGCTTTGATTATTTTTACAACTGTTATATAACAAGCTTAGAAATCAACTTGCATGATGATAACGTGCTCTGTGTTGTGTTTATTTGTTATTTACTTTTCCCTGGTATTCATGTGATGGCAAATTTAACTGCAATATCCATCTCTGATAATTACTTTTGCTCCATATCATGGAGCAAGTCTACCACGGTTACTCATTAGATGGATAAACTAGGTAGCAGAAGCAGCTAAGGATGACATATCTTTTTTTTTGCCTTTTTTTGTGTGTGTTGTTAGTTTTCATACTGTCTTTTTTCATTTCAAATCTTGAAAGTTGAAATTATCTTGAACATCATGATGCAGCTCTCCGTGTAACTCTAGGGCAGTTGAATATGAGACACTGCTGCAAACTTCCCAAGCAGAAGTCCAATTTTGAGTTTCTGGTTATGGGGATTTGTCCAAATGCAGAAATTTTGCAGACCTCTTTATTACTGCTACAGAAATAGTCTCTAACATAGTGGATCGGTATCCCTCGTGCTAAATAGAGATTTCCCATTGCCTGGCCTTCTAGGAAGACTTTTTCAACTTTGGATGCTGGGTTTAATCCTGTTCTAGGCTGACCTTCCTYAGTATATTATACAGGCCACCTTTCGATTATTTAAAATAAAAGCAAAAACTGTAAATTAGTCYTTAGGGGACTTCAAAGAGAGCTTGCTCAGCACAGCGCTCTGCGGCYGTGCTGTGACAGTGTGCAGATCCAGTAGCTTCTCTTTGAATCTCTCCTGCCTGGTTCTGGGCAGTGGCTTCTTGTCTGCACGTGGCTGTGCAGAGCCCGGGGGGCAGCTGCCAGGCTGATGCATTTCTCATAGAACTTGCTTGTTTTTTACTCACTTGGCTAAAATGSAACCAGAAAAGTGTCCAAGTGAACTTGCTTAGTAATAGTGTTGTGCTTTGCAGCTGTGTTAGTCTGTCTCTCGGTAGGATATGCATGTGCCTTGTTCCAGTTTTGAATGTAGTCTTCTCTTGCAGAGCAGGGCAGAAGGGTATTAGTGGGGAGCCAGTCATAATTGTCAGAAATCAGAAATCATAATGGTCAGTCACTTTTTGGAGAGGTTATGCCCATATAATGAGCTGGACATGGGAACAGATGACAGTATATGGTAACTAACCTGTATTAGGAACTATTTACTGTGGTTTGATATTAGTTGTTAAATACGTCTCCGCAAACAGAAAAGCAGCATTTATTCTTAAAACGGAAGCCAAATTTATGTATTACAAATGGAATGAGGGAAAAGATATTCCCTCTGTCTATTTACTTTCTACTGCAAAAAGAGAATATCTGTGTGCCTCAGAGTGTGGTCTCTGGAGGTGTCTGTYGTGGTGGGTTGGTGTTTCTTGCTGCTGGGGGCTACCTCCTCGTCTTGTGCCATTCAGTCTCAGGCAGTGGGACTGCAGCCCGCTCCCTGGGTTTTTGCTTTCCCTTGGAAGTGCCAGTCTTGGCCCCAAGTGATTTTCTGGAGAGGGGGCAGCCCATGGAGCCCCAGCTGGGCTCAGTGCGTTGCTACTGCTGCATAACCGGGAATGGCTTCCTACATCTCCATGCTCATCCAGAGAGTTCAGGGAGGGAGTGCAGAGATGCAGTGTGACCTTGAAGGACCTTCCTCAGTATCATTTAGCAATGGGTGGTCAACAACAAGCTCTGTCTGCTCTGCTCAGTGCACACTGTGATACCTGTGTACAAGGTAGAGCCAGGTGGTGGTGGTCGTGGTGATATTTTTTAATTAATAAAGATTTTTTTCATCTTTAAAGTTTTTGCTGACTTCAGCTAAACTTTCTGTAACATACCAGGAGCTGCGTAGGGCTTTAGGTTCTTCTTTCATTGTAGATATTTTGACTTTGAAGACTTTTGAAAATATAATTGGTATAAATTATGAGATCTGCATGTTGTGTGAATGCGGTTATTGATTTTCTCTCTCACATCTTAAATCCATGTGACTARTAAAGTTTAGATCTGTCCATCTAGGCGCACATGAACTTGCCATGCTTTCCTACTAGGCTGAGCGTTATTAATGGTTACATCCTGCTGTGTGGTAGGACTTCACTGATTAAATGAATTAATGAAACAAGAGTTGCCTACAGCAAGTCAGTTCTGTAATCTGTTCTTACTGTTAATTCTTCTAAATACAAAAATTCATTTATACTATTCTCCTTTAAATGAGAAATGGACAGAGCACGTAGTTATCTGGTGTTCTTTTATAATTGAAATGAGAAATAAAGCTAGTCTTTAAAAGGTCAAGATTTTTAATCAGCAATGCTGGTCAAATGAAGCTTGAATGTTGTAGAAAAATAATTGGTGAAAAGTTTGTCATAACAACTGCAAATAAAAACATGAAGYTAATTGGTACAATCCTGAAATAGAAGCATAGAGTCATAGAATCGTTAAGATTGGAAGGCACCTTTAGAGATCATCTAGTCCAACCCCCTCTGCACACAYAGGGTCACCTAGAGCATGTGACACAGGGCTGTGTCCAGGTGTGTTTGGAATATCTCCAGAGAAGGAGACTTCACAATCTCTCTGGGCAGCCTGTGCCAGGGCTCTGTCACCTCTCACTGTTAAGAAATGTTTTCTAMGTTCTTGTGGAACTTTTGGTGCTTCTGTTTGTGGCTTTTTCCTCTAGTGCTATCAGTGGCACTACTGAAAAGAGGCTGCCCCCTCCTCCTCACTGCCTCCCTTGGAGTATATTTTATAGACACTGATCAGGTCCCCCCTCAGCCTTCTCTTCTCCAGGCTGAACAGGCCCRGCTCCCTCAGCCTTTGCTCATAGGGCAGATGTTCCAGGCCCCTGATCATCCYGGTAGCCCTGCGCTGGACTCTCTCCAGCAGCTCCACATCCCTCTTGTMCTGGGGAGCCCAGAACTGGACRCAGTCTCCAGATGTGGCCTCACCAGGGCTGAGYAGAGGGGRATGATCACTTCCCTCGACCTGCTGGAGACGCTTTTCTTAATGCACCCCAGGATCCCGTTGGCCTTCTTGGCCACCAGGGCACACTGCTGCCTCATGGTCAACTTGTCGTCCACCATGACACCCAGGTCCCTCTCTGCGGGGCTGCTCTCCAGCAGGTCCACCCCTAATCTGTACTGGTGTCCAGGGTTATTCCTCCCCAAGTGCAGGACCCTGCACTTGCCCCTGTTGAACCTCATGAGGTTTCTCGCCGCCCAGTCCTCCAGTCTGTCCAGGTCCCTCTGGATGGCAGCACAGCCCTCAGGGCTATCAGCTACTCCTCCCAGTTTGGTATCAACAACTTGCAGAGGGGGCACTCCAGCCCTTCATCCAGGTCATTGATGAATAAATTGAACAGGACTGAACCAAGGACCGACCCCYGGGGGGACACCACTAACTAGAGGCCTGCCTTGAACTTCAAGCACTTTTCTTTCTTTTGCTGTTGTTTGTTCAGCATGAACTAAGCAAGCCTAGGTGGCAGAATTAGCAATGAGGTCTTTCAAATAGTAAAGATTGTATAAAAATGTACCTACCTAAGGTATTGGTGTCTAAAACAGGTTATGTGCAGTCCACGTGAAGCACAGCTCGTTTGATGTTAATTGAAATTAATCTACAAGCATGTAAATGTCACTGTTGATGTATTAYGTTATAATGGGTTTCAGTGCATTTTCTCATCCTGTATAATATCCTGTCTCTCCCTCCCTTGTTCTTTTAATCAGCGGTATTTTCTTGTTGGAAGTAATCCTGCAGAAACCAAGTACCGTGTGTTGAAAATAGATCGCACTGAACCAAAGGATTTGGTCATAATTGATGATAAAGTGAGTATCGCTTTTCTTGTGGACGTTTGCAGTTGTTTCAAGTCATTCTGTTTATTATAAAGATAAATTTAAACACCTTTTTTTCTCCCYCCTCAACAAAGATGTATTACCAAGTCACAGAGTCATAGAACAYTTGAGGTCAGAAGGGCCCTCTGAAGATTGTCTAGTCCAATCTCTTGCTCAGAGCAAGGTCAACAAGTCTCTGCTCGTATGTCAGCTGCATGCATTATTGCCATGCTAATAATTAATTCTATGTGAAAAGGGACAAGACCTCTCCAAAAATCACATTCACTTTACTGAACATTTCCCTCTCTTCTTCAGATTGCTGCCTGTATACTCCTCGTGGTTTTCTTATGCTCAGCTATGTTGTTCAAAATGCAGAAGAAACTTATATACCACATACACAAATATTTAGGTTTCTGATATATAATGCCTGAAGCAAAATAAGCCTTGGCAACAAGAATTTTAAGGTGCAAAACAGAATAAGGTCCTCTGCTAAGAAGTTTATGGTTTAAAAACTTGCAAGTTAGGCACGCTTGACTTTATAGACATGCATGAGTATTTCTGTTGCAGTGAATAGGAGTCTCTGTGCATAAAACGCAGGAGTATTGATAGGACTGAAAGAGGTGAAGGAGAATACAGAACAGAATTTATTTCTATATTGATTTATTTTATATTAAGTAAATTCGATTATTCCCTGACATGAAATGACCCTTATTGACCAAAACAGTAAACTAAGCAATTTTTTTTTTCTTTTTTCGTTTTCTTTTTTCCCCCTATTTTAAAGCATGTGTATACACAACAAGAGGTGAGGGAACTTCTTGGCCGCTTAGATCTGGGGAACAGAACAAAGATTGGGCAGAAGGGCTCTTCTGGATTATCTCGAGCTGTCTCTGCTTTTGGTGTAGTAGGTAAGTTTCTTGCTTGTTTTTTGTCTTTGGTTCTTAAGGAGATATGGCGTATTGTACATCTCTTTGTCTCCTTGTGATTTATTTTATTGATTTATATTGGAGAAATTGCAGTCTCAATTAAGTTTCCTTATGTTTTGTGTAAACAGATGACCAATTTAAGGGTGAGTGTTGCCGTATAGCTAGTCTGTCCTTTGTTACTAAGGGAGAGAGGTAGTAAATAGGAGCCCCGACTTCCAGAGCTCACAAAGCTCTCACATAAAAGGAAAAAAAAAAAGTCAATGTCCACTGTTAGGTTGTATTTCTTTATCACATAGCATTCAGAGAGATGACTACTTTTCTTTTTGGTTACCTTCTTATAGTGTAGCATTTAAATACTTCTTTTTCACGTTTGACCAAGTGACTGGCATTTCGGTGCCAGTTAGTCCCAGACTGAAGATGCTGATGGGCTAAGTTATCACACAGTGTCCAGTGTTTAAAGATAGAAACTGCTTTTAAAGGGAGGAACGCATGCAGATAGGAAAGGTCAGACTTTAGGATGATAATATTTGGTGAGATTCACAGAGAGTGTTTTCCTAACTCATTTCAATACCGGAAGGATATAGGAGAAGTTTGACTGCTCTTTAACAACTGAAATTCAATAACTTGGCTGCTGCAAATGGAAACCTTTGTTTCTTACTGTCAGCAGGGTCTCTTTCCTTGTGGAGGTGAGAGCATTCTCCCAAGGGAGGCTAATAAGGCAGAAGGAGGCAATTGCTGTTCATTCAATCATATTGCAGCCTCCAGCAGTGACAGGGAGGAAAACGAATATTCTTGACCCTTCCTGCTCTTTTATGTTGTGATACAAAGCTTAAAGAACTGAATATAAATACAAGAATGTGAACTGTGATATTTTTCAATTAATATTTTGTTGACAAAGTAGCTGTATTACTGACTTTAAGATTAGACACCAGCAGCAACCCTTCAAAACAGTAACTTAGAGCCTAATYCATGTGATTTATTAATTGTTAAAACTTAGTATACACTGTGATACAGCAGTATTTTATTAAAAACAAATTTGCATAGAACTATGAACTTGCTTTGTTGATTAACATTTACTGCAGGTGAATTGAAAGGATATGTGATTTTGTATCTGTATCTWTATTTTACATATATGCACACTAAAATTAAGAACACAAACTTCTAAAAATTCTGTGAAGTCTTAAATAGTTCTGATACTGTCTTTTACATATAGGTATGATGAAATCAATTAAAGCATCCACCTAAAGGCATTTTTAATGCTGTTTTAACAGGTTTTGTCAGGTTTTTAGAGGGCTACTACATTGTGTTAATAACAAAAAGGAGAAAGATGGCAGATATTGGAGGTCATGCAATATATAAAATAGAAGATACAAATATGATCTACATTCCAAATGACTCTGTAAGAGTCACTCACCCTGACGAAGCCAGGTAAGTAACGGTGGTAAATGGTGTATACTTTTTGAATACTAAGTAATGTGGGATTATAACCAGAGTTTTCCTTCACAAATTTCCTTCTATTGGCATGTCATTCAATCCATTGAAATTAGATGATAAATTAGTACAGCAGAATGGAGGTTTTGATCCATCCATGATTTCTGTGGTCTGTAACCTGCAGTGTAAATACAGTTGTTACCGTCTCTCACAGGTTTTGTCAACATCTTCACAGCAATTAYGTGCCAAAGCTATATCCTAGCAAATACTCACGAGGAAGCAGTCAACGTAAATATTGTACTTACGAGSGCAGTATAGTGCTAATACTGGTTCAAATTGCCTGAGGTGCTGTTCGTTTCTTTTTTTCCAGTCACTCTAGCATTATGTGAATCTCACCTGAGATCTGTGTTCTTCAGGAAGTGTTAGCTGGATGTTTTAATTTCATGATTCTGTGCTACCAGAATCTAGTGGGTGAATGTAGGGGGTGATGAACATAAAATAAATATAAAATATGATATAATCACCAATATATGGTGGATTTCTTTTGTCAGCTTTAGCTTCTTTTTCCCTTTCTGTGTGTTCATGGGTTTTCCTGAAGGAATRGCCTTGGGCCTTGGATCATCAGGAAATCTTGCATGAAATGTACAAACAGATGTACATTGCTTTTATCAGAATGATTTTTTATTTTTTTAGTATATATAAAATACCAGGGAAATGGTTTATTTAAGTTATTTCACAGCATGTATTAATGTGTGAATAACTTAAAAATTATGCTAGATTATGATAAACTAATGGCAGATAATGGTAGTTATTCTGGAAGTTTTGACGTTAAGGTATGCCTAATAGGATACCTCAGTCTCTTAGATTGCAACAGAATGTATTATCTAAGTTATTATATAAACATTTATGATGCTAGGTATTTTATCCTTCATAGACAGTGCTATGGTTTCTTGTGGGAACTTGTACAGTAGGTTGAAATGGATACTTTTTTGCTACTGTGAAAAACTTTAATCTTGTGTAGTACGGTTGGAATTTTTCTTGTATAAGCTGTAAAGAATGTGACTCACATATGATGAAAATAGAACTGCAATTGGATCTTCAGCTGTCTAAAAGACAATCACTGATGCACAAGTACAGTGGATTAAAAAAAAGAATGTTTGATTTAATCATGATTCTGATATTCTTGTGGAAGTAACTGTCAAAACATTTAATTATAGCAAGATAGAGAATTTATAACAAGAATCAGTATTTTATATGTAGTTTACTTGCTGAGGTCCTCTGAATGACTTTTGGGGATGTATCTGGTTAAAGAAGTAATTTTCCCTTTAATCTATGTTATTTTCATAGATATCTGAGGATCTTTCAAAATGTGGACCTTTCTAGCAACTTCTACTTCAGGTAAGTGTTAGTGAGTCCTTTTAAAATGTGTATACTTACACTTCCTTTAAGATTCTGCTTTTGGATTTTGATACCCAGCATCTTCAGCTTGATCTTCCAAGGAAATAAGATCTGTATGATTTTACTGCTTATCCATTTTTCTCTTTTGAACCTGCTTCCTACATCAGCAGACTGATTAGGAGTGAAGCCTTCAAGATAGGCTTCCATTAGTTTTGCTGCTTTGTCTCTTGAGCCTATTTTATGGCCTGGTATCTAGTTTCTGCTCAAGTTTCTGCTCAAAGGTGACAAGTGCATATCTTTTTCTTGGTTGTACTTAGAAGGGAGAGATGGCTCTATAACATTCTTACAATTAGGAGCTGAGTTTAAAGTCTCTGTGGCTGAAGTCACAGCAGATTTGTTTCTGTCATAATTTTCATAGAAATCCTGACTAGTGTTATAAGAAAAGTTATAAGAAAACATTTGTTCTAAGGGGAACGATATACAAATATATATTTGTTTATATATATATGTGTGTGGGTGTGTGTGTCATATATCTTTTTATGTGTGTTTATATATGTATATGTTTTTAATAATGAATTTCTAAACTTACTGGAGGACCAGTAATCACTGATGCTGCCTTATGCTAAAATGGAAATGTGTTTGTATTTCTGATTTAAGTGTTCTTTAACTTTGATTCCTCTTAGGGGAGGTAAATTCTAGTGACAGAAAATTTAGCAGTGAGTGTAGAGTGCTGTCAGTGTGATAGACACAAGATACAGAATTTGTTACTGTTACAGAACTAATAAAAAGCTTTTGCTTATTTAGCAGCCACTATTTTAGAATGTGTCTGCTGCAGTCACAAATCTGAGGACAGATACAGCATTTGTGTACAAAATCTTTGGCTGTTTTCAGTAGTGCAGACTTCTCAGACAAATTAGATTGTTTATATATGTGGATATCTCTGCTAGAATAGCTATGTTTTATTTGAGAGATTGCTTCTTGGTGCATAGTGAATTAAGCTTGTAGATAACCTTTGATCAAAAAGTATGTTGAAACTTTAATAAGAATATAAATAAAGCTTCAACTATAATACTAGAAACAACTTATGAGTTCATAAAGCTTCTTTTGTAAGTTATCCATTTAATTTGTTAGTACAGGATGAGCATTTCTGTATGTTATTTCAATGTCATTTTTCTTTGTGGACAAAATAGTACTGCCTACTAATGCAAGTACCAATGGAGTGTAAGGGCTTTGAGAAAAATCCTTTGCTTCTATAATTATTAGTAAATGTGACCTTTCTTTTTGATCAGTTACAGCTATGATCTCTCCCATTCCCTTCAGTATAATCTAACTATTCTGAGAATGCCCCTTGAGATACTAAAACCTGAAACAACCCAGGCTCGGCAAGAGAGTTTTGATATATTTGAAGACGAAGGACTTTCAACACAAGGTGGAAGTGGTAAGTAAATCTATCTAAACAAATGTGCTTGGTCAAGAGTACATTTATAATATATTACACTGAAGTTTGCTGTTGAGAAACATTCAGTTATTCTGTATTGATCAGTAGCTTTATAGCCTTATAGTCTGATACGGTTAATAAAAGATTACATAAGGCACCAATTACAAATATTAGAATGTGAACAATGCAGTTTCTGCAGGTGATTAATCATTGTTTTCGTACTTTACATTGCAACTCAGGGAGATAATTGAGCATGCTGTCATTTTTCAGCAATTGATTTTCCAACGGATTAATAAGAATCCTGATAGGAGTTAATTAACAACAAAATTGGAAGCAACAACTAGTTTTCTACTATCAATAAATCTTGTTTTGTTTCATGTTGGAAAATATTGATGACAAAGAATTTTTATGAATTTAGAATTAATTTTATTTAGTAAGCACTATCAGGAAGGCTAAGAAAAATTACTGATTTCAGTTGAAAACTGCAACCTTTCACTTTGCATCTGATATGCTCAGAAGATTGTCAGGATGACCAAAACTCTCTCCCTTATATGTTGCCCTTCCAAAAATAAGCCCCCTCCATAACTCTTCAGGTTGTATTCCATTTTATTGAAATAGATCTTTTTAGTTTTTACTGTTCAGTGATTTGTTCTGATTTTTGAAATGCACTATCAGCAAAAATTGCCTTGTATTTTTTGACTGTTATTGTTTATGTGACACCACTTTCTTACCATGTTTAACTACAGAATATCTGAAATAAGTGTTACCTTTGATTCAATTTAATGAATACATTGCTGTGAAAGTGATCCCAAGCAGCTGTGGAGATACAATTGAGCTTCTTATGACAGTATAGAACACAGTTTCTTTTGAGTACATAGATACATATTATAGATCAAGTCTGAATGTTGCATTCACCATCAATGAGAGACTTCCTCGTTAGATTGACTTGACTTTTTGAAGGGCCAATTATAATAATCTTAATATGAGACTAGATTCATTAGACTCGTTAGAGCAGGCATATATTCTTTACTGCTTTCTGCTCAGCTACACAAAGAAGTCATTTAATAAGTGCTGGGTTCTCAATTCTTGCTCATCCTTTTGGCATGCACTCACCTTGTATATGGTTTGGTTCCTGTGCTGCTTCCATTCCTGTCAGGCAGATTTCCTTCCCTGGCTGCATGTACTGTTGGACCATGCTCGTTTCTCTCATTTATACTGGTGCTGTGGCCATTCATATGTCAGAACATGTGCAAAAAAAAAGTGCTATTAATTGTTCAGGAAGAATCAGGCTGAACTTAATGCATCAAAGCAATGCTGGGAATGAGGAAGACAAAATTGCTCAGAAATCTTTTGTGGCTAAATTCCGCTGAAAGTATGCACTCCGTCACCGTGCTGGTTACAAAACCTTGATTTTTCTCTGGGCTTTCAGTAAGCTTGGGTGACTAGGTAGTAAGAGTTCATTTTCAGTCTTTTAGGGGAATTCATCTTTTCCTCTAAGCAGACCATTTGGCTGCAGTGATTGGCATATTTACTGCTATTATATAACTTTCACTGTCAGAAATGTAGTTTGAAAAAAGCGCAAAAAAAATTCTAACTGGTAAAGAATTTAGTTTTTGTCCTGTTTCTTCTCAGTTGCCCTCACTAGTTTTTAGTGCCAGTTGATCCTAATTTTTAAAACAGGTAAAGAATTGGGTTCTAGATATATATCAAAAATGTATTTTTAATTTAGAGACTGCAGAAATTGTTTTTTCTTATGTCAGTGCAAATGAAGAAAACCTGTGTATATGACACGGGAAGRGTAAATACTTTTGGAAGAGATGTCAAAGTTATACATGATCTTCAAGAGAATATCTGGTAAATCCAGATGCAGAATTAAAAAGCTCTGTAAAGTCTTCCTTTGAGAGTATCTTTTCCTTTCGTTTRGATTCACAACTTGTATTCTTTTCTGTACAATCAAATCTTGCTGCTCCCATGTAGAGGTCTCTTCAGTGCTGGTAGTATGAGAAACTTCTGCAAAGTCTACTATGACCATACATTAAGGGTACACAAATAGTCTGTTGACTGGCAATTGTAAAAAAATATAAAACTCGTTAAATTCTGGATTTTGGCATGTGGTTGAAGATGTTTGTGTTTGACAAACTTCAGGGATAAAGGCAAATGACATGCTCACCTGTAGCCAAGGGAAATCAAAATTAAGGTCAAATGACCGGAGTTTAAAAATAATCCGGTACAATTAAGATTGTCTTTAACTGCTAATGCGTTTTTATTGTGACAATTTCCTAGGTGTATTGGGGATTTGCAGCAAGCCTTACGAAAAGTATGTGTGGAATGCCAAGCTTCTGGAGGTAGTAAAAAATACTGTTCACCGTGACTGGCTGCTCTATATTATCCATGGCTTCTGTGGGCAATCAAGTATCCTTCTGCTGTTGTAAAAAGTGTTGGTTTATCAACTAAGAAATTGGAACATCTCAAATTATTAAAAAATTTTGTTATTATGTGAATAATCTTTCTTGTTATGTAATTTTTTTTTTTTGCTTTTTATTTTTTTTTTTTTCATTAACTTGACAGGCTTTATGACCAAAGAATAAAGTTAGCATCTTGTAATSTGGCCTTTGCCTGTGTAGGTTGGATTATCATTGAGACACTTCATAAGGGTGGGTATCAGTAATAGAGAATCTGAGAGGAYTTAAGGTTCAGCTGCATTTTTACATATTTTGGAGGAAGGCGAAAAAACGTGAACAAACAGAAGTGAATGGCTAAAGTTCTCTTACTAAAAAATAAAAATAGTAAAAAAAAAAATCAGAAATCCTTGCCTTTACATTTCTGCAGAAAATGATAAGATTTCATGATTTCTATGTGAAAAGGGTTAAGAATATAATAGAATATTTCTAATTTTTTTAATATAAACTAGACCTATATATTTTGTAGTACTAGGAGAAAAGATCCAAATACATCTCATTACAAAGAAATGCCATCTCAGCATCTTAGTTAGTCTCATGTATTACAGAGGCACTATTATTTAATCACCAACAGCATCATGTTAATTCAACAGCCTGTCACCCAAAAAAAAAAAAGTGTCAGGAAATACAGAATACAGTTATGAATTTAAGCTTTAGGGGTGGTCTTACAAAATTCAGTTTTGCCTTTCCTTGCTTGCCAAGTTGCTAGGCATTGGTTTCCTCCCAGGCAGGAAGTTAGGCCTGTTTTTTTGTGTACTGCTGTTGGATCTCTGGTATTACTTAAAGTGACGGCTGTGGATCTGGTAACTGGTATTTTGCTTGCAGAAGCCTTTTAATTGACTTAATACTCTTTGTATTAGATATGTGATGAAAAGATGTGTCTTTCCCGCTTTCTTGTGCCTCCCTTATGCTTAGGACGATGTACAAGGTGGCAAAGTCACCTTAGACTATCTTACAGTTTTGATAGATAAATAACTTTAAAGAAAGCACCCACTGCTTCTGTGGTAGCTTGTCTTTGTCTTACGGTTGTTGTTATTGTTGCTGAAGCGGTTTCAACTCATCTGTCTTCTTCAGACGGGTAACTACAGGAGGTCCAATGTAATTGATCTGAAAATAGATGCTCCCAAGATTTTAACACAGTATTTTCCAAAGCAGTATTGTGGCCTTAGTTGAGTCTTGTACCTATTTCACCTCATTTTTTTACTGTACAAAATGGAAATATTTCTCTTCCTTGTGTTGTGAAAAATATTTGATATATTGTAATGTCAGTTCCATTGTCAAAGCTCTTTAAAAGTGACTGTTGAAAAGGGAATTGCACTTTCCCAACTGTAAAAGGAATTTGGCAATGCTGTTCATCTCTTGAAGACATTTGAGTAAAACTGTTGTTTCATTTTGATGCTACCTTTCTTCATTTTTTTTTTAGAATTTATGTTTGCATAAATTAAATGAAGGAAAAAATGCGTATTGCTTATAAACCTTAAYTTCCCTTTCAAGAACTGCTCATTTATGGTCGTCCAATATATGTCACCTTGATAGCCAGAAGATCAAGCAAATTTGCAGGAACACGATTTCTGAAACGAGGGTCAAACTGTGAGGTAAATAAAAGGCGATTTCATTTGGGGGGCACATTTGTTTTGCTTTATTCAAACCATACTGAAAACTTGATAACTGACCAAGGACCTGAAATGTTTTAGAGGGTTTTTAGGGCTTTGCTTGTAAATTATGTTATTGGATACTATTATCGTGACTATGATTATTTCTAAGAGCAGTAAGGTAACTGGAAGATTTTTTGTTGTTGCTTTTAGAAATATTGATAARATTTTTTAAATAGAGTAGAAAAAATCTGTTTAACTCTAGTTAGGGACAAATGGAATCYAGCCATGAGTAGTGTTGTCCCTACCATGGTTTGGTACCTGGCAGGTTAACTGTACCCTGGTTGTTGTTACCATTCAGTTCTCCGTAATGCAAACAACTATGAAATGTATTGTCCATATCATTTGTTTATTTCTGGTTGTTTTAGGGGGATGTTGCTAATGAAGTAGAAACCGAACAGATACTCTATGATGCTTCAGTTATGTCATTCGCTGCGGGGAGCTATTCTTCCTATGTGCAGGTTCGAGGATCTGTCCCCCTTTACTGGTCTCAAGATATTTCAACTATGATGCCTAAGCCACCCATAACGTGTAGGTAAAAGTGATATTTTCTGCTAGCTTGTGGTTAGCACTGTATCCTAGTGAAAATTCTGAGAGAATAAGTGAAGATTGAACTTGCCAAATTGAAAGAATTGTCTGTGCATTTGTTCTTTGGGAATCTATAATTCAAGGTAAGCCAGTGTTCTTTATAATAAACATGATGGCATATAAACATTTGCCCATAGAAACTGGTGCATTTGATGAAATTGAATAGAAAAAATAGTCATCATATTAGACTTCATATTCAACAATGGAATACAAAAAGCTTGTTAAAAAGTTCTCTTTATTTGTACGTATTATCTTATATACAGCTCCTTATGTTTGCCAGAAAGTATTATGTATTTTTAACCTATTGAACTTGAAGGAAAAAGTCTACTCTAAATTTAATGGGGTCAGTGATCCACAAATTAATTGCATGCTCAACATTTGGGGCATATGTATATGTTACTGATTTGTAATTTGTAACAGTTCAAGTTAAATTCCACTGCAAATTAGAACAAAATAAAAATTGATAAAGTAAAACAAAATGAAGTACTGCTAATCCTCAAAAATATATTTTTTAAAAACCCAAATTTTTAAATAAATAAATAAATATGTTGTATGTTTGGAGCAAAACAGTGTTCCTAGCCTTTGTTTAGCCACAAGTACATTTTGTTACTGGCATCATCACAAAGCAGAAGGATATCTTCTTGCTCTTCTTAATTACTGAAATGGACATTTAATTTTTTTTTTAAGCAGCTTTATATGAAAGGAAGAATATATAGAATTATAATTATAATTATCAGAGAATTGGCAAATATTTGCAAACAGTATTTTAAGGAAAATTGATTAAAGCTGTTCTGAGATTCTCTGGACATCTTTTTGAATKGTCTGTTATGTTTGTTGCAGTGGACCAGGCAGATCCTTTTGCACATGTTGCTGCTCTTCACTTTGACCAAATGCTTCAGCGATTCGGCTCTCCCATAATTATTTTGAATCTTGTGAAGGTACAGAATTTTGAATACATTCTATATGTTTCCTGAATTTAAATATAACAGTAATTTATGTAGAGCCTCTATATGTTAGGTTGTACCCTGAGCTCATAGAAAGAAAATCTGCCATCTGTGATTTTGTAAGTCTCATCCTACACATATATATACATAAATTGGTAGCTGCTTCTACTACAGCCCCACAAAAAAAGAATAGCTGCCAATTTTTAAAGATTTATTGCAATAAATTTTCACTGTTTTTTTTTTCTTGCTGTTGCTGCTCAGATAGGAGAATGTCCAAATAAATTCACTAAATATAATTTAACACAAAACATGCTAAAATAGTATGATTCCATGAAAAGCAATGGTTGGAGACAGCAATGATGGATTTTGCTCTTTGAAATATTACAATAAAAACTTAGGTTTTGTGTTTTTGCTCTGTCTGGTAGAACCATTTATGTGGAGGAAGATGAAAGTGAAGCATCTAGGGCTACGTAGGAGCAGTGCCAGCAGCAATGGACTGGTCGGAGGAGCTACTTCATTGGTGCAGTAATTCAGTTAGCTGCTGTGGTGCAGAGTCAGCTTCTCAGTGGCCCAGTAATTGTTGGGATTCACTTTTTTCTTTTTTTTTTTTCCTTTTCTTTTTATCTTTAAACTTCCCTCCTGTTCCACTCATTTTATGTGGTAACATCTCAGGCAGGCAGGTCTGACCTTGCCAGGGCAGAGGATGTTAATAGGACTGCAAGAAAGGTCTCCAGCCCCTTGGCATCTAGCCTGTGTGTGTGTGTGTATGTATATATATGTACTTAAATACATATATACACATAATACTTAAATACATATATATACATAATACTTAAATACATATATATACCTATATCTGTTTATCTGTGTGTGTATATATATATAWATAWWCTGAAAATCTGAATGCAGTGTCAGAATAACAGGTTAATGCGGTTTCTAGCTTTGTAGCAAATGAAATAATGTTTATAGAAAATGATTTATTTTGACATTTGGGCACATCAGCAAATTGTCTAGGTTCTTTTTATTTCTGGAGTTTCTATTTTGTTTTGGTATTTTTTTCATTTAATATTTGAGTTTAGTATTTCTTTAGTAAAGTTTAGTATTTTTTATTGCAGTTTTTTATTAGTGAACTATTTTAACATACAGGTTTRATATAATATTTTATTTTACTTTGAGTTGTATTTTATAATTCTTTTTAGTCTTTTAAAAGTATTTGTCATTCTGTTTATCATGTGGTAGAACTGTGTGCAGTTGAAAAAAGGACCTTTTATATACATGTAGAATAGTTCCTGATATAAAAAATGGAGATATATACAAAAGGAAGGCTTTAAAAACTCTTAACGCTTTAATAAATGGTAAATATAACTGATCTTCTATTTCTAGCAGCTCYTCTGTTTGGGATTGCTTGTAAGACTGTCCAAGAGGATGTGAAATCAACTTCAGAYAGGATCTGTTGACAAGCAAATGATTTTGTCTCTTACTTACTTACAGTCCTTGCTTTCAAAGGCCCTTGTTAGTGTGAGCCTAGGCTCACATAATCTCAACACGTGACTCATTATGTGCTTTTATTCATAGGCCTTTTTATACAGTGGCTGAAAATGCATCTCTGGTTGTTTAATATTAGCATGCTAAAATTAATGTTCCTTTATCACTTCATGTACCACTTCAAAAGAAAAAAAAAAGAAAAGAAAAACAAAGAGAGAAATAAATGCSAAGAGTTTCTGGGTTTCTATCTCCAGTACTTTTGTTAGTTGATTTCTTAAAGACTGATCAAGCACAAATTCATTTCCCACTTCACATGTCTGTCCTAACGACTTGGTAAATAGTAATGAATGTTTTGGATTGGATTGGATATATTGAATTTCCTTTTATTTATTCCTAGCTACTTTTATGTATTTTAAAACAGCTTTTGTAATATAGGCTCAGTATAGGTTGTAATTTGGATTAAGTTGCAAGAAAAGCCATATCGATACATGAAGTAACTCACCATATGGCATATTCGTAGAATGGGAATATAAGTCAAATTTTAAAAGAAATCCTTGCAAAGCTGTTGTTCTCCTTTTCCCATCAATAATGAAGAAAGTTTTGCCTRGATCCATGACCCTGTAAGGCAAGGCCCTGCAGAGTGGGAGCCCTGCACAGACTGAGAATATACTAATACAGCAATTGTGAGTCTACTCTATATCAGGAACATTGTGTATGGCACTAGTTAATGGCCCATTTGTTGTTTTTTATTAATGGACAAAATGTTTSCTAGATATTCTCAAGTTTTTTCCAGTTTAAGGAATTCTAGAAGAGCTTCTGAAAGAGATATTTAGTTTAGAAGCTCCAAAAGCTCCATCATCATTCAGCTCCTTTTTTTTTCTTCTTATTTAAACCTTGTTGTTTTCCCCAAAAATTATTGAGGAAAAAAGTGAAATAACTTTCTAAACAAAATTGCAAAAATGCGTAAAATATTCCCACCTTCTGATTTTAGTCCAGTTAATTTTTTGGTGCTAATATTTGTGATTAAATATTTTGTCTAATTCTGAAAATAAGTTTTCTGAAAATTTTGTGCACTACTTGAACATAAAAGGTTGGTTTTGTCTATGCATTGTTTTCACGTCATCTGTACAAAACAGAAAACACTGACATCTAGGTGAAAGTCTGTAAAAACTTTTACACACATTTACTCATTTTATGTATATTTAAGCATGCACATTATATAAACATGTTAATAAAAATAATAGCATTAACCTGCTTTTCTTTTTGTTTTAGGAACGTGAAAAAAGAAAGCATGAAAGGATTCTTAGCGAAGAACTTGTTGCTGCTGTGACATACCTCAACCAGTTTTTACCCCCAGAGCATGCAATTATATATATTCCTTGGGACATGGCCAAATATACAAAAAGGTAGAAAAGATCTTGGTCATTCTAGTGCTTTTAGGCATAGCTGGAAATGTCTGAATTCTGCTGAGTGTATCTCTTTTCAGTTGAGTGTAGTTTAAGAGAGATGAGAGAATTTTATTGAGGTCTATATATGCAGAATGAAACTGAAGTTTTCTGGAGGTTGTTTTATACTTAAGGATTTGCTTTCATTCCAACTTGGAGTTCCAAGGCCTGAAAACTTTGAAATGCTCTGCCAATGGGAAAACGGACACCAAAAAAGCCAACAGCATTCTCTTTTATTTTGAATTAGTAAAAGCAATACATTTTAGGGTTTTTTTTTATCTTGAAAATATTTTGACTTACGAAATTTTGGAAATCAAGAGTTTTCCTATCAATCTTTTTGCTTATCTCCTCCATCATGAAAGAAGGCATTATAAGACATTTACATTTTTACACAAGTATGTGCCTTAAAAGAAAAAGGGAAATACATGTTTAGTGAATTTTTATTCTAAGAGTTTGAATAGTAGAACAATGTACTAGTAATATCATATTAAAAGTATGAATATTTTCCTAAATGTAGAGATATTTGCAAGGAATTAACTTGTTATATTTGTAGGTCTGGATAACTACTTCTAAGGAATCTACAGCCCAGATATAAAAATTTTCTGGTGCCCTGTGCCACATGCTCTAGGTGTGCCTGCTTGAGCAGGGAGGTTGGACTAGATGATCTCAAGAGGTCCCTTCCAACCTTGAATATTCTGTGATTCTGTGATATATCCACTATATTTTTAATGTCAAAAATTCAACCGTACGGTATCTRGCACTAAACTAGTCTGAGCAAAATAATGGAAAAACTGGTATAATTTAAAGGCCAAGAACATCATTAATGTTGGTTGATAAGATTAGATGGAAAAAAATTGCAAGAGAACATATGTTATTTGAGATTAGAAGTGTGATTGATAGAAATGGTTTTGTTTTGAAGTTTGACTTGGTTTCACACTATTTCTTTTTTTTCCTAAAGATGGCATTGTACATAGATAGGCATATGTTCAATTGTTTAYATTATGGTTAAATAACAAATCTTAAAATAAGGCTAACTTTTCTTCTAGAAAACATAKCCAATGCAAGTTAATGAATTCAGTGTAGATGGAAGTTGATTGAAACATAACGATCCATCGTATATAGGAAATGATATTAAGTGATCAAAAGATGCCCCTTCTTAAGCATAAAGACTTAATCTTGTTTGAAGCTCTCTTAAATATTTTTATACCTGCATTAGGGCAGATGAGTATATGAAGACACATAGATGACTAAAGTCTTTATGCAGGCTAGAGAGATGTAAAAATGGAAGATAATGTTAATCTTAACATTAAGCTTAAAAAGCACAGATTAAAAAAAAAGAACATTATTACTTGAAAAGTAAACATTGCATTGAAACCTTTGAAAATGAAATTAATTGTAAACAGAAGTTACTCTCCATCAATGGGTTGATGCCCTTATCTGAGCAGGAAGGGTGGGACAACGTAAAGGCAACTCTCTTAAACAAACACTACTGAGCAAAGCAGCACCTTGCAAATAAAGTGAGGGCGTATAACTTAACCTAAGGATATATCCTTATCTGTCATAKTCTTACTTTGCAAAGCAGAAGAACTTCAGCAGAGGAAAAACTAGCATGGTATGAAAATCAAGGAGAATTAGAATTCTGTAGTCTTTTTCTGGTTTGTGATTTTTTTATTAATAAGTAAATAAAATGGCTCAGAGATTGTCAGTCTCTGCTTTCYAAGCATATATCAATTCCAAAAACTATAGATACAATACCTGATAAATAAACCAGTGATGTGTTTGATTAAATGATTTATTAAATGAGTTCATCTTTCTAAGTACTGAAAATTGAGTATTAATGTATATTTTGTGTTTATTTTTTTTCCCTTCAGCAAACTTTGCAATGTGCTTGACAGACTGAATGTGATTGCAGAAAGTGTAGTAAAGAAAACAGGATTTTTTGTAAATCGACCCGATTCTTACTGCAGTATCTTGCGGCCAGATGAAAAGTATGTATAATTTTATATACCTATAATGAATAGCATCTCTAGCTTGGAGTTTTTCCTGGAATGTTTAATGTCTATGGCATCATTTCTTATTTTAAGACTTAAAATAATATATTAAAAAAATGTAATTCATTATTAAACTGTAGCTAAAAGATTGCAGTCAGAAGTAAATGCTAGGAAAAAAATAATACTGCATGTAATTATGCTGCTGTTATTTATAATGCATACAAAGTGTAGAATTTAATGAGTGGTTTCTTTTAAGGCATACTAATAAAATACCTTTCATCTAGATGTTGCCAGCTTCAGTAATTTCCAATAAATTTTATGGTATTTACTCATACAAAATGGAAACCTTTTTTTTTCCCCCTTGGAAAAATACAAGCTGTATTTCTTTAGACTGCTGCAGAAAGACAATGATTTAATAAGCTGAATTCTCTCAAGTCTTAAAAAGGTAGACAAAAAGTGCTCAGAAGCAGAATACCTTCCAAATGAAAAGTTACAGAATTTTTGGTTCCAGCTTTCAGCCTAGGGATCCAGTCTATCTCTAATGTTCTTATTCTTCCTCCAGAGCATTTTGTGCCTGTTTCACCTAACTTTATTTGGAAATAAACAGAACTAAAACTTGCAGAGACTCTTTTCGAGCTATTTCTTAGAGCTATTCCCTGCCATGCAGTACAACAAACATGGTGCTTGCCAGCCAGCATGAACTGGAATGATACGCCCAGGAAGTGCTGTGCTGTTTAGAGAAGGTCTTGTGGGTGTCAAAGCACTATATGGGCTTGTCACAGCAGTGCTCCAAGCACGTAAGTTAACCCTGCCAACTTGAGAAACTTCAGTAGTTTGGGAGTTGCTTGCACTGAGCATTGTTCCCTTCAAAATGCCATTCATTTCTGATTCATGTTTTCTGCCCCTCAAGGATGGTTATGACCTTTATAGAATTGTGAGAACTGTAAATACATTGTAAATAGCCTATATGCCTCGAATATGAGGCATATATGGTATGAAAGGGCATCTTAAATCAACCAGCTTGTGCCCCAGCATATATTATTATTGTGCCTCCAGCTTCCAGTCACTGGCACTGTACCTGCTTCAGTTTTTGTGTCCTCAAAACCCAGTCTGGCGGGGCTTGTAGAGCTTGCAGCCTGTTCTGTGGGTGAGAAGAAAATATTTTACATGGCCCTTCAGAATTGTTTGAGTTTGTGCCTTTGAATACTTCTACTSCTAGGCTAGATTTTTGGAAGTGCAATTTAAATACCTCATCTTACTACTGCATAGACTTTCACTGCTTTCTGCTATTATATTTCTGCAAATTTTGCTTTGTGGTGGGTTTTTAATTCTCTTGCGTTTTTAGTGAGCAGAACAATATGTGGCAGGATCTGTGGGGTTTTTTTTCTTCCACTTTTTAAATGATCTGTATGTAATCCTTGTGTTTCTATTTCAGGTGGAATGAATTGGGAGGTTGTGTTGTTTCCACTGGTCGCTTGCAGGTATTGAAATAATAAGCTTCACTAATTCATAGTGGCACTGGCACATATGAGCACTGCCAAAGCAACAAAGAACATTTTCACCCAAATACCTGATTGCTGATTCAGCAGATGACCCTCAGGTTAATATTTTTTTGCAGCATAAACAGCATTATTAAATGCACCCCAGAAACCCAATTGCGAAGTAGGGATTCAAGTTTTTAGATGGTACCAGAAAACGTTATGCTGCTGGAGTAGTGTTTTTGCTGGAGACAGCCTGAGAAATGCTCCTATTTTAAACTTGTTTCCATTGCTACTAGTCTGTAGTGCTACCAGTGTAGTGGGAGTTWAACAGCAGCATTTTAGCTGACTATATAATACATCAGTGTCAACTATGTTAGACACAGGAGGTGGGGAATAAACATAACTAATTCCAGTGACRTATTCTTACAGGAAAATGTGTGACTAAAAGGCATCTCACCTCTACTAGTTATTTTGATTTTTGCAATTTCCATCATTAAAAGAGAATATGACTAGAAATACTGCTTTCTTTAAGATTAGAAAAGAGCAGGAGGATGAAGTGTARTGGAATGAATTTATTTTGTCATGATTATGTACTTTGAACAAGTGGCGTATTCTTGAGAAGCATGAATTGCTTTTTGACTTGCCATTCATAATTTTGTTATGTAAATTAGAAGGCATGTGTCCATTCCTGTGCTAACTGACCATGGGGATATGTTCTTTATGGGCAGATAAACAACTGAGTAGACATAATTTTAAAATGTTTTGAAATGAAGTAGTATGTGACTGTTAGCTGGATTTTAATGTTAGTCTTACAGGTTTACCTGTATTAAGTATCCGTTGTCTTCATCTGTCTATCAACCCAAATATCTGAAGTGGTCACTGTACATATATTATGTAAGCACTTTGTCTCATCTTGGAACAGACGTCTTGTGAGTCACGCCCAAAAAGTGCTTCTTTACTAAAACAATAAAAGGAGTTTAAATGACTGACTCCAATGGAGCCATATATATTTGGTCAGAAGAATCCCCCCTGCTGCTACACTATGCTATGCGCTGTTATATTAGAGTGYTCATAATTTTCTTTCAGCTGTTCAGATTGTAAAAGAGCAGCCTCTTTCTCTGTGCATTACTGAACTGAAGGATGATGGCAGAAGCAGCATTAGAGAATATGTGCATAATTGTGATCCTAAACAAAATGTTCGTGTGTGTTGCCCAAGATACGGAAAACTTAAAATATCAGTACCATAACAATAGAACCACAGCAATGCAGCAGCACATTTGAGTGAACTAAAAGAGAAATTCAGTTTTTGTGATGATAAAAGCAAGATTATTCAGAAAATAGGCCTTAAAGCTGTCTAATGTAGATTACTGGAACATGAGAATATCTTTGCTCAAGACTCTAAATTGATGTAAAAATCCATATTTGAAATTTGGCAAAGCTTTGGGAGTCTTGGCATAATGGGGGAAAATGAATCATGAATGTAATAACTTGTTAATTAAAATAATCATCAATTTATTTGGATTTCTTTGTCAGACTGGTGTTCTCCGAACCAACTGTGTGGACTGTTTGGATCGCACTAACACAGCCCAGTTTATGGTGGGAAAATGTGCTTTGGCTTACCAACTCTATTCCCTGGGGCTGATTGATAAACCCAACCTGCAATTTGATACAGATGCTGTTAGGTAAGATATTTTAATAAAGCACGGCAAGAATATATTTGAATTTTCTGACCAGAGATTTAAGAGAAGTATTTATAGAAGAAAGTATAATTTTTTCTTTTGGAAGGTTTAAACTAAAACTATTTTAAAAGTTTTGAAAGTTTCCCCTTTAAATAAATCAAACTGACATGTGCTGTAAAAGACAGTCTTTAAAACTTCAAGCAAAATAAAACTGAGATGACTATATGCTTTTATGCAGATTGCCAAATATATATTTGTGTAGAAGTACATCTTCCCTTGCTATTTCCTGCTTCTCCTTCAGAAAAATATGGTGCTTTTCTTATGTATTGAGGAAAAATTTTCAGCACAGCTGTTCTCAAATCTCTTACCAAGCACACTTTGAGCAGCTTCAAACTATATTAAGAAACACCTGTAGCTTTTAAATTAAAATGGCATGGGAAAAATAAAATCTCTAAGCTACTTAAATTGTGAATGTGCTTCAAACTTTMAGCGCTTCCAGCACTTGCTTGGTGCCAGGAGCAGGAATGTGCTGCAGAAGGGATTTCACTGGAGGGGGTCCAGGCTTGGCCACCTCTTCTGTACTCACTTGCTGCAGCATGCTCTACATTACCACTTACTTGAGTGCATCAGGCTGCATTGCACTGTCTTTCCCTAGGCTTCACTGCCTCTCCCCTTCCCATCTCTATTTCAGGACCCCTTACTTCCTCCATTGCTTCTGTTGCAGTAGCCACATTTCCCCTCCACCTTCTCTCTCTGTTCTGTATTCTGCAGCAYGCCTAAATTTCCACCTGCTGTATAACCATACCTATTAAAATTATGGTAGCGACTTTCTCCCTGATTTTCCTGATACCATATTTCTCATGATGTCTCTGAAACGTAGCTAGTAGCCTGGCTTAAAAGCATAGTTTTTTTTCTGGACGTATTTGACATTGCATTTTCCATTGCATTAGGTGTCTGCCTCTCTGAAACTTATTTTGTCATCTATTGAAAGACTCATTTCTGAATTACTGCATTCAGGAGTATTAAAAAWTCCTGCCTCATATTTTAACATCTTTTGAAGATAGATATGTGCTGTACTTCACCTCGCCATTGGGCAGTCTTTCATTTGAACRTACTGCATCCTCAATCCCCAGTGTTCTCTTATTTTAAGTACCTGCTTCCTCCATATGCTGCCAGTTCAYTGATTCTTCTCTAACTAACCAAAGAGGTCTCTAGTAGACAGTCTTACTTAATCTAAGAAATGTTTCTGAACAACCTTAGCTTTTCATTCTTCAGTCTGGTGAGATTGGTCATCTTACAGACTTCGTTGTGCTGGGCCATTTCTGCAAGCTGCATTTCTTAGTACTCCCATTAAAGTGGTTGTGCTATTAAGGGCAAGCTTTTGTAGCTTTGAAACTTTATAGAAAAAGACTGCATTAGCTAGTTGAGTACTTTTCAACTCAACTCAACTTTTCAACTCAAGTACTCGACTACAGTTGAGTAGTTGACTACTTTTCTCTTTGTGGAAGCCCCATTTGCCTTGCGTCTCTAATAGTTTGTGGAGACGTCAGGTTAATTTGTTTATTCAGATCTTTTCCACAGCAAGTTAATCAACATCAGTTATGAATTAAAAATTGTCTGCTTGCTGTGAACCTCTATCAGAAGGTCATTCACCAGTTCCCTGTAGCTGAGTGGGAAGGTTCTGAGACGTAACATCCCGCTTCCTGCCAGTCATTGCCTTGAACCATTTTTTTCAGTTCCACAGTAGCAAGAATTTCTCTCTTTTCTCTATTACTTAAAAATAAATAGATAAATGAATTGGTGAATTCTTCTGCGTGGCATTATGAGCTCTGAACAACTTGTTTGAAGGCATTTTTTTTTTACATGTCACTAAGCATATGCCTCTTCCTAATAATCATCTTCATCTTGTACTTGATATTGGGTAGATTTCTATTTTGTTTAAATGAACATCAATTTACTGCTCAGAAAAGTATTCTTCCTTCAGAACATTTTGAGGCTTCATTCAAATGCTTGATGAGTTGCTTAGGCAGTACTTAGGCAGTCTCTGTTGGAAACTTTCTTAAGGATTATGCCCTTGGTGGTGGTAGTTTCTTCTTTTTTCCCACCTCTTTTCCATTCCTTAGGGATTTCCTTCTCAAGTGTTGCAGTCTACCACGTGCTGATGCCTGGGTTGTTGTCTCACTATACTGATGCAATGTCATTCTTATCATCTTGCTCAGGAAGGACCATAATTTTCAGTTCTGTGAAGCACTTTCTCAAACTGTTATCTGCTAGACTGGGGCACATCCCTTTAGGATAGACATGTATTTTTCTCTGAGACTATTGTCATGTTTTTATCATTAATAAAATGCTTCTTGATCATCTTTATTACTTAGACTGCTCTCTCAATATGGAGTCTCTTGGCGATTTCCTGATGCTAGAGGACAGTGTTGCTTTTAGCCAGTTCTCCTTGTTCATCTTGGCAGCTTTCTCTTTATACCTTCTTACCTGATGCTTTTCCAGCTCCAGCAAATKATTTCTGACTGCCCTTACATTTCTCACCAAGTCATGTTCCTCTCTTGGTAGCTTTGGGTCATCGTTGTCCTAACTAGGGAAATTTTGGGAAGTTATGTCAACAGGATTCCCAGTGGACTTGACAGAACACATAGCCTTGAGGTACTGGCATGGTCTGTCTCATTTAGAGTACCTTAAACCTTCACAAGCTAAGATATTTTCAGTTTGTTTTCTCCCTGCAGTCTAACAGAATTTGTTAACTTTCTCTCTGAATCTGCAGAAAGTGTAGCATGAATGTGTATATTGTATATATTGCATAATAAATTAGTGAAAAGGTTGGAGCCTTACACTTAGTAATACATAGAATAGAATACAATTTTCTTAGAATACAATTTCCAGATAYGATACTTATCTGAATAAAAAATATGGACAAGCTTTTAAATTTAAATAAAAGTAAGTTAATAGTACTTCTTAATRAAATATTTCTCTGTAAACTGGCAAAAATACTTTGAAGGAAAAAATCTATTGCCTGTTGAAGCAGGAAAACAATTCAATGCCTGGAGGACCTATGAGTTGTAGTGTATTTATTTTGTATTTTATACCATACCATTTTGTCTTTTAAAAACTTTTTTCAAYGGTTTGATAGATGTCACATTTTATTTTTCCTTCAGATTATTTGAAGAATTATATGAAGATCAYGGAGATACCCTCTCTCTGCAATATGGAGGTTCTCAACTTGTCCACAGAGTCAAAACCTACAGAAAGATAGCTCCGTGGACCCAGCATTCCAAAGATATTATGCAAACACTCTCAAGATATTATAGCAATGCTTTCTCAGGTAAAATATTTTAAGTACTTTGGATAGTAAGTATAAATAATACTTATTACATTATTATAAACATATATAACAAATAATTGAATATATATATATATAAAATAAGCCACTATGTGGGAAACCATTTATTTGTGAATAATTGATACTATGATTGTTTTAGAGCCCATCTATATGATCATTTCCAAATAATTCAGTAAAATCTTGTAAATGGATATTCTGGTTTGGTCAAGTCTTTATGTCATACCCTATTAAAATGCAYGTTGTATTGTGCAGCCTTTTTTCTTAGAGTGAGTTAGGTGCTATAGAAAGTATTCAGCAAATGTTCACAGTCTTGTAACTGCCAGTGACTTTTGTGGCTCAGTAGAGAAGCAGATAAGCTGTTACATTGCATGTATATGACATATGTATGTCATATGTATGTGTAACGCTGCTAACTAGGGAAGGAAGTGGATTTTTAAAACCAGATACTGATTGGCTATTGGTGTGGCTGTCATTATATTATTTATCACAATCCTTTAAAAAAAAAAAAAACAGCTGAACTATCCTGTTTGCACGACAGCATTTTCTTGTTTCTACTCTGACAGACTTTCCTTTAATGGTTATGAATTGTACATTGCCTATTTACCGTAGAAAATATCTGAAGAAAATAGAGGATGCATCACTGGAAGTATTTTGGTTATAAACCATTAAGTTACCTTAGAAATAAGAAGGTCACCCAGCTAAGAATCAGATATTCTTTGACAACCTCTTTGACAGGCATTCTGAATAGCTGAATTCTAACATTTTTCTTTGCAGTTGTCAAGGAAATTAGGAAACAATATTCCAAACATTATTTTTCTTGCTTTTATGCTTTTAGAAAGTAATGTGACATTGCAGACATCAGTGTGAGAGATGCAGCATGCATAATAAACTTCTGGAATAATCTTTTTATGCACAAACAGAATTGGCCATAGTAAACTACCTTTTAGTGGTATATGAAGTAAACTTAATTATTATGCCCTTTTAGTCATGGGATGTTATAGTCTCAATTGTGTTGAATCTCGCATGATTTAGTGATTTGTCATGGAGGGCAGTTGTAAGCTCAGACTGGGAGCAGTTAATTGTTTTAGGCTAATTCAGTTAAATGTCCCATTCAGTTCCTGGTGTTTTTTTTTTCATGTGATCTTAAAAATGTGCTGATCTACACGTACATTGCAATATCTTTTGAAAAACCACTGCAGTCTTCCTATTTCAGTACACAATTTTAACATTCGGTGTTAAAAATGAAAGAATAAAACTTGTTTGCACTTTTTTTTCTGTTCTACATGTAATGTGACATTTATTTAGAAAAGAGAGATTTGCCATCTGCAGAGGAAGAATTATCTGAAAAGCTCTCTAACTTCTTGTGTGTGGCCAGTGTTTCAAAGAAAGATAAAAATTTACTTTTTTTTTTTTTTTTTGAATTAATTCATAAAATTGTCCAGCCCTTAAAATAAGAGGATGAGGCAAGGGAGGATTATTTCCTTTCAGGTTAAATATCTCCTTTGCCAATAACTTGCATATAAATGCACCTACCTGAAGATTCATCCTTAGAAGATCTTTGTTTTGTGACCAATCTTCAGCTTGAGAGCTGAGATGTAAAACAGCAGGACATTTACTGCTAAATGTTCTACATTTTAAGTTTAAAACGCAGCTGCACAAGCTGAAACAGTAAGTGCAAAAAAAGCTTAAGTTCTGAAGCACTGTAACATTTAACAGGGCAGTCATTTGCTACTGAAGAGAAGTAATGCTTTACCATGCTACTGCCAGGGCCAGATCAACATAACTAATTGTTTCAAATTAAAGCTGCTTTTACAACAAATCTCATCTGTCGTATCAGTAGTGAGATAGTTCCTTAACTGAATTATTCTGTTTCACTCTGATATTGTTAACAATTTCAAAATACCTTCTGTTCTCTGCAGGGAAAAAAAAAAAAAAAGAGCAACAGATATTCATCTCTGCTCTTAACTTTTACAAACTCTCATCAGACTTAACCTATTTCTCAGGCTCCTCCAGTTTCTATGTTCAAAATAGAGAGTTTTGGGGAGGGGGTTCAGCAATTTCCTTGGAATAACTAAAATAACTTATTAGGAGGAAAGAATATATGTTTTTGCTCATGACTTTGCCTTTCTTCGTGACTTTCAGTGTCACAAAGACACTGAAAGACTTTCAGTGTCACAAAGACAACCTCAACAAGGCTTTTTTTCAAGTCCTCCTTGCCTCCTCCAAAGGACTGTGCATCTTTTGCCATGTCTCGCGCTTCTTGCTTTACTGCAACATGTTATAAAATCTTTGCTCTCATTTTCATGCATCCTTAAAGAAATGGAYTGAAAAAAAAAAACAGCGGGCAGAGTAGTGGAAATGGATCCATTTTAAATTATTGTGGCAGCGGTGAGGGACTGAACTCCAGAGCAAGATTTATTTTTATGGAGGCTCTAGGCAGAACTTCTGCTCAGCATAAAGGCAGCTTCAAATGGAGCCCAGTCACAGTGGCTGAAGCCCAGAGCTCCCAATAGGAATCTTAGGACGCTCACGTTCCTTGTGTGAAGAACAAACCTAACAAGGGAATGRCTGGTGGGGACTGAGCTGCACCACGTTCCTAGCAGCAATTGTGCCTCTTGTCTCGCAGATGCAGACCGGCAGGACTCCATCAACCTGTTCCTGGGAGTATTCAAGCCTACAGAAGGAAAACCACACCTCTGGGAGCTTCCCACCGATTTTTATTTGCACCACAAGAACACGCTCGGTCTRTCACCGACCAGGCGAAGGTATTTTGCTGTTCTTTCATTTTTCTTCCCTCTTGCCTTAATAAATTTCAAAAAAGAATGCAGTTAACCAAGCTGGGCAGTTTGTCAAAGTGGAACAAAAACTCCTTTACTATTTTTTCAAGTTTTTCTAAAAAAGAATTGAAAAATACAGCCTTTTGAAAGATGCTATAAAAATGTTGGAGACTAGTGTTTTGCAGGATTTCCTTTAGGACTTTTTATGCCCTATGTACAGAATAAAAAAGGTTTTTTTCAGCTGAACTCCTATCCTGTAGCGTGAAATGATTTACTGTCTTATTGAAGGCAAGTTTGCCAGTGTCCCCTTAAACTATATGCAGGTGTGGTTTTATTGGTCGGCTTTATTAAATTTGTGTTGAAATTGAGATTGCGATGAGCCTTCCATTAATTTAATTGTGTAATGCACTTAGTCTGCAGCTGTGAATATGAAGCAGCCTGTAGTATTTTTTAACTTCTAGCCTTATCTGGCTCATTTTGAAGCTTTTTTTTTCTTGATTTGTTTCCCRTTGTAGTTGCACAGAATATAGAAATCATAGAGCTAAAACATAGAAGTTTTAAAGTATTATTTTGACATGATRGCTTCATATGGAATAATGTCATTGAAGATTCTAAGTCCTGAGTATAAAGAATACTTTTCTGAGTTCCTTAATAGTGGTGATGCTAGACTTGCACTTGACTATCTGCCTTAGAAATTTTAYTATTTATATTTTTCTTCATTTTCTTCTCTGTAAACCTTTGTTTCCTAAAGCATAGAGCTGAATATCTGCACTTAGATTTTTACCTGGAGAGGAATGGAAGTGTTTGAGGAGAGCAAAAAAGCCCTATGGGCTACTTATGCCATTAACCTATCATGGCAGCCAGCGTGTGATATAACTGTTTCTAAATTGCAATCCTTTTGTATAGTCTCCTGAGGCTTTTGTTGATGCTTGCTCTTATCAGCCATGTAGCAAAGTGCTAGTTCAGCCACATATGAAACACTCAATGTTAATTTTATTGCCTATTGATCATGTGCAGTGCTGGATGTACAAGTGAATCTAGTTGATACACAACCAATATATGAATGGTCCAGTGTACCTTTCATCTCCTACTCATTCGTCAAAAACTGTCTCTTATTTGTCATAGATACTGTTCTCAGATGAAATAGAATATTTTTTAAAAATAGTAGTGTTCTTCATTTACTTGTTAATTAGTCTCACCTTTCATTCTGGTTKAAATTTATCTTCTGAGCATTTATAATATTTAACCAAAATGGCTTTTCTTGTGGACATAATGATGCTTCCATGTAGTGATTTGAGGGATGAGAAGAAACTCTTCCAAGTAATTTTGGTTTGTCTACCAGACTATTTTACAAGCCCGTTGAATGGCCTCTTCCTGTCTTTTTGTGCAATGCCTCTATTTGGTTACTTGGGCACAGCAGCAAAGGAGATAATGCTGAAAACTTGGAATGAAAACAAAAATTTCCATTGACAAATAAAAGAAGAGAAGGATTGAAGCTGTAATTGAAGCTTCTTTTGACTATCTGTGCCTCATCTGTATTTTATCTGTTTCTATATTAGAAAGAAGAAATTTCATAATGAATTTCACATAYTGCTTATATATTATTTGTCTGATTCAAATGAAAGCCCTGGGAGAGATGGGTGGGAAGGATTCCTKTTGTCTGTTTTTGCAGTTTTTATGCAACAGGAAAACTGGGTAACTATGCTTATGTAGGTGCATAGTTTGTGAAGGCAGTGGAAAAAATGACCTCCTAGGATGTCCTGAAAAATCACTTTGAGGGGTGGGATTGTCAAGCAACTCCTTTTGTTTTGATAAGCCAAACACTGTTGTTTAAATGGAAGTGTGATGAACAAATCTGTGTACAGTTCTGCATATGGGAAATACTCAGGAATGGGAAATTGTGGGTATGGGAATATCCCTGTTGTTTCTGCTCCAGCTAGCTGGCAGTACTGACATCGATAGGAGATAACCCTGTGATTCTGTGAATGCAGCCCTTGCAATATTGTGATTACTTATATATTTGAAATCAAATCAGCGAAGATAGCTGGGTGTCTTTTGCAGCTAAGTGATAACATTARGTAGTAGAAACTGTCAGAATGATTTAAAGAAAGAAAAACGAAGTATATTTGAGAAGAAAAAATCAAAGTACGTAAACATGAATGACAGATAGAACACACTGTTTTCTGGGTGTTGCCTGACTGCCTTTGTTTGCTTTTTCAGAAATAGTGCGTAAGCTTCCAGCAGAGCTTGCTTTTGCTGTTAGCTCTGCCAACATAGAGTTGGCAGACTTGGGACAGCTGTCATATCAAAATGGCTTTCTACATGAAGAAGTCAACTGCTTTGACAATGTTCAAATGTCATTTAACTGTTTTATATCAGGGACTAGCTAGAGCTTTGTTTTCAGAACTGGAGCTTAAATATCACTACCGTAGGTAAGCATCTGAAATAACCTTGTGTTCAATGAAGACCATCCCTCCCTCATATTTTTATGGCGCTTGAAGAGATATACATCCTCAGAATAAAGTTTGAGCCTATTAATATCCTTTTTCCAGGGCTAATTCTTTATTTTCTGCCATACTTGAGCTATAAAGATGTATGTATCAATGTGACACTATAGTTGTTCAGTTAGCCTTTGCAGATATTCACATTGGATGCAAGACCAAGTCTCCTGTGTCACTTGTGTGTCCGTCTTTCCTGTACAGCTACACTTTCTGGTGGACCACAGGAGTGCTAAAGCATTTACCACTTCCTTTTGATGAAGGTAGGAACTGTGTTCATACATTCCCATAGACAATGTCATGGAAAAAAAAGAGTTTTAGTTACTAAGAACATAAAAATCTGTGATCCAAGAAACACTATTTCCGCAATGATTGCTAAACTTTTTTTCTTTCTTTTTCACAAGAAACTGATTTTTTCAGCTGCAAGATGCAAGAGAGATTTAACTCTTCAGTTTTAGAGTCAGATAATAGAGATCAGTGTTGAAAACTTAATATACTTATATAAAACGTTATATACTTATTTATAATTTGTATGATCATTGCAAAAGCTGTCTTTTGTTTGTTTTCTTGTCTTAGAGGGAATATAGCTGTTAGAAAAATGCCAGGTAAGGTGGCTAGGTAAAATGGTTATTTATTTTGACTTCTGCTGAGTTAGCAAAAAAAGAAAATGTTACGGTTTGTGTTTTTCCCAGTGACATGTGCTGAAAACCGACGCAAGCTGATAGTGAAGAGGTTCCACAAGTATGAAGAGGAAATTGATATCCACAATGAATTTTTTCGGCCATATGAGTTGAGCAGTTTCGATGAGACCTTCTGCTTGGCGATGACCAATTCTACCCGGTACATTGGGGATGTTTGGGAATAGTAAAACCTGATGTGATAGTAAAGCTTGATGTGGCTTAAATGTACATTTGATTTACTTGACTGTACAAAGGCAACGTGGTAGAGGCGGGTCTTTTTGTGTGAGTGGTAGTGGTTTGGAAAAGCTTCAAATTTAGTAAACTTTGTGAACCTAAACAGCAATGCCAAAGTGGCAGTGCAGCTCTAAGCAAGTCTATTAAGATAGCATTAAAACGTACAATTCTCTTCCCCTCTTGAGTGTACATTCGTAGGCTGGAATGGTTGAACATTCATAGACTGAGAAATGGACCTCTGTGGACTTTGTCTGTCACAGAGMCTAACCCTTTTTTTTCCTAGTTGTTCTGCTTTCATTTTATCATTTTACATTTGTCATTGAACTGTTYTCTTCAGTTCATCAGGTTGTCACAGCTCAGCGTATCTGTGTATATGTTTTCTTTGTTTCTTTGGCAGCAATCAGTTGTGTATTGCAAGCATAATCTTAATCATGCTTTAGATAAACGACTTCCATGCAAATTATGTTTCATGTRGCTTTTTGACCCAGTCTGAGTATTGGCAGCATCTTGAAAACAATGCAGCTCTGTCATAAGGTTTCCTTGGTACAGGRATATGTCATTGCCCCAGCCTCCTCGGCAAGTGGTGATGTTTGCCGCAGTGTTATGTGAATATGTAATGCAATTGAAAGCTTTTTAAATGCCTAGGAGTTCARTATTTACATGACTTTAACCTGTAGTGACAAAGTTATAACTTGATAATAATGTTTTGGGGGGGTTTCTTTTTGACTTTAAAAGGGGATGTTACAGGTTCTTCTGAAAGTTTTGAAAGGTGTATTTTGTGTGTTAAACTCTGTTCATGGATGTTTTTTCCGCTCTCTTTTGCCAGAGATTTTATGCCCAAGAATGTGGGCATTGATCCGAGTCCATTTACTGTTCGTAAACCTGATGAAACTGGAAAATCGGTATTGGGGTAAGTCTGAAAAAACAGGAAATTTTGTTCTGATTTAATGATAGTGAAAGTCATGCATGAGATTAAAAGTCCAAACCTCTCTTTCTAGATGGATTCATAAACCAGTGCAACTGAACAGACTATTGCATAATTCAGTGGGTTTTTTTGTTAATGCAGGCCATAGGTACACAGATTCAGGATGCAGTGCCGTGCAGCTTTGTTTCTTAAACAGGTGTTTTAAAGTTTATAACTTCTTAAAAGTTTATAGCTTTAAACTTTTTTTAAAGTTTAAAACTTTTATTAGTTTTTTAAAGTTTATAATACTACTTAAGTGAAAAGTACAGAGAAGAATGAATACAAAGTTAAGTTACTGTAAATCTAAAATAAATGAAAGYGATATATTCTGTTCCATAGGAAATGGAAAAACTTCCCTGATGGTATACTGTGGAATTGTTGTATAATTTGGAAATCATCTATATAACTTATGAATTTTCTTAGACACTGGGAATTCTTTATCATGCTTTATTGATTTTTTTCTACTTTGTTATTTAAGTAAAATCCACTCAAAAACCTTTTATCTAGAATACGGTTACAGAAGTGATTAAAATTTGATCATCTCTTCATTCTTTTGACAACTTGTATTGTCTATTGAAGATGGACAGGAATGCATATCGGTTTTTTCTTCTTAAAAAAAGATACTTTTGAATAAATACAATTTGTCATGATAAAGGAGCAGCTGCCRATTTCAGCAGTTTTTGATCAAAAGCATTATAGAAAAATTATTTATAAATAAAATGAAATGGAACAACAGATTCTTTGAACAGATTAAGGTTTCATTCAGCTATTTTCTCATCCTGGACTTATTTTGTTACTTTATTTATTCTGCTGTTGTGTTTGATCAGCTGTATCACATACTGGTTATAAAAACTCTTCCTGAGGCACTTCACTCTCTCCTGGATATTTCATACTAAGGAAACCTTTATCAGTAGTGAATAAACCTGTGCTGTCGTAAGTCTTAAGCTCTTCCTAAAACTTAAGTTCTGTGTTTTTTAAAGCAACAGTGTTCTGTTCCAGTTCTGTTAATAACTATAAAATTTAACTATCTCATAGGTCACATTCATTTGTGCTCTGACCCTGAAGGATACACTGTCAATAAATGGTGAGAGTAGACTTTGCTTATCACTAGCAGAATCTGATTGCATACTACTGATATTCTCTGTGAACAAACAAGAAGACTTTTTGACAATTATACACTGTGTGAGTAGGTAGATGCTTTTGAAGAAAAGGTTTATTCTTCTGCATTCTTATATGTATTACCTAGCTCTTCTCTCTAGATATACCATGAAATCCCTGGCCACCTCACATCTTTCTCCAGCTGTTTTTTCTTGTTCTGCACTGGGGCACTGGGGGATTGGTACTGGGTAGAGCCTCACCTGGATTTATTACTGAAAACAACATTTACAACAGTGAGGTGGTGTTATCTCATAGCCACATTCTATTGGGTATAAACTTCTCCAGCACAGTCCATATGAGCAAGTGAGATCTTTTGAGGGGGGAATCCTGTCACTGTGAGCCTTTTCTCTCAACTACACACCTTTTTCTATTACTAAGTTCTTGTATTTTCTAATTCATTATCCGTTTAGGGAAGTGCTAGCAAATCTCTGACACAAAGCTCTGTTGCTCTCAGTGGATGAGTTTTTGGCTTGTAGCTCAACTGTTATCGTTTTGAGTTGACTTTGTCACATCCAAATTCTTTTCTCCTCATTCTTTTGTAACTTTTTCACCCCGTTCCTTTCAGGAATCTATCTAAGAGATCTGTTCCAAGGGAAGTGGCTTTCTTTACTGAATTTAAATGCAAAAAAAAAAAAAAAAAAAGTTAATTTAAGACTTCTTTTTCTACAGAAATGGTCCCCATTGAAAAAAAAAAATGTTTTGATGTCATTGCCACTTTTCTTAAGTCATATATGACTATATGGTGATTTTAACATCAGTAGTTTCATAACATTCATCAGTAGAATCATTTTTCTTTTTTCATGATCTGCTTCAGGATGGTACACCTGCTTCAATGTCCTGATCCAGTCATGAAGACAGAATTATATTTGTTTCATGGTCAGAATTTATTAGTACAATGTTGCCTGATTCCTCAGAGTATTGGGAGGCTTTTTTATAGGTATTGGTTCTTGCCTCCTCTCATGCCCCCATTTTAACACGGCTGCTTCTTTCTAACTACCTTTCTGAGAATTGTCTTTGAACCAGAACCGGAACAAGGGTACAGAATAATGCTCTGTCTTTACATCTAGGAATTATAACCTGAATTCTTGATGTGCCAGAGGATGTAATGCCCATGATCTGATTTGGACATGACTAGAACAAGTGCTGGCAGTTCTTGGTGACTCCTAATGTGATGTTGCACATGCATTACATGCAAGCATCACTTTGAACTTGTGTCAGAGCCACTGATCGTTGTCCTGTACAGTCATTGTCCTGCCAGAAGTTGGGAATTGAATTGTCCAGGTCCTGCTTTGGACAGGGGATCCCATTCCACTTCCCTCTGCTSTCTGTGTTGGTAGTGCCAGGTGGCTCTTCTGCACCAGGCAAGCTCACATCACCGATTTGAAAGGGTAGGGGTTGATGTTTCCTGAAGAACACAATCTACATATCAAAGAAGAACAAGATAATTAAGAAACACCGTGTTAGACATGCTGCCATGACTATCGTGTACAAATAATGGTGAACAAGGCTGCCCTGTTCTTAAYTATGGTGATTAGTATTCCATTAGGCATATCCAAGGAGGCCACGTTTTCTGTCTGCTATGCAAAGAGTTTGCTGTCCTCCTTTCTGGCCACTTTGCCATGTTCTGAATTAGAACAGAAACAAATAGATTTTATTTGTTTGCTTTATAAACCTGGTAGAGATGATTTCTTTGCCTTGAGTATTTTTCAGCATCTTCTGGTCTACTAGAAAATTTCTTGAGGATTTGTTTAATCTGTTTTTGTCTGTGTGTGTTTTGGTCACTGGGCTTTCTTTTCAATTTTCAAAGTAGTCCCTGGCTTCAGTTAGTTCCTGAGCTTCTTTTTGTTTGGTTAAGGGATGGATAGTCATCCCCTTCTGACTTKCACCTCATTTACAAATGTAGGGAAGATTGAAACCTTTATGTGAAGATTATGTCTTTAATTTTCTTCAAAGAAAATGTAATTTATCTTCTTAACATTCTGTATGTTCCTATCTAAGGAGATACCACTTTCTGCTGGGTCAAAAATTTAGCTTAACTGTTTTCACCTAGGGCATTTACTCCAGGTGTAAGAATTCTTTTGACCTGTTGTATATCCATGGGGCTTTTTATGCCCTTGGGCCAAGAACCTCTAAAAGGAGCTATATGTCCATATACTCAACAAAAAGTAAATCAATTCGGGGATTCAAAAGATGAGCAGCAGGTTGCTCCAAGGGATAATACACCTCTTGCCTTCAAGTAAGATAACAACTGAAATTTAAAATACCCTTTGCTAACATGTTCTTGCTTTGATGAATATGCACTGCCTTTTGTAATAGGAACAAAAGTAATAGAGAAGAAACTGTACTGCAGCGCAAAACCGCGGCGAGCGCTCCGCCACCGCCGAGCGAGGAAGCCGTGTCAAGTAGTTCTGAGGATGATTCTGGAACAGACAAAGAGGAGGAAGGTGCTGTTTCTCAACGCTCAACTCCGGTGAAGGTGACTGACACGGGAGATAGCACAAAAATCACAGAGGTAAGGGATGRCTGTGGAGAAGGAGGAGAATTATGAATTTAAAATTCTTCAGACTTTTTTTTTAAGTGTTTTTTAATAGTAAGTATTATGGAACAATCGAAAGGAGAGTATTAAAAAGTTAGGAAGGAGAGGTCTTGGGCATATCTTCTTTCACAGAATCATTGAATCCTTAAGGTTGGATGGAACCTTTAGAGGTCATCTAATCCAACCCCCGTRCACATGCAGGGTCACCTAGAGCACATGGCACAGGATTGTGTCCACACAGGTTTGGAGGATSTCTAGAGAAGGAGAAATCYAGGAATCCTGGAGAAATTCAGGAGATTTCTTTGCACAGATATTAGCAAAATTGGTAATAAAGCTTTGCCCTTCTTCCTATTGTGTAGGCATTTTCACAGCTTACAGTGAACAACATTTTCCAAAAAAAAATAGAAAATCTTGTTTGAAACCTATGGCATATGGAAGGGAGGCAGGTCAGGTGTAGTCTTTAAAATTATGTATAAAATGCGTCTGTGCTAGTGTGTTAKTTCAGAGCAGGAGTGCCCTTCTCATCCCTCATTGCATACCATGCTTTGCCTTAAATAATGGGCTTACCTTTATGTATGCAAAAGGCATTCCTTTGGGATGAAAGTAAATTGGGAGATACTCTCCAGGAGTACCCGATGTACATACCTAGTGACATCCTGACTAGTGTTTGTCTGCACTTTGGTGTTATCACACTTGTAGAAATAAATTGTGTATATTAGTGCTCAAAAAATGCTAGAAACTTATGCTTTTAGGTCTTGTGTAAATACGGTTATTTCAGAATAATTGGATATTTGGTCAGAGATTTGAATTTTGGTCTTCTCTTTACATCAGCATTCCTTGTAGACTTAGAAGAAGAAAACAGCTTGTTCTTATCTATTTGTRTCTCTTAGAAGCTTAAATGAACAAAATGTGCTTGTACTCCATCTTAGATATATCTTTCTTGGATTTTTCTTTGTGGATCTTTTTGAACTAAAAGCAAACCACTTGTAGTTGKCTTCCTTGCAGTTACCCTTGTCTTGTCTGTAATTTCTTCATTTAACACTGAACCTTTACACCTAGTAGGAATGTATGTGTGTGAATTACCTTCTTGTTATAGTTTCCTGACGTTGACTGATGTGATTATGTAACATATAAGACGGAATAGTTGTCTTCAGCATGAAATTTTTGGTGATTTCACAACTGACAACAGGAAAGCTGAACAGAGCATGTTTTTAACAAACATTTTTTCATTTGTTAAACCCAGGACAGGATTTAATACATGGTAATGTGCCCTACAAGTATTATTTATTCTCCATATGTATTGTTTTATCTGATATATCTTTGAAAAATCCTTTCTTTTCTTGTTAAATAAGCATCTTGAATATTTCTAGTAAATAACTTTTATTAAAAATATGTGCATAAGCTTAATTTGTGACAATTGTCAGGTATGTGAGAAACTTGTTTGTCTTTGCTTGTCCTTATTGCAGTTACTTTCAGATTTAGAAGTAATTCTGTTCTTTCAAGCAAGCTTGTTTTTTGGTACAGTATCCTCAGTCTGAAACTTTGTTTTTATGTTCCAGAACGTAGTCCAATCCACAAAAGACGTCTATGGAGTTAATCTTTCAGATGTTCCTTCAGAAGATGATCTTGCAATATACACAAGGTGAGATAAATTCCCAGTGGTTATCAGTGAATGATAATTGAAATTAGTTCCAAACAGCCTGTCAGAAGTGCTGCCTTTGATACTTACCTAAATTCTGTATTTTAGAAATATTGGGACGACTCTCATATTCTAGGTTGGTTGGTTGGTTTGTTTTCAAATCAGACTCCTTTCAGAACTCTTTCAACTCTGACTTCAGTGGAAATTACACAGATATGCATAATTTTTGTATTTCCAAATGCAAAATTTGGAATTTAAATGAAGTGAAGGATGCTTCAACAGAAATAAGTCATTTAGTATTCTCCTAGAAATTAATAAGCAGGTTCCAAATCAATAGCAATTTCATGATTCTAAAGTAGGTAGTTTGTGATTTTCACATTTGAACAAGTGTTGAATAACACTAACTTCGAATTGGTCATAAGTGACATAGGCTTTTATTTTAAAAAAATAGAATTTTTTTTCTTATTGTCTCATGTGTAGAGGTATATATTAGCTGTTGCATCTTATTAAGATTGAAATACTTGTATGACTTTCAGTATTCCAGGAAAATTATTTTTCTGATTAATACTCCACTTTTTTTTTCCGTTTTAAATATCTTGACCTTTTGAGATTGAAATATAAAATTGTGTTTTTCATAGGGAAATCTGAGGCATTTACTGTACCTGATGGAGATTCCCCATCAGGAACATCAGGAAAAGAATTGAGAAAAGTGATTAGAATACATGAGGAACTTGCATTGTAACAGCATAGATGTTTATAAGCCTTACTTCAGTGAATAAGAGTAAAGTGTTGCATTGTGCAAGGCTAAATACATCTCTGTTAGAGTTGCAGACCCACTCTTAGATGGTCCATCAGGTTACAGTAGAGTTCAGCTGCTGCTCCTCCACAGCCAGAGGCTGCTGCCTTATCAGGAGCAGATAGAGGTAAGAGTTGGTGGGACAGCATCAAGTTATCACCTGCCCGCTCCTCCTAAGTTTTAGCAGACACAGAAAGTGCTGCTTTTACCCCAGGGTAACTTGGACTCCTACCCTGTCTTACCCAGTCATCRCCACCCTGCAGGAGCCGTGAGTTGCCATCTCCCCAAGAAAAAACAGCAAATTAACAGTTTGTTTCCCAAAATAAAAGTTAGCGACTCCCAAAGTGTTAGAAGCAGTTCCTGAATTGCTGTAACCCATATAGAGCACTGGCTGTGTGATAAACCAATGTTTCAAACACCTGCTTAGACTGTACAATTAATGGAATAAAAGAAAATGTGCAAGAAAACTAAACATCCTCTCAAGAAAACCCTGGGTATATATGTTGGAATGAATACTTGTGACATGTTTCCTAATGTGTGGTAGCAGTAACTACCTTGTTATATGTGAACCACCATCGGCAGTTTGTGAATGAAATTTTAATTCACTGTGAGTTCTTTTTAGGTGATAAATTATGATTATTTCATCAGTCCTTTTCAGACATTTTAAGAAAAAAATACTAGTTTTTATTTTCATTGAAAGGCCTTTTTATACTAATTTATTTAAGGATAGCTACGTTTCCTGCCTTATTTTCAAGTTTCCCATTTCTAGCTGTTTCCTACATGCTGACGCATTTGATGCTATTAAACTTGAGGCTTTTTCTCATTATCTCTGCTGAAGTTGTTAAGTTTATCTATGTTCTTTATTTTTACCTCTAGAGACAGTTCAAACACTGTCAATTGGATCATTTCCCTTTGGCATATGTGATAGCTGCTCTTGTTCTGGAAATGTCCCACTGCCAACTGGTGTCCACTACAAGGCACTTGGTGCTGAAGAGCAACTCTGTGATAACATCCAGGATTGGAATTATATCCCATTTTAGCATTTTTCAGGCTAGACTAACATTCAGYCTATAACGACAGCAGTAGTTATATTGTTTCCAAGTAAAAAAATCTTGTGTTTGTTTCCTCGAATCAATACAGATTTTAAAAATATAGTAATTATAAATTGGCAACTCCTCTTTTTWTTTTAGCAACAGGACATAGCACTACTTATGGTCCTGCTGTATTTATGGATGTGCTGATTTTTATGGAAAGTATAGATTTTACTGAGATCCATCCACAATGTACATCAGTTGAGAATAGCAGCWATTTATTTCACAGTAGGATTACCGTTCTCACTACAAGTCATCTTCTAGTGCTATAACAGAGGAAATGGRGACATAAGAGACATCTTGACTAGGTGTCACTTGACATTGCATTTGCATTGTCACTGACACTGCATTTGCAGTTGCATTTTTAAACAATTATTTGCATCAGGTTTTGCTCTCTATGAACTTGCAGATATAAAGGACCTCAGATTAAGCTGCTTTATATAAAGTCATCTGTAGTAACTATATGTGCAAAGGAAAAGTAATTTGAATCTGTGCAGCCCWCTTTTACATACATCTGAGGTAATTCGTGTTATTTCATATCAAAATTGGAGTAATTTGAAGGTGTATACAGCAGCTACTGATAGCACTTATTAATGCCAGGTAACTCGTGTTAATTTAAGGCTTTTTCAGAGTTTTGAAAAACTTGAAGCAGCTAGTGAAAATGCTTACATTCAACCCAAGCATAGCTCACCACTGGCTTGCCTATATTTGCATTTTAAGCTTCTTCCAATAGCAGATTTTAAGTTTCTTCCAATAGCAGACTATTAAAGGAAGACCTTTAATAGTKTTCTTTATTCCTACTGATAATTCTGTTATTTAGAAGAACAGGGTTTATTCTTAGAACATTTAAAGTAATGTTGCTTATACTGACTAGTTAAATTTGGAATTAATTTGTTTATGATGCTGTCATAAATACAATATGTAACTTGAGTGGAGAGAGGGGGGGAAAAAGCTGCACTAAGTTGTTTATGAATRTATTCATAATTGTACACTCATGTGTGTGCTTGCTTTTGCACTGTTAATTATCTCCTATTAAAATGAAGTAAATATTTCCAAAATAAACCAATAGTACTATTTTAAGTTAAAAGCTGAATATTYAACCAGAAAGTCAGCATCGGAATATTGAAGAATTAAAATTACAAATAATGTTTAATTACTTCTGTTTTAATAGCATAAATGTGTTGAAGACCAGAATTAAGTTGAAATATGTAAATTTATATATATAATCTAAAAAAAAGAGTGAATAATACTCGCAGTTAACTCTTATTTTTATTTTCCTGCAATTCATTGCCAAGAGAAAAATAAAAGCAGTATTTTGCATCTTCAGTGTCTTCCAGAAAACATTTGGAGACAGGGAGAATTCTCCCCAAGGACTCTGCTGGTAAATTGAAAGCTGGGCTGACAGCATTTCACATGAATCAGATTGATAAAATTTGGCTGGGAACTGACTTAAATATGAAACCTGAGTGGTTTTATGTCAATTGTGTTGACTTTTCCCACAGGTCRTCCAGCAGACTGATTCTTTTGGAAAAGACAGCAATTCCTTTTGCAGGAAGTCAGCTCTAGTAAGCTGCCTATTTTACAGCAAGAGAGGTTTATACCAGCTATTCTCCATCATTAGGAAATGATGGTCCCATTTCTGTCTGATTAAATGCTAAATTATACAACTTCATAGACAAATTCAAGCTATAGAAGCTGCGAAGTCTCGCATTCACCCACCATACATAAGCAAGAGATTTTAAAATATTTTACAAGAGAGGTTGATCGTGATCACCGGTTTACCTGTCATGACAGAATGACTCATGTTTTGTACCATTTTTGCTGGAAGTTCTCTTTCTTTGATTTATTCTTCTGTCATTATTCAGATTTGTCCAGCTGGGACAGAGTCAACATAAACAAGACAAGAGCAGTCAACAATTTTGCTCAAAACACCAACTGGACAGAGTGATACATCTGTAAGTACTCTTCTTATCCCCTCTTCCTTTAACTATTTTTTTCCTTTTTTAAACTTTCTTCATTAGACCTGAAAAGTCACTGGGTGCATTTAGTGTTACAATGGTTATACTTCGGTTCTGTTGCTTTTACTCTGTTTCTTTTATGGCATAAAGCAATTCAATATGTAGGATGAAGAATCAGCTTCCCACTTCTCCCTATGTTGAAACAATTTGTAATTTTAAAAATGCATTTTTCAGGGATGTTGTTACGGTTTTTTTCTTTTTTTTTTTTTTAGTTTTTGGGGTATTTTTTAGCTTTTGTGTTAGCAAGATTTTTGTGTTCAAGTAATAGTGAAGATAAAATTATCACAATTCAAAGTATTGAAGCTACTGCACTTTTTATTGCTGTTATTGCTTTTGAAAGAGAGAGTTTGAAAAGGATTGATTACTTAGGAATACTTCACAGAAGCACTCAAAATTGCAATTCAGTCTTCCACTTAGTGTGAAGTTATCTAAATGTATTTGTCTGAGAAAGCTACACATGCTCTTTATTTTAACAGACACTTGAGGTGTCTTGCAAAGTCAAAAGGAAGATTTTTCTTTCTTTTCTCATTGGCCAAATGTTGGAGAGAATGGAGTAAAGGACAACTCCACGTTTTGTGTGCTCGATGCCCATCTTTGCTACTGGAATCAGAGGATCAATGCTACCTTAAACCACTTGGCAGTGTGCTTTAACCAAAAAGATATTGCACAGACATTATTTCATCAGTTAAAATCCTCTGCATTTTCCTCAGAAGTATCACCTTGTTTTTGGTTGTCTGCTTTAATAGTGAATGTGTCGGTGATACTTTGAGCTGGTGGGGCATTTTCTTCCCCCTGAACACTGCATTTGTCACAGTAGATAAATTTTACCTCTTCATGAACTGCTCCAAAGAAGTAAATAGGTAATGGTAAGTTGCAAAGTCAAACTCCAGACAGTTCTTGTCTATGGCACGCTTTGGATACTTTAATCCCTAAAGATTACTGGGGGGGTCATTTTCAACAGTCGGGGTAGGATGAGATTAATTGCTATCCGGGCATATCTGCTGTATGGAGTAACTTAAAAATGGAGTAACTTAAAAATGGAGTAACTATCCATTAATGTGAAAAATATCCCTAATATGGAAATCATAGTGGGTGCGCATGTTGAAAATCTATCCTGAAGGAGGGAATTCTACTATTTGTGGTATTGCTTTGGTTATCTTATATCAAAAGAGGATCATTATATTATCCAGATATCATGGTACTATGAAAACAGGTCTTTGGCATTTAGTTGATCGACTAATAAGCATTAATAAGCATATGCTTTGTATATGAATATGTCTGTTTTTTTGATGAAATTTATCTGATGGATATTAACAGGTTGACAAATTGTAAAATTCCTTTTTTATACGTGAAGCACCAGCTGAATATTTTCTAGTTTTGAGAAGTCATTATTTAGAACTAATTTTATAACAAGAATACATTTGCTGTTAACAAAAATGATTCTCTTTGTGTAGCTGCAAAATCTCCTATAACATTTTTGACAGTGTCAAAGATTGCAATCATTCCTTTTTTTGACCTCTTAACGTAGAGTAGAATATTCTCCGTGCTATTCTACTCAAAATGAGCAAGTTAGAGGCTTTGTGCACGGTTTTGATAGCTTTTGGGCAGAGTCAGAACACTCTTCTTTCCCAGGTGTAATTTCTATGTGTTTCTGAATAGAAGAMGTGTAAAAGTCCCAGAACACACAAATCTGTGCCTCTTGAAGTCGTACAGATTGTCTTTTGCTGCCAGTCCTAATAAACATGTTCTTCTGTGTACATCCTAGAAGAAGCAGTACTTTATAGTCAGTAGAGTTTTTTTTTCAATAGTCTTTAAAGTCTCTGCACAAGTTAATTTTTCTCCCATCTTTTGTTCTGCCTTTTTTTTTCTTTTTTTTAAACAACTTTTTAATACTGTTCAGACAGTGACAGATGGTTCTTTTGAGAAAAGTCATAAATGTAGCTGTGCTTAAAGGCATGTTGTTCACTTCTGGAGAAAAGAAACTTCTTTTCTATGCACTGAAGTTGGAATTGCTGTTTTGAATTTCCTTGGAGAATACTAACCTATTAAGGTACAAAATGGCATGACTGTATTGAGATTAGCTTGAAAGAGGAAGGCTTTTCAGTAACTGCAGTGAAGATGCAGCTCGCATGCTGTTGGACATGTTGGATTTTCTTATTTCTTCTGGAGTCCTTTCGGAAATTGAAAAATTATGGTAACTTGCATTATTTTGATGAAAACTGTACTTTAAAGCAAAAAATATCTGACAAGTTGCCTATTTATGAACCTACTCTGCCATATGAGCATTTTCTGGCATGTGTTGTAGAAGTAGTGAAGGAAGAATCTCCTGTCTTAAGTTTTGAAACTACATATAGATTAGAAGGGGGGGRAAAAAGGGCACTTGAACAGAGTGTATATAGTAATGCAGTGAAACTTCAGCATTCAGATATATTTTATACAGTCTATACTGTCAAAGTTCCCTTAATGTTAAATGTGTAACTTTTTTCCTAACTGAAGGGTATCTAACTTCCCCTTGTCCTCTGAGTATCATTGGTCAGGCATCACTGAAACTGAATAACAGCTAATTGTATACAAGTGGTATATGGGCTTTTTTTCTGTTTGTTTCTGTGGGTATACACACTAGATACATGATTTTCCCCCCAAGGCACAGGATATGAAGAAACACCCTATATCAGTGAGCAACAAAACACCTTATACTTAGCATTTTTGTTACCTTATGAAATGTTTTACTTGCATCCTTGAAATCCAATACTTCAAAAATAACATTTATTTTACTGAAGTAAAAATAGTGAATTTTTWAAATTTGTGATTTTAATGAAGTGTTTTATAACCCTAGCTACTTTTGAAAGTTGATAGTTCCAAGTAGAGCAATCCTCTTTTTCATTCAATGGTTCTTTATGAATTTGTTAGTATCAGGTTTGTTTCTTGGTGAGTAAATATGAAGCCATCACTTGTTTATAATAGCACTAAAGAAGAGATTATTATACAACTTGTCATCTTCCTGGCTATTCAAACCCTAGGAGTTCTAAAGGTAGGGAAGGAAGTTCTTACATTATATGACAGAAGGAGTAAATGAATAAAGGCTCTTCAGAATGATAAATATATTTAGTGTTTGCAGTAAATTTGTGCTAAATATCTACATGATCTCTTGACAATTGCTGTGGAATCAGTAAATGGAGGAGTGTCCATAGAGAGTCAGTAAGTGAATTTGGAAACTCCAGGTTATCTTGGAGTCTCAAGCATGCTGGTGTTCTGCAACCCTCTGCCTTAAATATGTACCTCAATATCTTGTTTCATGACAGAATAACTTTCATAATTTAGAAAATTTCAATAAAAATTTACACAAAAAACTGTTACTAATATTCAGGAAAGATGTAGGGAAAAAAAAGCTTATATTTTGTCATCTGTTTAAATCCCAATCTACTTTAATCACATATTCTGCCCTTCATTAAGAGAGCCTTACTGATAAACATCCCTTTGTTAGAACAGCACCTAGGCTTAGAGTGGGTTTTTATCCTTAGTTGCCCCTTTGAATCTTCCCAGGGGAGTGTGAAGAGATTCTGATTTAATCCACAACTCATATGGTTTCTTCCCATCCTGGAAATAGGGTAGCTATGCCTCTTAATTAAAGTAGCATTGCTTCAGTTCCTTGGAGATGTAAATATCTTTGTTAGGTTGGGAATCAGCTATATTACTTTCCTGCTTAATTAAAAAACTCTTTGCTTCTTTGAGGGATGAAATTCTTTCTTGATGGTTTATTTGTATTAATTTTACTTGGAAATGTCTTTGCACTGGATCTCGTATTCAGTAACATCTGTATATTAAGAAACATACTTGAYCTAAACCTCTGGATACCTCTAGATAAAATAAATGTATGTAGCTCACTAGTAGCTTTTAACTGAGACTTGAGAGTAACCATTGTGGGGTAACCAGTCCAACGTTTTACTTGTAAATGTGTTACCACAACTTTAATTTCTATTCAATATTCCCTTGACTCACATATATCTACTGTTCTAGTATTCTAAAAATAGCTTTTTGGGTTAGTCTTTTGCGTATCTTTCCTCTCTTTTTAAACAAATACAGAGAATTTCTCTAGATCTCTCACATTTATTGCCTGTGAGAATTCTCTTGAAATTGACTGGTGAGACTGTTTATAAATTGCCTAGTTTGTGTTTTCTGGTCTAATGTTGAAAGTTCACTCTTCATTGTGATTCTGATGCTCCAGCACTGTAAATATGCCTGTCTTCTACAAAATGTCTTGACTAAGCTGACTGTTATTGGGAGTAACTTAATTTTATATTCTGGGGAAGGGGCTTTAAAGTCATTGTGGGCCCTTTCCAGGAAAGTACCAGTTACTGCATGTTAGTTTAAAAACACAAAAGAATATCAGGAATTGAGAGCAAAATAAAAAGTGGCATTTTGTAATTTGGGGGTTAGCATTCACTTTTAGTCACACATCTCAAAAATAGCACTACTAGAAAAGCTCTGGAGAASAGCAGTAGTATGATTTGAATTGAGGACTCTTCAGAAAAGAGCTGGCTTGCGAGTGAATGAAATAAGTAGGGCTACATTGTGGTGATTTGTTAAAATGACCTGTAGTGAAGCTTGACAGATGAAATAGTTTCTTCTTATGTTTAAGTCAGTGTGTGGATGATGGGAGAAGGTAGTAGGACAGCTAAGCCAGGTCTAACAGCTCGTTGCCACCAAAAGGGGGAGGTCCTGCTCTTTCTCTCCTTCCTTCTCATGTATTTTTCCATTTACTTGGGCAAACTTTGGCTCATTATACTGCTCTTTAAGGCTGGCCAGCTCGTCACTCTACAGCCAACTAGCTCAGCAAAAAGAGCAAATAGGTTTCTGAAAATTCATTGGTGAGGTGAATCAGACCAGTGAAAGCCTCAATCAGCATCATGGCCAGCATAGAAGAGGCAAAGCCCTCA